AGGAGTCGATGAAGTTGGCGAGCCAGGTGGCGCGACCTTCGAATTGCTGTTTGGTGTTAGTGCCATGCTTCGCGGCCACCAAGAAGACGAGAAGGAGGAGAGGAGGAGGACGAGGACGAGAAGGTGAAGAAGGAACGAGGTGGGAAAAGAAAAGAGGGGAATAACAAGGCGGACATACGGTGTGGGCCACGTAGATGCCCGTGTCGATGATGTACGAGCAGGTGCCCTCGCCAGCGCTCTCGTCGTAGACATACGAGGTGGCGCCCGTGGCGCGGTGCGAGATGCGTGCCAGGCCCCAGGGGACGTTGTCGGTCTGAGTGACAGACTCCTGCGTAGTGATGATGGCGTCTTGCTCAACGTACTCGACCTACGATGTGTTAACCATGGGAAGCCACCACCACATCACAGTGAGCAAGGCATACCTCGGACAGCTTGCTGACGGTGTCAAGCACCTGCGGGCTCAGCTGGGCCGCAAAGCCCTTGAACCGGCCGGCACGGTAGATGTGCTTGGTGCTGCCGGTCTTGACATGCCGGATGGCATCCTGAAGAGTGCTTTCAGAGGCACCCGCCTTGAGTTTGACAATGTAGTTTCCCGGGATGAGCTGAACGCCCCGGGGCTGAATCACCGGTGCCGCGAGGGCAAGAGGAAGAAGCGTGGCCAAAGTGAGGAGCTGCATGGTGGGTTTGACTGTTGGTGTTTTCAAAGGGAGCTGGTCTGTACTGGAGTGTCTGGAGGATGAGGGCGACTTTGAACACCTCGACGACGGAAGAACCCCCTATTTATCTCTATCGGTCGAAGCACTGTCTCATGGTGGTTATCTCTACCTTCCCCTTAGGGGGCACATGCCGCTCTGCACCACTGGTGATACCTCGAAGAACAACAAGGAAGGTCATGCTTGTGATGGCCGGATAAGGGCTCGCTGATACCTCCATCACAGGCACACTCGACAGAACTACACCCCCAGGCCCCTTCTCACCTACCGAGATGGGCTTGGTTCGGGCCATTGGGTGTTTGCGTGCTTGGACCAGTCCGTGATGCGGTTCGCGGATGCCCCAGCGCATACCCGGCTTTGCCGCCGTCCATGAAAATGCAGAGTCGGACGGCCGGATGGAAGAGGGGCAGCAGGGTGTCGGTGTGCATGTCAGCCTGGCTGTGTAGAAGTGTAAGGTTGTATTATGAAAGTTCTCGGGCCGTCGCCATGCGGTTGCGTTCGGAAAATATACACCTGCCATGGAACGGCGGGAGCTTAGAGGACAAAAATGCCAGGCCGTGGCGTGCTATCGTCGGATCCGAACCGCAACTCACCTCGTATAAGAAAAATGTCTCCCTTGCAGAAGCGAACATGCGTCATTAGTATGCGGTATTCGTCAAGGCAGAACTGTTCCACTCAGGTGTGACGATGCGGTCATAGCAACCGGTTTAGGAGCGCAAGGGCGAGGTGAGACCAATGGTGTCGTTACACTGACAGGAACAGAAAGTGGTAGGTGCATTTGGGCATGGGGGTCCTGGTCGAAAGCGGCGTGGGAAGCAATGCAGCCAGCAGTGATCGGACAGGTCCGGATTTTGCCCCGTGTGACAGGCATCCCGCAGCTTGACAGCAATCGGACTCGCGTGCCAAGCTGTCAGGTTCTGGTTGCGAGGGAGGTATGTTGCTCACCTTCCTAGCTAGGAAACTACTTTTGTATGTACGTTGGGAGGCCAGGGCAATGGCTTAGACGTGGCGTGGAACTTGTGTGTTGAGCGAGGCGTTGGAATGCCTTCTGAAACAAAAAACAGCTTGTTGTTCTTATTCCGGGTTCCTGGGTTTCTTATTTCAACCCTCTTGGAAGCTATAACGAGGGACCGCGGCGTCGGGTTCGCTTCTCATTCAGCCTGAAGAGAAGCTCGGCAGTTGGGTCTCATAACCGGGCGTGGCACTTCGTCTCGAAGTTTCGGCTGCCCAAACGAGCCGACAGTTAATATACAGCTGCATCCTTAAGTGCCGTATCAGCACCAAGGCCTGCGGGATGGGATGGGTAATTTCATTTACGAATCAGCACATGCATTCCCGCACTCCTTGACAAGGTCTTCTGAGCCGTGCAATGGGAACGTCAAGACCAACTACAACCAACACAGCCCAACCTTCTATCGGTAAGCAGCGCAAGTGAGCCTTGAAGGATTCTCTCGACGTCGTGTTGGGCGTGGGAGGTATCAAGTCTTTTATGTTATCATGGTCTCTCGGATGGCATGCAACGGTCAACCAAAAATAACCCCACCGCAGCCATTGCTCATCGGCCGAGGGAATGGCGCTATTATGTGATCAAGTGGGAAGGAATTTCTAGTTCGTTGCATCCCGTTATCAGATTGGAGATAATTAATGCGCAGCCCCTTTCCAGTCGAATATCGCACCGGGCTCGCACCCGAATTCAGAAAAACGGTCTCAGGTTTTTTCGACTTTCTCTCCAGCCCCCTTTTTCTACTTCATTTCTCTTACCGTTCTTCGTTCTTCCTCTCCGCGCCCTCTCCCGCCTCGTCCTGCCAATAACCCCAATTTGCCTTTCGCGAATAATCTAGATAATACGGCGACCACGCGCCCTGGGAACCGACATTGACTTCCTACGGCCAGCAATTTAGGTAACTTGAGTTTTTTTGGCCCCCGTTTCCTCGTTGAGGTCCACATGGCATAGTTGGAGTGCTGAAAGTGAAAATTCCTCCTCCACCTTGAAGTTGTCGAGAGTCAACGAGTCAACCGGTATCATGCCCCTTAAATAAACAACTTACAACGCAGGCGCTGTACTACCATCATGCGGTTCATCATTGAACGAAGCGAACACCGACCTTCATTTGCAATGATGGGAGATCTTATGCCTGCCGGAGGTTTGTGTTCTTTGTACGGGGATCTGTGTCGACGCAAAAAGGCATGTTGAATGTAGGTCATGGTATACTACCAGGCTGTTGTCGTTGGAGTGTTGTTGAGATAGTAGATTCTGATTGGATATCCAAAGAATGAGTGTCTGGCACCTTTATATTATTATTCATACTCCGCTAGTTATGCCCTAGGGCGTGCCGGACCCTCAGCTATTTAGTGTACAGGAAAACCGTGCCCTCCCGGGCCGGGTGAAAAGCCCATACCAACAATCAAGGAACGATGCGTTCTGGTGAGTCTACGTATACAAAGAGAGGAGGCCTCCTGGCCTCCGAACGGGGGCGCTTCAGGCCGCCGCTTCCATCTCGAGCCTCCTGGCTAAGTTGTACATCGGCAGCTTCCCCGAGTCCATCAGCCAGCCGAGGACTCTCCTCGCGAGCCGTGCAGTCGTGGGATTGATGCCGTGTAGAACAGAGTAAAAGTCCCGTCGTGTCCGAATTCCAGTTCTCTCCCATCTTCGAGTCAACGGTGGGGCCAAACACCACACTACCAGGTGTTCGGCAGTCTCTCGTCCCTCGCCACACTCGCAGGCAGGAGTCAGAATCCTTTGGGACTCCCTGTGTAAACAAGAAGTCCCTTAAGCTTATTGCTCCCGTCCGGATTTGAATCAGGAGTGAGCTTTTCGCCTTGCTGAGTCCGTCGTGCCTCCTTAGGGTTTCGTTCCGGAATAGCGTCTCCTGCTGATGGTCAAAGTAGTCCACCGGCCTGGTGATTGCCCTGCCGTCCCGTTCCTTTAACCACCTCGCTTTCCAAGCCTCTTCTACTACCCTGTTCGTATCAACGATTCCCCCCGTCCAGCGCATGACCGTGCCTGCGGCTCTCTCCACCGCCGTAGGCCCTTGAGGTCCCAAGGTTCGCGGTCGGCCCCTGTTGCCCCTCCTCGAAGCTAAGTCTCTGCTGTATGTTGCAGTAGGCGGTGAGGACAACGCTCGCCGCCGTCTTCTTGCCGCCTTGACCGTCGTCCAGATCGGGTCGTTGGAGTCGGTTTTCGAAATCTGCAAGCCGTTTGTTAAGGTACAAGTCCAATGGTGGTACCCATGTCTCTGTCTCGAGGTTTACGGATGGGGGTAGACTTAAAGGCTCCCGCCACAATCCGCAAGCTCTGTTCTGGGCCTTCCCGAGGGCCTTAGTGATGCCTTTCTTTGCCGGCTCGCCTCCCACATCCGTGGGGATGTGAACGATGATGCGCCATAGGCCAGCGCCGACCGGATGCACTTTGTGTACACTTCTCGCGCTTTGGCTAGCCCCATTCCCCACGTCTTTGCCACGATCCTCGACAGGGCATAGCTCTGGGTCCTCAGCTTCTTCTCCACCGCCACCAGGTGAGCCTTCCAGTTGAGTTTCCAGTCCAACCAGACTCCCAGGAACCTGGCAGACCCTTCTGGTTTAACGGGGCTAGTGCCTCCCCCTGGGTTGGCAAGGATTTACCTGTTCGGTCCACTGCCGTCGCCCTTTGTTGAAATGGATGAGTTCGCTCTTTTCCGGGGCGAACTTCATCCCCCGGCTGTCCGCCCATCGTATACACGTTTCCCACGCCGCCTCTAGTTGCCGGACATTGGCCTCGGGGTTTCGACCAAATACCAGGAGGTTGGTGTCATCCGCAAACCCCGCTATAGCCAAGTGAGGGTGCTCGTCTTTTAGCTGCCTGTATAATGAGGAAATATAGAGGATGAAGAAAACAGGGGAAAGCGGTGAGCCTTGGGGGACCCCTGCCCGAATCGCCGTCGGTGCCGCCGTCTTGCCGTCAAAGAGGAGGGTGGCCTCTCGGCCCGTCAACCAGTCTTTTGTCCACAGAACAAGCCACCTCGGGTAGCCCATTTCTCGCAGTGTTGCCAGTAGTCGCGTGTGGTTAACCGTGTCGAAGGCTCCTGAAATGTCCAGTTGCAATAGGGATGCCGCGGCCTTCTGTCTCCATGTCTCCTGGACCTGGATTACTACTAGCCGAACAGCCATCTCCGTGGAGCGGTGTGCCCTGTTCCCCATTTGTTCGTCTGGTAGAAGGCCGTTGACTTCAGCAGCTTGAGTGACCTTCCTGGCGACCACTGACTCTATTACCTTCCCTAGGGTTGGCAGTAGCGCAATGGGCCTGTACCCTCCCGGGGTCTGATACACTGGCGGCGCCTTCCCTGGCTTCGGCAGTACTATGGTTTTCGCCTTTTTGAACCGGTCGGGAAACCATCCTAGTTCCAGGCACCTCGTCGCCAATACGGCGAGCACTTCAGCCAGTGGCATTCCACATGCCTTCAGAAGACCCATCGGGAGCAGATCCTCTCCTGGCGCCTTCCAGGGGCTTGCTCTTCCTATTGCTTCCGTGATCTCGGTCGGCGTCACTGCCTATACGACGTCGAAGCTCGGGTTCCAGCTGCCCAAAAAGGCTTGGTCTTCCACGTCCGTCAGGTTGGCCGGTGGGTCCGGGAAGAACCTCTCGGCCAGCGCGCTGGCCTTCTGGTCGTGCGTTTCGGCCGTTACCTGTCCGGAAGAGTCCTTAAATTCCGGCAGCCTCGGTGGTTCTGGCGGCAAAAAGCTCCGCAGCCTAGCCCATCTTTCCAACCTCCACATCTGATCGGGCTTCTTTGCCTCGCTTGCTTCCTGTAGGCTGTTCCTCCAAGCCCTCGTCCGTGCTTCGCGCGTTGTTCTAGCAAGGTCCTTGAGCCTTTCGCTAAGCTCCTCCCAGCAGTACTCTGCCCGAGTTTCCTTCGCCAGTCTCTCGGCCCTCCTAGCCTCCCGGGCGGCCTGCTACACCTCCACAGTCCACCAGGGAGAGCTGTAGCCGCAGCTTGCGTTCTTCCGTGGAGTGCTTTGCCTCGCGACCCAGGTGAGCCACTCGACCAGGCTATCGAAAGCTTTGTCAAGACCCTCGACTGTCCGGGTTCTGGCCGGTAGTCCGTCCAGTCCCGGGTCCGCGAGCCCCATGACCTTACATAGCAACGCTGATTCAGCCTTCACACTCTCCCTGTCCATCTTCTTCCAGGCCCAGCCATCCGGTTGAGTTGGCCTCGGCCCATGCCCTTCCCCGACCTCGAGCACTTGTGGGTAGTGGTCTGACTTTCCACGACATTCTTCCCCGTAGTATACTGTTTGGAGGTTTTCCGAAGTCCAGAAGTGGTCGATGGTTGACGGGCGGCCTTGCTGCCGCCCCTGGGGAGCTCGCGTTGTCGCTCCCCTTGGAATCCTGATGGCGAGGTCCCACAAGGAACCCAGCCGCAATAGGTCTTCAGATTTCCTGTCGTAGCGTCCAAACCCATCCCACAGTGGGTTCTTTAGGTTGAAGTCTCCTGCCAGAACCACCGAGTGGCTTGGACTTGGCCGCCCTTGGAGGGTTCTCGGTACGTTTTCGCCGCCGGGGGAGTTGTATACGGACCAAAGCTCGAATCCGCGGCTTTCCCTTCCGAGGTCCGCCTCTGGGAACCACACGCGGCACCAGTTCTCCGTGGCTTCGGAGTCCCACTGCCTGATTTCAAATCTTTTGCTTACATATATTGCCGCCCGCCCCTCGAGCTTATGTACCAGGTGGTATCTGCTGCTCCGGGGGCAGTAACGTATATTATCAACGGATGACCCATATCAACGAATGACCCAGCCCCCACAGCACTACATTAACTATCCCTGGAAATATTACAACAACACTAGGAAATAACTACAATTACATCAGAAACAGCTGTATCAGTGGCTTCTGCACCCTCCTGGCAAGTGCGGGCATTATGGCCAGGCTTGCGGCATCTACTACAGCACCGAACGTTCGTACGAGCCCCCCCTGTACCACTACCATCCGGCTGCGTTTCCTGCACTCCCCCCTTACCTACAGCCCTCTGGTCTAGTAGATCCTGTGCATCCTGTACAGTAAGTGACCCTCCAAGCTGCACACGTGTTTTTTTGGCCCTCCGTCGCTTGCTCAGTGCCTCGTTGGCCTTGCGGAGCGAAGAGACCTCTGACTGAAGGAGAGCCACCTGGTGCATTACAGCCGTTGTACCTTTGGTAAGCTGGTCAACAGCAGCCAACATTGAAGCTGGGGAGCTGTTTTGATGGCTAGCGATGTGAGTCTTGATAAGGTTTGACTGCGAGCTGGCTTCTTGGGGGTTATGTGGGGTCTTAGAGACCCAAGGTTGTGCAGTGCCAGGCCGGGAGTTTGGGGGTGTTGGTGTATGAAGCTTGACATCCAACTTAGAAAGCACCCTCTCTGGATCGAATGGTACGATGCCGGCCCCTGCAAACCCACCCTGGATATTCTTCTCTGTCATGGAAGCAAAGAAGGCTTCGCGAAAGGCGCAAAGGAACTCGAGCTTGCTGATGTGGTTGATATGTGCCCGCATGAGCTCCTCAACATAGCGACCGTAGGCCTGCTTCAGTGGCCCGAAGCAGCCAACATCAAGTGGCTGGCACTTGTGGGAAGAGTGCGGGGGCATGCAGAGTGTGATGATCTTGTTGTCCCGGCAGTAGAGCTCGAACTCGGTGGAGTGGTGGCTTTCGTGGCCGTCGAGGATCAACAACCGGTATATACCCTTTGTCCGGGGCGCCGTATGGTAGTCAAAGTGCTTGATCCAGTCAAGGCCAACTGCATTGGTAGTCCAGCCATTGTCGGTAGTTGCGATGCGCCAGTCGAGTGGTAGATTGCACTCGCGGTACCAGTTGGCGAGGTGGTATTGCGCGGCCAGGATGATGAATGGAGGGATGGCCCAGCCAAGGGCGTTGACCCCCTGGATCACAGTCGCCCATTCGCGATTACCAGGCTGGGCCAGATTTGCCTTGCCACGGCCATCTGAGGTCGTAACTACCATACCTGGGAAGATCATGCCCATCATGAACCCAGTCTCGTCAAAGTTGTAGACATCGTCATCTACAATCCCATATTTGGCCCTGGTATTCTGTACAAGTGCAAACCACTCGCCAATGACCTTCGGATCCTCACACTTAGCCCTCTGGTAGTCGTATCTACGTGTACGACGTGTACTAAGCCGTGGCTGGCGTTTAACAAACCGATGTGCCCAGAGCTTGCCGACAGGGGGCGCGCCACGCGTACGTAGTAGATGGTTGGCCATATCTTCCACACCACACAGTCTAGGTGGAAATGCACGCGCATCTAGTTCAAGGATGTATTGAACTATTGTAAGCTCTTCCAGATCTGTCAGCTTCCGTAAGTTGGCTGGTATATCGCGTCGTGCAGGCTTGCCGGTGCGACGACGGCTGTCACGGGCACAGCCCGTTCCTTGTAGGGTTAGGGTTGCACGGCTGAACCCCGAGGTGGGCTGTACGTAGCTCTGCGCTGGTCTGTGCGCAGCCACAGGGTTTTCCCTGAGTGCGCCTCGCCTCCCACATTCGGTTCCTCGTGCAACCACGCAATATACCAGCTTGCCCCTACCACGGTGATCCTGACCGTGATAACGGCCCAAGGTTCTACGGTCGACGCCATATGTCTTAGCCGCGGTTCGTTCGGTCAGATTCTTGTCGTTTTTAAGAGCTTGAAGTGCCAAGACCATCCGGTCTTCTTTGAACGTAGGTGGCATCTTAGATGGTTGAGGAAATTGATGTTGGGTGCAAAAGTGTCGCGTCGCGTGGAAAGTGGGTCATTCGTTGATATGGGTCATTCGTTGATAATATACGTTATGTGGATTTTGTCGCCTTGTTGATCCACGGTTCTTGCACCGCCAAGAGGTCATATTTGGCCTCTTCCAGCAACCCGTCCAGATATATATCTGGGCGTAATTACTTCACGCACTGTTTTGTACTTAGGTTCAGTATCATGGTTGTATTAAAAAAAAAAAAGGATACTAATCCCAACATTAGGTATTATCTCAGGCTCTAGCAGAGGCATCAGGAAAACCCGAAGTTCAAAAATGGAGCAACTCGTTTGAAAAAGAAACTCTTTGACCCTGACCCGACTTGAACGGATAACCTTTCGATCTGGAGTCGAACGCTACTACCAATTGAGCTACAAGGCCTATCTCAGTGGTTATTGTTGGAGTTTAGGCTGTAAAGAACTTATAATATATGGCGGGGTACGGTGGAGAAATTTGTAATGACAGGAGTGACCGTGCCCGCTGCGCGAGGGCACGCCAAAGGAGCCTGGAGGAACTTGCCGGCTGCAGGTAGGCCCCATAGCGGAGTCAACGATGTAATTGTTAAAGGCGGAAGAAGAAGCCACCTTGACTGCAATGGAATTATAAACAGTATCAGGAGATGATTGTAGTTTAGGTCAGAAAATCGGGATGGAAAGGACGTATTGAGTTCCTTGGTGATACGGGACACTGCATCGATTGCAAATAGTAGAAAAAAGGTCGAAGAAAGAGTTGTCTTTTTTAAAGGTGCAAGGCGCCTCACAGACTATTTGCAGAGGACCAAAGTGGGGCGGCCTGGCACGGACTATCTCTAAGTAACTTCATCACACAATGGGGATTCTTGCATCAAATCCCCCCCACAGGAGAAAAAACGCATTGCCCTCAATGCCCTGTACATCCACCGTGGAATTCCTTCGTTCGTCCAATTGACGATTCACTTACTCATTGTGGTGCCGCTGTTGTAGATGCGGGCGTCGCCTCCTCCGAGGCGGGTGTCGGCATCGTCCCGGTCGGCACCAACCGCCGGCTACGCCGTCTACCATCTTTCGGAGGCACCTCGGGCTCCCTGTTTGCGGCGGGAGCTTCTTCCGCTGGAGCGACGTTCTTTCGCGGGCGGCCACGCTTACGCCGCGGCTCGGTGGCGTCGTCGCCGGGTAGTGCCGGTTGGCCTCCTTGCCGTTGCCAGTATTCCTTCAGAAGGCGAGGCGTGTGTCGCAATTCGTACTCTGTCTTCCAGACGTTGTGCTCGTGTCCCCATCCTTTCCATTTAATAAGATATTCGTATTTGCGCCGTGTCACGCGATGGCGCAAAATGACTTCGACCTCGTAGTCCTCTCCGGGAGCGGAATCGGTGGAAGCTTGCGAGTCTTCCACTGGCCCGGGTGGCACGGGGTGTCGGTCAAACGGATCGTTGCCGGGTGGCGTTGGCGACAGATGCGCAATGGAGATAACCGGGTGGATGCCCATGTTCTCGGGAAACTTCAATTCGTATGCCAATCGGCCGACGCGGCGTACAACTTCGAACGGTCCTGTGCGTTGTTGCGAAAGTTTCCGAGGTGGGTTTCCAGGTAGGTGATAACCCTTGTGCAGGCGCAGATAAACCTTATCGCCTTCCCTGAACTCGATGTCGCGACGGTTTGCATCGTACCGCCTTTTCGCGCGGGCGGCTGCAAAGTCCATCGCTAGACGGGCATCCTCCCGAAGCGATTCTCGCATAGATGGGATGTCGCTTTCCACCGATGGTGGTATAGCCAAAGCCTCAAAAGGTCCCGGCAACTTGAATCCGAAGAGCTGCTCGTGCGGCGACGATTGAATTGGTGCGGAGTAACTGCTGTTGAGATTCCATTGCAGTGGGGTGATCAGGTCGGTCCAATTCGCCTCTGGTCGTTCGAAGACAAAGAACCGCATTGCAATTTCGACTGTCTGGTTTTTTCGCTCAGCCAGACCGTCGGATTGCGGGTGGTACGCCGCCGTCATCAGAAGCTTCGTTCCCAGCGACTCCCACATGGCCTGCCAGAATTCTGACGTAAATTTGCGATCCCGGTCAGAAATGATGGCAGATGGAACTCCCCAGTCGGAAAGAAACAATTGTCGCATCAGGACTTGTCCCCATTGTTGTGCCGTGTACGTTGTGTGGCCGGGGATCAGAAGTGTTCGCTTGCTCGACTTGCAAGACACTGTCAGTAAGCTATCGAAACTGACGTGCTATAGTGCACGTGAGCCTCAGAGCGCGCGTGAGAGCCGACAATGATCATCAATGCCGATGACTCGCATCGAGAGAGTGTCTGCAGGTCGAATGAGCGTGTAGAGTGCCGATGGGAGCTGTCGATCTGTGCTTACAACGGTTGCACTGCGGGGCAGTGCTTGGGCAAACTTTCGTGACCTTGGCGAGTTCTTGGTTCACCATTGAGACACCACGAAGATCGTAAAGCATACGGTCAACACCGAAATGATGCTTCTGGTCGTGGACCATGCTCAGCACTGTTTTGACCATCTTGTGCGGAATGCAAATGGATCGCAAGCCGTCTGGGCGAATATTGTAGAGAAGTCCCCCCGTCAACACGAATGGCAGGCCGGGGCGAAAAAATTCTCCGCTGCCCTCAGCGGGTTCGCCGCTGATCAAGTCCTTGATGATGGCGCTGTATTTCGAGTCTTCGTGGTAAGCGGCGATAAACTCGTTTTTCAAGGAATCATCCATTTGCGCCTCTGCCCAGGCGAACATGACGTTGTCGAGAATGACTTCGCCTTCTTCCCGTTCCGGTTTATCCTGCACGGCGGTAAGCCTGCTCAATGCGTCGGGAACGAAGTTCAATCTTCCTGGCAAGTGGAAGACCTTGAGATCGTATTCCGAGAGATAGACTGATGCGGTAATCAGCCGTCGATTCGAGCGGTCGGTTGACGAAGTGTCGAGACGGGTTTGTTCCACAATACCGCGTGTCGAAGAATGATCGGTCAGGACATTGACAGGATGGCGCGACGAATGGATCATTGTTCGAAGTTTCTTGACTGCCCAAACCAGACATGCAACCTCCTGTTCGGATGGACCGTATCGCAGTTCGGCTTTTGTCAGGCATCGGCTAAGAAACATCACCGGTTGAACTTGCTTGGATGGAATGACGGATCCCGGTTTCCATTCGTAGCCATCTTGTACGTGGAAGACCATGACGCCGCAGCCGCGTTCCAAACAGCCGTCGACTTGCAAGAAGAGCGGCTTGTCGGGGTCGAAATGGTACAAGATCGATGGGTTCTCCGCGCAGATAACCTTCTGGATTGAGTCGAAAGACAGACGTTCTGCTTCCGAGGGCTCGAATGTCGTCTTCGCACAGTAGTTGGCTCTCTTTCCCTGATTGCCGGAAACCAGTTGACCATTTTCGCGGCCCTGCGCCAGCAAAGCCGTTTTGCGTTTCTGAAGTGGCTCCAACAGTTGGGCGTAATACGGAATCAGGTGCCGAAGGAAGCCAGTGGCGCCAATCCACTGTTCCAGAGCTTTCAAAGTCTTGGGAAAAGCTAAATTGCGAAATGCTTCCACACGTTGAGCGGTGGTGGTCAGACCCAAACTGTCCACGCGAAAGCCGAGCAGTTCCACGCTGGGGTAGCCGATGAAGGATTTGGTGGGCGCGATGGCGACGTTCTTGTCGTGGAATAACCGAAAGATGCGTTCGAGGTGCTTCAGGTGGTCTTCGGCATCGTTCGAAAAGATAACGATGTCGTCGATAAAGGCACGGGCGTACTCCGCATGCGGCTTAAGGAGCTGGTCCATAATTCGTTGAACGTGGGCAGGCGAGTTTCGGTATCCCATGAGGCACACTGTTGGCTGTTCGAGTCCGCGAGGGCTGATCAACGTAAAGCGATCTCGATGCGGTGGATGGAGGCCAAATTGATAGAAGAACGCTGTGGCGTCGATCGCTGTGATGTACCGCTTTCCTCGCAGACTGCCGATGATCTCCGCTTGCAAAGGGAGAGGGTAGTTGTCAGGGACTGACACACGGTTCAATCCGCGCAGATCGATGACCACTCGACCTTTGGTTACCCCCTTGACCGTTCGCCAGACGACAAAGACTGGATGCGCAAACGGCGTTGCACGCGTAGCCCAGATCATCTTTCCCTGTTTATGAAGACCGTCGAAGATTTCGTCCAACAGCTGACGATCGCGGCGGCTGAGAGGATAAGAACGGGAGCTGACCCGCTGGTTCTGCCATCCTTCCACGAGCGGAACTCGCATGAGCTGTTCAGGCGGCAGTTTTATAAGACCTGTATCCTCCCAGAGCCTCGGGAACCGTCGCACAAGTTCAGCAAAGCGGGCGGCCAATTGCGAGTTTTCTGCGAAGATATGGACTCCCTCCTTCGTAACAATTTCGGGTAGGTTGTCAACCATCCGAATGCCGAGGGTGGACTGTTTTTCGGGAACGACAGGGGAGATCAGGCTGTTCAGAGGCCTGATCATTGATCGGCAGGTCCACCGTCACATCCCGGGTGAGTTGGTAGACATAGTCGCTCACCGGCGTTGACGAAGTGCCGTTATAGTTTTCCACCGTGGGAGCATCAGGCGCGCGCAGGCCGAGGTCATGTTCGGCTACGGCGGCGGTGCGCTTGTCGAAGTCAAATTCGGCGCTGACTGGCAGGGAGTTGGTATTTTGCAGGGCGAAGTTGGCCGGCTCGATATCGCCAATTGTAGTAGGTTTCGCCATTGACATCAATGTCGCGCCCACTGCCATCGTCTTAAAAGCTGTATTCCAGGAACAAGCCAGGAACCCACTGTCGTGGTTCTCGTCAATCTTTCCAACGGGGTATCTCTTCGGGATCGTAATTGTTCCGCGGGAAGTGTTCTTGACGGCTACCACCTTGGGGGTTTTTGCCGTAATGACTGCGTGAAATGCTGCGTCGTGTTCCGCGTTGAAAAGAAACGAACGCCCTTTGGGAAGCGGTTTGTAGTTGACGGGAATCATCGCCTCCTGGTTCCGGGAGTAGTGTAATGGCACGCGTTGTCTTCACGCGCCGAACGCAGGGCACCGAATGTACTCGAATGGAGAAAGGTACGGCAAAGTCGATGGCGCGCAGATGTACGATCTTAGTGTCGTAGTCGATGTTGGCGCGGTAAGGATCCATGAAGTCGTTTCCGAGGAGGAGGTTAGGAAGAAGCTTGTCAATTACCCAGGCGCCTCGGGTGAACTTGAACAATGTTTTCTTCCCGTTTTCGATACCAGGAAGATAGAGGCTGAAGGTCGCCCATTCCTTAAGCTTCAAAATGCCTCCTCCAACGCCTGAGACTTTTCCCTCCCGTTTCTCGATAGTGTGGTCGAGGTTGCGAAGGAAGTTGCGGCCGACAATCGAACGGCCGGCGCCGGGGTCGAAAACAGACTTCGACGTCTTCCTTCTTTGGCGAGGTGCGGGCATTCACGCGCAAGTACGTGAAGTTGCCCAGGGGGCCTTCAAGAGGTTTGTCGTCGCCAAGTGTGGGAGCTTCCTTGACGAAGTTTATCTCGCCGAGATCCTCAGGAGCTTCCGAGGTACCGTCAGGCGTTGGTTCGCGGGCGATCCGAGCCGCGCCGGCTTCGTCGATGCCGGGGTCAGCCGGGCGGTCAAAGGTGCCGCTCTTCGCCCCCTGACAATGCTTCAGATGCTTGAATAGGGCGTTGCGGGAGCCGGCCAGCTCCCCGCAGTGCCCGCAGGTGCGGCGCGCTGGATTTTGCAGATTGGCTTGACAATTTCGTTGTGAGCGTAAAGGGCCTTTGACTTCGCATGTCTTGACATGGTGGCGTAGCTCCGTTTTATCGTCAAATTCCTTGTGGCATTTGCGGCATGTTCGGTTAGCATCGAAAACAAGGCAGGCGATGTCGACTTCGCTGTCAGAAGGATAGGAAACGCTTGAACTGGCATCCGAGTGGTCAACATCGGATCCCGAGTCGTCGTCAATCTCTGCGAAATGTACTCGGTCATGATCGCGCTTGCGGTCACGGTCTCGGTCGTCCTTGCGGTAGCGGTCATCTCGATGCTTCCTGTCTTTCTCGTCCCGTTTACCGCGATCATCCCTTTCCTTGTCGCGACGGTCGTAGTCTTTCCGCTGGTCACGATTACCATCTCGGTCACGACGACGGTTATCGCGGTAGCGGTCACGAGGGCGATACTCATCGTCCCGGTAACGTTCCTCGCGACGGCTGCTGCGAGACTGCTCGCGGCGGTCAGAAGAAGATCGGGAGGATCGAGGCCGGTCTTCGACCTTGTCGAGCGACTTCAGGCTGGATTTGTTCGAGGATTTCTTGACCAAATGTGGATAGTATTTGAGCGCGGCGGAATTGACAATGATCCGAGACTTCTCGATCTTTTTCATATAGTCCGAGAGGCTGGTAAACTCATCTGGTCGAGGGAGGCATTGTTGAATTTCAAATTCCATATGACTCCATATCATCATCATGGCACTGCTCCAGTTAGAATGGTCTGGACCGAGCATGCGCATCGAGCGTGCCCAGCGTAGTTTCTTCTGAACAAATTGTTGCAATGCCTGTTCATCAGCGGCCACATCGCGAAGGTACAACTTGCAGTCGTAGAAACTCTTGGTCGCGTTGGCGGCATCTGGGCCAAATCTAACAATCAGTTCGTCGAGGATGGCGAGTAGGCCTGCCGACCGCAGTTCAATACGGCGGGCCGCCATCAGCTCGTTGGTCCACCAGAGGATGGCTGAGCCGCCGAGAATGGCTTGGAAAGTGCCCCAGGATCTGACGGGATGCCTCCTCACCCAGACTCTCGGTAAAGGTTGCGATTCGGTCGACAAAGCTGTAGACATCAGTAAAGATAAGGTTTTTACCGTCTTGCACGATACCAAGGTCGTCCGGGTCCGGATAGTCAGGATTAAAAATGCCGATTTCTTCTCGCTTGATCTTGTCTGGGTTTCGGCTTGGCTGCGAAAGGGTTGAATCGCAAGTGCCTTCGCGTACGCCACGGAGGTGCTCGCGGTCGGGAGGCGGACCGCCAGGATGGCGATCCCTATGTCGATACGGCTCCTGTGGGGCCGACCGAGACGGCGTCGCAGCCGGCATCGGGGGCCGAGATCCGCTAGCCATTTGGCGATAGAAGTTTTCCGGAGGCGAGGGCTGATCAAGATTGTCGTGGGCGCCCAGTCGCACGCCTTCGGGCGGAATGGCGAAGCCGGATTGTTCGCCTCGTGGAGCGGCGTCGCGCTGTTGAGGACCGTTCTCCAATCGCTGGAGGCGTTTCTCAAATTTGCCCTCAAACGCCCTGAAGCTTTTGTCCATCGCTTCCACGACGGTTGCCGTCATGCGATCCACGAGGGCATCTGTGCGAGCCTCTTGAGCGGAAATCTGGCGATGCAAGTATCGGACAGAGGTCTTGTTGTTGCCGAGCTTGTAATCGTTGCCGTCGCTTCCTCGAAGGATGATGGAGTCGGAGCCACTGTCGGATCCGGCGCGAATTGCCGTGTTTGCTCTTGACCGAGCCGGGGTATCTCCGAAGGCAGAGGTCGCAGGAGGGGCCTCTGCGGCGGTACGATGTAGGTTCCGGATCTGGCTCCGCCGATACGCGGATTGATGCCGAGTTGCTTCCTCCATTTCCGGTTGTTCGATGTCCGGATAGGAGGGGTGCTCCGGGTAGTTGCCGGGCACGGAGTTGTTGTCGCCGTCGGCGCGATTGCCGCTTGGGCCGCCGCCGCCGTGCGACATCGTCGAGGCGTTGGGTATGCCGAGTCGGGGCTACAGGTTCACCCCGTTCGTATGCCGAACGCTGGAAGCCGCGATCGCCTCGAATTTAGCGATCGGGATGGAGGGTTTTTGGTGGTGGTTACGCGCCGCCGGCTACAGGTTCACCGGGGTGCGAGATGGTCGCGATTCGAAATGCAACGATCGGTTACAGGTTCGCCGAACCGTTGCAAATTGCGAATTGCCGAATAGTCGCACGACTTTTACGACTTTCGTAAAAAAAATGGCTGAGGTCGTCAACACTCAGTTCAGAAGCTACCATTTGATACGGGACACTGCATCGATTGCAAATAGTAGAAAAAAGGTCGAAGAAAGAGTTGTCTTTTTTAAAGGTGCAAGGCGCCTCACAGACTATTTGCAGAGGACCAAAGTGGGGCGGCCTGGCACGGACTATCTCTAAGTAACTTCATCACACAATGGGGATTCTTGCATCACTTGGATTGGGAAAATGGAGCACCGCGGTGTAAAAAAGGCGGCCTCTAGCACCGGTTTGACCTCATCGCCGATGTATGACGCCGCATTCTTGAGTCTCCAGTAAGCTATATCGTCATCTAGGGGCTTCAGTAATCAGATCCCGTAAAGATTAACCTCTGTGGCGTAATCTCACAGAGCTGATAGGTTCCGTGTATTTTGTGCGTCAAAGAAGCAATTTGCTTCGCTACCCTTCGTCACGTAGACGACCATCGAGCCGTAGGCCTTGCTTGTATCCTTCCTGCTGAGCCAGGCAATCTTGGCAATGTTGACGTTGTTCTCTGTAGTCGTGGTTCCAGGGATGGGACGTCATGGCCGAATCAGCGCAGATTGAAGCTGCTGACGAAGAAGCGGGTGCGTCGCTCTAGTAGTATAGTCAACCCATAATGGATGTTGACCCTGCAAACCTCATCTTTCGCCACTTTTTGACAGAAATCCGATTTTTTTTGTTCGTGTTCGTGATTGTCAAGGAATGCGCGACGGAGGCATGCAAAAGCAGGAGCGAAGCAGCGAGTCACAGGGGCCCTGATGCCGTAAGCGGCTTTCTTCTTGCGATTTGATTGGCCAGAACAAAGCAAAAACGGTCCGTGCACCTCCACCGCCAAGACCAACTGCGAGATGCCAATTCGAGGAAGCAAAATGCAGATGACGCCAGACTTCGAGATGCTATCGAGAGAAGTCGAAAAGGAGAAAAAAGCCAAATTCTACAGTGAGAAGTCGACAGTACAGGTTAGAAATGACACCGGTTTTTTGGGTTTTTTTTTAATGGAGAAAAACTGGTCCGTGCTTAGAGCAGGCCATGGCATTTTTGACCTAAGGAACCTGGAGTTCCTCCAGGCAAATGCCGGGAAAGGAGACGAGTTATTTTTAGCTTCAATTCTATCGTAAAAAACATCTCTTTTAAGAAGCCCAGCCGCCCATTAAGTATGTCACAGAATAGGCTCTAAGCTTTCCTATACTTCATCGTGTTTATCTGGGCGAGTTTGGCATGCAGGGCACTTCCGTAGGTATGGTAAAAGTTTAGTCTATTACATTATTACATAACTACCTATAAAAGCGTAGATGAGGACGGGGCCGTTGCACAGGTGAATGGAGTATGGTCCTTTGGGGAGACGGAGATGAAGTCCCTTATGACAATACTCTTCTATCGTGGCGTCGTTATTGGATATAGTTGAGTGCAAGGTTCTGCAGCACCCTTCCCAACATAGATAACCGTTAGTGTCTTCTATAACCGCGGGTCCGCGTGGGAAGCCACCTACCTTAGTCAAGCTGAATTCCAAGTGACTTATGTTATTTTCCTTCTAGAATTGTGTTCCTTTAGATAATGGTTAGTTACAGTCAAGTTGTAATCGTTGAATAGGAGCTAGAAGAGAGGAAGTGGAATGCTTGTCACAATGGTCTGGCATGCCAGCTGGCGCCCCGGATGGGAGAGGATAGGGGTGGAAAGGGGGGTTAGATGGGAGAACGACGAGAAAGAAGATGAGGCTGCCTCCAACGTAGCCGGCCGAGACCCTCGATAGCTAGGGCACCGATGCGGACGCCGTGGACGAAGGCGCCAATCTGTGGTTTAGACCCCGTGCCAAGGTCGCCTTGCTACCATTAACAACTTCTAAAGTGACAGAGTATACATCACCTAGCTACCCTTGAATACCTTGTTGCCGCGTTGTACTGTGCTGGCAGGCACTCGAGCTCAAGGCATACGCCTCAAAGTCACAGAATGGAGAAATTGCAAGCGGGCAAAATGAAAAGGGAGAGGGTTTGACAGCTGGTTGCGCCATTGTATCAGAGTTTATATTTCCCCTGTTTATAGTCCGCTGGAACAACAAAAGGACGAAGAGATACTATATAAACAGAGAAAGTGAAGTCAGAAAGCTTCGTTCCATGCACTCGGGTTTGCTCCAAGAGCTTGTCGAGCAGTGGATTGGATGCTACAAGATCCTCGTGCTTTGTGGTGGTGCTGTGGGTTTCCCACTCGCTGTGGCATGCGAAGTAGCATGGGTACAGCAGAGGCAAGACTTGTCATCACTGCGGTGAAGGAGCTCAAGAACTGCAGAAGGTCGGGTTCTTGCTATCCTTCCCGCCTCGACGATGGCGCCGCCCAAGGGCGCATCTTCTTGAGTCATCCGGGATTTGGGAAACACTCATCCACAGGAGCAAACGGCCCGGACATGAGAGGCAGATGCGATACAGATGTCCAGTTATATCCCCCGATACAGGAAAATGCTAGATCATGGCATTGAGACGGATCATGGCATTGAGACTACGTGATACAAAACGGCGGGGTTCGACGTCTGGTCCGCGCTTTTGATACTGAGCATAACACCACATTTTAACCTCCACTCCTCACACATGTGTTCCCCATATATGCGTTCACAGCAATCTCGGTCCCAGTGAGCCCCGTAAGTTCAGGTCCAAGTTCGCATTAATAAGCCCCCCCCCCCACCCAAACTCAGCCTGGCGCGTGCGCAATTACATCCCAAATGTACAGTCTAAACGCCCAACTCACAACAACAACAGTCCCCAAAAAAGAATATGTACATCATCGAAGATAAACAAAGCGAAGCAACGCAGCAAGCAAGCCATGCAACCTCTTCAAACTGGCTTCCCACGCTCAACCCGAAACCCAACTGCCGCCTTCCCCAAAATCCCCAACACCACCCCCCACCCCCCTCCCTAGTGGCCCTTCTTTTACGACAACTCCATGAGACTTGCCCATCCCCCCTTCTGCGTGGGCGAATTCCACAGGGGCATGTTTCTGGTCCATGGACGGGGCCCAGGGATAGGGCACATAGCCGCCGTTTTGCGGGGGGCGGCCGGGCGTAGGGCCCATGTTGTAAGGGCTGCTGCTGCTGCTGCGGGGGATACTGGGTGCTGGGGCGGCGGTGTGCCTTGCATGGTGGGGCGGGTAGACGGGGGCCCGGGGTGGTTGTTGGGCGAGACGCTTCATTGTGGGGGGCCTCATCTTGGGCCCGGGGGCGGGTGCCATGGAGTGGACGGGGCTGGCGGAGGGGTTGGCCATGCTGTAGCGCGGGTCGTAGGCGCCTCCGGGGGGCGCCATGGCGGCCATGTCGGGCGGCGGGGTGTGCTGCTGCGGGTTGGGGCTGCCGTAGGGCGGGGCCAGGCCGTGGGGACCGCCGGGCGGGCCGCCCATGAAGCCGGGACCGCCGGGGGGTCCGGCGTGGGCGGCGGTCATGGGGGGGGGAGGGCGGATTGTTCTTGTTCTTGCGGCGCAAGAGGAAGAAGATGCCGAGGCCGAGGAGGCCGAGCGCGGCTGGGGAAGGGGATTGTCAGTCAGGTCTTCTTTGAGCGTGATCGGGGATTACGGGGAAAGGACTCAGCGCAAGACGGCAGACGTCGGAGTCAGTGCTGGGAATGAAGGTCGTAGTGGCAGCCACACCCAGAAGTTTCCGGGAGAGTCTTGTCTGGTCGCGGCGCTGGTCCTCACGCCGGGGAATTGGTTGCCAATCGTCGTCGTCGGTAGAGGGAGAAGGGAGGGTTTCCGTGGAGGGAAGGAAGACCTCGGGCCGGCGGCGGCGGTCGGATGAAACCTCGGCATCGTTCAGCCGCTGGGAGGTCTCGCGCGCGCTCGAACCTTCTTCCCCCCGGTCGGAGTATGAGAAATTACATTTGGTGTACGTCTTTGCCGCGGTGTCGCAGGTCGGGAATGGTGAAGCCCCGACAGCCGGAGCCGCTTGGGGTCGGCGGTACGAGAAGGACAGCGCAAGACGGCAAGTCGGAGTCAGTGCTGGGAATGAAGGGTCAAGTGGCCGCCACACCCAGAAATCCCCAGGGAGGAAGCTTGGTCGGTACCAGACCCGGGTCCTCCTCGCTGTCAAAGTCCGGTGCGAGTCGTGACGTCGGTAGAGGCATACGGCAGGCAGGCCGTGTAGATCAGGCAGTCCGTGGGTCAAGCAGGCCAAGCCGACGGCAGAAGCCTCGGTGTTGTAGAGACACTGGGCGGCCGAGTTTGGCACAGCGACCATAGTTGGAAGCCTGCGAAGTATGAAGCAGTGAGATTTGGATTGGGCGATGAGATGGGTTTACTGAAACGGTGAAAATTTTCCATCCACGTAGCCGGCAGGTGGTTGGTGTCGCGCTTCTGGGCCCCAGGAGAGCGCGGGCGGCCAGGGCGCCGCCGTGAGCACGCGAGGCCGTTTCAAGGTGAACCACCGGAGTCCTTGAAGCTTCGGGGGCGGGTGTCTGGATGGGACCGCCAGCGGCGACCTGCTCACGCCCCATGCCAGCAGACACGGCGGGAACGCAGACGGCGGCAGCGGCCAGCCATCGGAGACTCATGACGGCCATGTTGGGCTTGTCCTAGTGCCGTTGAGACTTGTCGGTGACTCTGGGATGGCGACGGGAGCGGAAGGCAGGAGGAAAGAATCGTCGGAAAAGGATGACCGGGGCGGTGGGTGGGCTAAAACGGTCAACCTCTTCCAGCGACGACTGGCAACTGCATCCTTCGGCTCATGGTCCCCACGGTTCCCATGCACCCTGTCCTCCGCATCGCACACCATGCCGTTTCGCGGAGTGCCAAGGAGAAAAGAAGCGACGATCACTGGCGCCATGTTGATGCGCTAGCGACTTTGGGCGTCAGCCGCACCGGCCATGCACAGGAACAGTGTGGCACAGCGAGCGAGATGGAGATGACAAGCACGAGCAAGGCTTGCGGGATGTGCATGGTCCAATCTGCGAGCAAACGGCGCGTCGATTTGCAGACGGAATATCGTGTTTCGAATTGAGACTTCTCGAAGGCCGGTAGCCTGGGCAGCCCGGGCAGTCTGGATCATAAAAGCTGCATGTCTCGCTCATCCCCGTTGGGGTTCTTTTTCGGTTGATGAGCATCAGGCACCGACGGGGCACCCTGGTTCTGCTCATCCACAGTATGGACATCCAGCATCGTGGCGCCCAGAAAGTCGCAGCGGGTCATTTCCACCGCCCCTCCCCCCGGCCCCCCAGTCTTTGATGAAGGGGATTGGGGAATATTTTCAGCTTGAAACCCTGTCGTGTTCTCGGGCCATCTTCCCTCCGCTGACGGATTTTTGCACAAGGGCAAAGGCACACGGGAGACTGCCAATCTCGAGCCAATCCAATCCATCCACCGGCTGCGTGGTTGTGGTGGGAGAGAGTTATTTGAAGATTGGTGTCGGGCGTCTTTGCCGTCGGGAGAAATGGCACAGCAAAATAAAGAGTGTTCCGCTTGACGAGGATAGGAGATCTGGGGAACCACAGCGTTGGGTCTGACGCAGGCTTATTTTAAGCTTTCGGCCCCCCGAGACATTTTTCCTCAGAGGTTCTCAGGGTCCAATCCACCCATCCACCGCCATCCCCGCACCGTCCCCGCTTGGCTTCACAGCGAGACAGCCTTTGACAGACCAGTGTTGTTTTCGGGAGTCAGGGGTTAGGGTTGCTAGTGAGTGCGTTCACCTCCGGACCGAAAGGTTTTCCGTTCAAATCGGGTCGGGAACAGCTTTTTGGGGAATTGGTGGAGGTACCTGGTACGGTACAGTCCGCAGGGACGAGGGCCTACAATCCCAAAATGTTGTCTCAATAATAAAGGGACCTCCTTAAGCTTATTAAATGCCTTGTTGGATGAATAGAAAAGAACGTCGACAACCTGGCAGTGAAGAAGGTTGAGCGACAAGGTACCTAGGGAGGTACCGAAGTCCCTCAGGCACCAAAGCAGTTGGTTCACCGCCTTCCAGATTTTAGTGGTTCTGCTTGGCAGAATAAGGCCCAGGGGCATTTACTTGCAATCGTTTAACGGGCGGTGAGCTAATTCTTTTGGTGCTCGTCGGGCCATCTGCAGACCAGAAGAGGAGAAAATACAGGGGCAACAACCACGAGACATCGCTCCACCAAACACAAGCACAGCATCGTCATTTCCAAATTAACTGAACTACGTATCCAAGTCCTTTTGCAAAGAAGGACAACTATTCCTCATAATTGATCATTTAAATGGCGTCTCGCCGGGTCGGTCGTTCGATTGATCGGTTTGTTCTGTGATGGGGTATTCAGGTTCTGGTACCTAACCAACTGTAATTGATCCAGAGCTTCAGAGTCCTTCACTGCCAAATCTTTTTTTTTGGGCAAGTTTAGTGGCACGGGGTCCAGTTCACCGCCTTCCTAAAACATCAATGCACGGCTGACCGCCTTTCCTCTGTAGTGCGGTAAAGGGGGGAGGGGACCTAATATTTCCTCCCCCCAAACGGCGAAAACGTCCTTTTTTAAACGATTTGGGTGCATATGAAAATATTGATCTTACGCTCTTAATTCAGGATATACAGGCATGAATTCCTAGCTACTGTGACTGGGGCGTGTCTGATACGGGCGTTCCTAGCGATATAGCCACATCAGGCCCAGTTGATGCACCTCCCTGAGCCCCATCTACTGCATTTTGCTGGCCCTGCCCCCGTGCGGGGCCTCTACCCTGTCCTCTCGGGCCCCGCGACCGCCGGCCTCGGGCTCGGCCCCGGGCTTGCTGCTGCTCCTGTCGTTCAACGAGCTCCCACCGCGAGGGGTCTCGGGCCCGCGTGGCGGCCGAAGCTCGGCGGTAGTTATATCCACGGGGTATCAAAGCGACGGGGATCTCCTCCTGACTGACTGTAGGCCTACCACGCCTTGTGATTCCTACTAGCGGCTCTTCGATCGCGGCGAAGGGGTCGTTAGCGGCGAGGCTCACCTCAAGGTGCCAGTGGGGATGGGTATCGAGGTAACTGAGCTCCTGGTTGCTACGTAGTTTACGCTCGATATCGTGGGAACAAGGGAGGCCAAACTGCTGGTGGAAAGCCCCGGTGCACTCAGGGGGTGGTTCCCTGTGCCTCTGGGAGGCAGTCTGTCCGAGGTCACTCTTGACCCTGCTGTGGCAGATCCTGTGTTGCTGCGCCACGAGGCCAAGTGCCTTGCGGCTAAGGCGGTAGCGTAGGTCTCCCATCCATCGACAGCTGCTGTACTGCCCGAGCTGGCGCGTGGCCTCCTCGCCCTTCTTGGCGTTATATGAAGCCTCTTGGTCCTTCACGAGTTGCTCGACGCGGCTGGCGAGAAACCGCAGTTCTGCCCTTGAATTCAGCAGGTACGACTTCACCTCCTTGTGACTGCCCTCTGTACGAGAGGTGACCCGAACGCCGAAGTTCCGATTTTGACGGGTGAAGCACTCGAGGAAGTGCTTCCTCCATGGGAAGTAGGTCGACAAGATGTAGGAAACAGCGGGTTCTTGATGCTCGGCGAACTGGTCGATCAGCTGCTGCCACGCCATCTGGAAGTCGTCAATCGTCGAGGCATATACGCAGGCCTTCCAGACAGACAGAAAGCCGGCAGGGGTATCTTCAGTATCTTGAATCGAAAGGGGAGGGCCGATGACAGGGGCCTCTGCGATTAGATCCCTGAAAGTAGGGTCCACGTGATTACCCTCTTCTTCCTGTTTTCGCAGTGCCTGCTGGCTGGGCTGTTGGCCGTCGGGCCAGTTCCATTTCCTCTTGGGTACCACCATACCGACGACGCCGGTTCCATGTCATTCTCATCCCTCCAAAGCCCACCAACACAAGGGATAGCATTCTTCTTTTTCGTCGGCAGGAATATGGAACATTGGAAGTGCCCCATGAAATTGTTTCATGTTTTGAAAAACGGTTGTCGGTTCAAACCAGGCCGGGAAGCCAAACTGTGGAAGTTGGACCTGTTCTTTGCCTGCTTGAAGCTCATTTCTGGTTTAGTTTTCGGCAACTTGCAGTTTGCCAAATCAACTTGGCCTCGGCCCTGCAAGGCAGTCGCCTGCCAGAGGGCCATCAAGGCCATCATCCACCTGGTCACCATCTTTCTTGCTCTGTGGTTACCGCCTACAGGTCAAATGTTTTTATTCTCCCTGGCCTTAGTTGACAATGGTACGGAAGGCGGGGGATCTTGCCGCGTCCTTTCTTGCAGTCATTGGGGCTTTTCAAGCAGACTCAGATTGGCCGGTGGCATGGTTACTGCTTGTTGAAAAGCACGACCTTAGTGTGTTATTGACTGGCCTCACTGGCTTGCTCCTTGTTTGCAGCCAGCGACGCAAACACTTCATGTGGAAGGCCTTTGCGACTCATGTATGTCTTTCGATGAGGCTTTGCCTGACTTGACGAGGTTCTGATCAACATTTAAACCTCATCCCAGTCCAACTTGTAGCTTTGGCTCATGGTTTCTCCACCAAATTTGAAGCGGTGTGCCGGCGCGTCCCACTGTCGCGCCAGCAGCGCACGATCTCGGAACCAATCTTCCCAAACATCCCCCACCGCTACGACCGCCATTGGACCTTTGAGGCGATCCATGCGCTCTGCCACGCCGGCGTTCTGGAACCTCTCACGTCGTCCGACAGCCACGCCACTCTGAATCGCGTCGATTAGGTCCTGGCTCTGTGCCCCGGCTCGGCCGTCTGCCGGCAACGGCGGCAGCGTCAACAGCAAGGTTACCCTGCGCGCCAAACGTTCGCCATCTACGGTTCCCAGCATAGAGCAAGTTACTCCCGTGTTAGTAATCCTGGGAAGGTGGAAGGGTCCATTGCGGGGAGGGTGAACTGGCGCTGGAGGGGGTACTTTGTCGAGGATCATGCGGGATCATTGTGTTAGAGCTGGAGGAGCTGTGGGTTTGTGGCGTAGCTTAGTGGCAATACATCAATGCTTGGTCGTGGACTCTCTGAACGTCGCGGCCCCTAAGTCCCTTGCTTACCCTCCCGTTTCCTCAGCCATTCGTTCTTGAGTAGGCACACGACAGAGCCGTCTTGAACTCCGTGACATGCCCGGCCCCCGCTCCGCCGACCCGTCATTATCCGGCTTTTTCTGTTCCCTGAATTTTGCTTTGCGCCCCCTTTGAACTACCTCAGAGGCTGACCTACTTTTTGGATTATATACTAACATCCCTCCCGGACTCTATCATATCTTGACCCTGGAACTTCCTACCCATCGAGGGTACGGGACCCCCTAGCGACTCACTATTGCGTACACAGACCACCCATTCCATAACCCCCCATTACCGCCCGATGTATTCCCAGCTCTGGGTATGCGACAGACATAACGATACCGGTCGTTGATACGCAGCCATGTGTCCCAATAAAATGACATTGGCCTTGGAGACCTGGGCGCCGACCAGGTATCACCCATAGCTTACCCGGTCCCGCAGGTGCCTTGCAGATAAAGAGATAGTTACTGGTAGGGAGCTATGCAAGAGGGCAATCTGCCGTAGTTGCAAACAGAAATACGTTTCGCCAGGCGCCGACCTTTTTTTTGAAAAGGTCCTTTTCAGAACCTAGTTAAGAAATTTTACGCATGAATCTTTGTTGATGACCAAGTGGCTAGCACCTTTGCATCTCTATGAGGTGGCGGGGGACAGGGAATGATGTATGGAATACAATATGGCATTTTACATGGCAAATCAGTCTAAGGGGGGGGCTCGATCCATATGTATTTGTAGATGTAGTTTGGGAAGGAAATGTTGCTCCTGGGCCGCCAATCTGATGTCAACAATCACCGCCCGCTGCGCCCCTGACAATCACATAGCTGACGAATAATCATGCCACATCATCCAGCCCAGTTCGCCGACGTATTGATCAAGGATGGATGGAATATACTCCCACCAATCACTCGAGTAGTTTAGCCATGTCATGGCGCGGCAATATTCCCAAAAGGTTGGGTACCAGCCTGCACACTCCCAGTCAATGATGACGACGCCTTTATCATCGTTGCGGAGAATCATATTCCCCGGTCGGAAGTCGGCGTGGGTAGATACTGATGCATGGCCCTTGAATAGGGCTTGGTAGAGCTTTCGGAATACTGGGAGCTTTTCCCGCGCCGGGGTTTTCATGCGGACATCGAGGCATCCCCACATGGCATCCGCCCACTGCTCTTCCGTCTCCTGTGGGCCTATAATCGCCTCGTCTTCGATTGGGAGTCCTAAAAGCGAAGCCATGAATGTGAAATCCCAAGACTTCTGCCTCCATATGCCCCCATAGTAGCCTGGGGAGGGCATTCTACGGAGTTCGTCCATGTTCCGCCGTAACTGCAACGCCGCAGCTGTCTTCTGGGAAGCATTCATATCTTTCCAGGCCGAGGATAGCGACCTGCCTGGAATGTCCTCCATAACGATGAAGTTCCAGTTGGTTTCCTCGTCGTGATAGAGCGTATAGACGGTTGGCACGGGCACATTGGTACATTGTTGGACGAGGAGCATGTTCTCGCCCTCTTGGAGCTGCACGCGCGGTCCATATTTGACGATAAAGAACTCACCAACAAGGGCAACAGCGGCACGCCTCTTGGAAATCAATTCAGCTTTCAGGATTTCTTCCGTGCTTGGTAGCGGTGCTGGGAGAACACTCTCGGGGGCAGTGTAAGGGATAGCAGGTCGCAAGGCCATATTGTCTGATCAGGTTCAACAAGAGTCGAATGTCGGGTGCGGGTTGGTGGGGTTCAGGAGGAGATGTTGGAGCAAATAGAGTATTTAAATGGACTGGTTAGATCCAAGATTTCATCCCAGATGAGATCGAGTATAAGGAGAAACAAAGTGATTGAGAAAGAAGGTGAGTGACAAACAAGGGGGTGAGAAAGAGACGGGGTAAGTGAGAAACAAGGTGGGTGAGAAGGAGACAGGGTAAATAAGTGAGAAATATTATTATTATTATTCATACTCCGCTATGCCCTAGGGCGTGCCGGACCCTCAGCTATTTAGTGTACAGGAAAACCATGCCCTCCCGGGCCGGGTGAAAAACCCATACCAACAATCAAGGAGCGATGCGTTTTAGTGAGTCTACGTATACAAAGAGAGGAGGCCTCCTGGCCTCCGAACGGGGGCGCTTCAGGCCGCCGCTTCCAGCTCGAGCCTCCTGGCTAAGTTGTACATCGGCAGCTTCCCTGAGTCCATCAGCCAGTCGAGAACTCTCCTCGCGAGCCGTGCAGTCGTGGGATTGATGCCGTGTAGAACAGAGTAAAAGTCCCGTCGTGTCCGAATTCCAGTTCTCTCCCATCTTCGAGTCAACGGTGGGGCCAAACACCACACTACCAGGTGTTCGGCAGTCTCTCGTCCCTCGCCACACTCGCAGGCAGGAGTCAGAACCTCCGGGACTCCCCGTGTAAACAAGAAGTCCCGTAAGCCTATTGCTCCCGTCCGGATTTGAATCAGGAGTGAGCTCTTCGCCTTGCTGAGACCGTCGTGCCTCCTTAGGGTTTCGTTCCGGAATAACGTCTCCTGCTGATGGTCAAAGTCGTCCGCCGGCCTGGTGATTGCCCTGCCGTCCCGTTCCTTTAACCACCTCGCTTTCCAAGCCTCTTCTACTACCCTGTTGGTATCAACGGTTCCCCCCGTCCAGCGCATGACCAATAAGTGAGAAATAGGGTAGTTAAGTGAGAACAAGGTGTGTGAGAAACAGACAGGGTAAGTGAGAAACGGGGTTAGTGAGAAACAAGGTGAGTGAGAAATGAGAGGAGTGAGAAAATAGGGTGGATAAAAAGGACAGGCAAATAAAGACAGTGGTGTGGCATTGCAGCAGGGAATATGATTACCGGCCTGACTGTATGACCGGAGTTCTGTTAACACAAGAGAAGGCCGTTCAGAGCGCTCCTCAGGGCTGTGGCATAATTAACAAAAGCCTCAAACCAAACAAACTTTCCAATTCAGGTACGAAAGGGGTAGTGGAAATTTCCGCCACCGCCTCAGCCTTGGCTTAGTACCGACTGTCAAACAAAGGAGCGATCAAACCCTTTCCACAGTATGCCATCTGCGTGCCCATATTATTCTCGCCGTTTCCGCGCTGGCAACTTATATTAGCCCCCCTTATTTTGCTTTATTCATCAATACCCCCCCACCCACAAATGACCTTGACCTCAATTCTTCACCATTTGCTACCATCATCACACCCCCATGCACGTGTATTACCCGTGAACGCTTCTTGCTCCGCAGCCATAAAGCACACCCCGCACGTTCCCTGGGCGGCCATGGATCTGGATAGTGCACGATACAGCATCGACATTCAGTCTCCTAACACACCCACTTCCAAGTTCGAACAAGAAGAAGCGGAGCTGCTTCCTGGCAACCTTTTCTCTGACTCAGAGGACTCGAAGCCAGTCAACGCCAGGGAAAACCCGGACAGAGGGGTCAGGTGTTTAAACCTACTACTCGCCATCCTTGGCCTCTTTTTTGGCCTGCTTGCCGTGGCCGGGTGGGTTCTTTACTGGCGAGCATTATCGGGAACACGCCTGATGGGGGAGATCAATGGCCTGGTACTGGAATTTTGGCATCCCGAGCTGCGATCGCCTGGTTTGGGCCCTACTGATATGCCCAAGTTCCAATTGTGCCGATGCTTTTCGAGGAGGATCCGTTGTCGACGCCGGACCACAAGACAGTCGAGTCCGCCAATGTTACGTATGAGTATTGGGTGTCCTTTATGCCAAGTAAGAGGATCTACCATCTCCCAGTTGCTTCATGCGCGCGGAAAAGGTTAACGATAACAAGTCGGGAATGGTTTCATGTCGGTGCCTCACGACGACAACCACATTCTTCCACCACCAATGGTCGATCAAGGAGGCGAATTCTACTCGATTGCCGTCTTCCACCAACTTCATTGCCTGGTAAGTACTGGCCAACGAGGTCCTTAGCCACAGAGTGTATTCTGACGTCGATTACAGCACAGCATCATGAAGATGTGGAACCAAGTCAACGACGATCTCGAGCGAGCGAAGCGCGGCCAGCTCCACGACCGCGACGGAGCCGAGGATACCCACCACCCCGACCTGAAGCGCCACATCTACGACTGCTTCCGTTATCTGCGGCAATCTCTTGTGTGTTGCGGTGACACAGCACTGGAGGGGCAGAACCCGCGGGCAAAGATACCGGACACGGATGGGACGGGGGCGACGCACCTGTGCAAAGACTTTGAGAAGATGAGGATGTGGGGGGAAGAGAGAAGATTGAACGACGGGCACGCTATTTAGGAGGCAGAAGTTTTGGATTCATGTTTGTAACCTCACATAGGTTCATGCTATCTTCGTGCCAATGTTAGGGTGTGCCATACTGTAGCTTCATGAATGGAAATATATACCGACCGTTGGCTTCGAAGAAGATATCAAGAATCGCGAAAGATTCGAAAGCTGTAGGATGGTGGCATCAACGATAATACCCATGTAGCTTGTCTCTGTTAGCTTCTCGACGTTAAGATGGCTTGTGATGAATGCGGTACCTTGTCAAGGGGGGCTGGGTTGAAGGTGAGAGACGCTGGAGTTACTGGTGGTGTGTTGGCAAAAAGGTGACACAACCAAACGTTTGATTGGATAGTACCGATTAAATTCAGCTTTACGGACAGTTGGAAGAAGAGGTGCAAAAAGGGGCCCGTGTTCATGCATGCATGTGCATGTACCTTACTTCTCCGACCCCCTAACTGGCTCGTACTGTCACCTCGGCCGCCTTCAGGCCATTCGCGGAAGCGGTGACCTTGATATCTCCCGTGGCCCCCTTATCCGCCCGCACAACGGCTAGCGCCAACCCGCTGAATGCCTTCCGCGTCAGAGACGGAAACGCCGTCATGTCGGCCGGATCTCCGTTATCCGTCGACACGATCCGGCCCGGCCCCTCAACCGAGAAGGTGATAGCGTTGCTCGCGTGCGGCACCGTATCACCGTTCCCATCCACAACCTCAACACTCACAAACGATAAGTCATAGCCATCACCACGAATAACCTCCCTGTCCGCCGCCGCAGTCAGCTTCTGCGCCTCGCCCACCGTCTTCCTGGTATCCGTCGCCCACGGCTCCCCATTCTTATACGCCACCACCGTCACATTCCCTGGCTGATACTCCACCTTATCCCACCGAAACCTCGCCGCATACTGCCCCCTCTTCTGCCTCCCCGCCGACTTCCCATTCACAAACAACTCAGCCTCATCCCCCGACGAAAACACATGCACCGGCGTGACCTTGCCCACGCGATCCGCCGGCCACGACCAGTGCGGCAGCAGGCGCGCCATGGGGAAATCGGGCCGCCAGCGGGCCTGGTACTGGAAGAACCGATCCTTCTTGAACCCAGCCAAGTCAATAATGCCAAAATACGAGCTGCGCGCGCTGTCGTACGGCGTCGGCTCGCCGATGTAGTCCCAGCCGGTCCACACGAATTCGCCCGCCACGAAGGCATGCCGGTCCTGCGCCTCAAACACCTTGTCTGGCGACGAGCCCCACGACGGCGCGTACAGCTCGTACGCGCTCACCTGCAGCGCCGTGGGGTCGCCCCCGGACCCCGGGCCGACCGTCGCGCTGTTGCTGGAGGTGACCGGGAAGATGTAGGTGCCGCGCGTGGAGAGGGTCGAGGCGCTCTCGCTGCTCCAGATGAGCTTGTTGGGGAAGGCCTTGTGGAAGGCGTCGAAAGAGCCTTGCGTGGAGGTGCCGTGGCCTTCGCCTTGGTAGTTGAGGCTGATGATGTCGACGACCTTGGCAAGGTCCGAGGTCGGGCCGGCCGCGTTCATGGCGGCGGTCGTGGGGCGGGTCGGGTCCTCGGATAGGAGGATATCGCGGAGCATCTTGGCGGTCCTGCCTCCCTCAGCGCTGGATTGCTCGCCGAGCTCGTTGCCGAAGCTCCACACAATGATGGACGGGTGGTTGCGGTCCCGGCGGATGAAGGAACGCAGGTCAGGCTCGTGCCAGTCGGGGAAGATGGCGTGGAAGTCGTTGGTCGTCTTTTGGTGGTTCCAGCAGTCGAAGATCTCGTCGACTACCATGAAGCCCATCCGGTCGGCCAGGTCGAGGAACTCCGGGGCGGGCGGGTTGTGGGAGGTGCGCAGGCTGTTGCTGCCCAGTTCCTGGAGCATTGATAACTGCCGCTCCATAGCGCGGTGGTTGTAGGCGGTACCGAGAGAGCCGTGGTCGCCGTGGTTGCAAGTACCGAAGACGCGGACGGGTTTCCCGTTGATGATGATACCCTTATTGGCATCATATGACACAGAGCGGATGCCAAAGGGGGTCTCGTAGGTATCGATGACCTTCCCGTCCACGGATAGAGTCGTGATGGCGACATACATGTTCGGCTTCTGGGCCGGTGGCGGACCCCAGAGGAGTGGTTTTGTCACCGTGGCCGTGCTGTTGACCGATTTCTTTTCTCCAGCCGGCACCGTGACCGTCGCCTCCTCGAACTTGGCCACCGCTGCACCGGGCTTTCCAGTGTCGGCGTCAAGCTCGTGGATTTCTGTCATCACATCCACCTCCTGGCTGGAAGCAGCTCCGTTCTCCACATCCACCACAAGATTGACCTTGGCTGACCCCTCCGAGACGTCTGACGTGGTGATATAGGTCCCGAACTGACCCACATGTGTCGGGTTGGTCTTGACGAGCCAGACATTACGGTAGATCCCCGCGCCTGGGTACCAGCGGGAGTTGTCGAGCGGGTTGTCGACGCGAATAGCCAGCAGGTTGCGGTCATCAAACTTCAGGTAAGGGGTGAGATCCACACGGAACGAAGCGTACCCGTACGGCCACCCACCGACCAGGCGGCCGTTGAGCCAGACAGCGGCGTACGACATGGCGCCGTCAATATCCAGAAAGATGGACTTGCCCTTGTCGTCCGGGGACACGGTCAGTTCCCGACGGTACCATCCCACGCCGTTCGAAGGCAGGCGGCCCATACCGCCGCTGACGCCGGGGGCGTTGAAGGGCCCCTTGATGGCCCAGTCATGGGGCAGATCCACGGCCTCCCACTTGCTGTCGTCAAAGGAGGTCTTTACGTAGTCGACGTTGCTACCCGGGGGGTTGCCAGAGGGCGGTTGGTGCTTGGAGCCCTTGATGAAATCGTTGCCGGAAGTGAGTACCCATGGCTTCAATGATTTGTACGAAAGCGAGTCGGGGTTTGAGGTAAAGCGCGAGAATTTCCAGCCTTCGTTAAGGCTGACACGCCGCACGCTCTCGCTGGCCTGAGCTTCAACAAGAAGGGGGGCTAAGAGTAAGAAAAAAAGCATCGTGGACAGCCCACGAAGGGACCGGGACGTTGGTGCGAGCCGTTCCATGGTCCGGACGATCATTGACATGCCCATGAGATATCAGTCATGATACAAAAGGCGGGGGCAAGCAAGAGCCACTATATACCACCAGGCGCTTTCGTGGCATTATTACCTTCAGCATAATATAGTCAGGCCGTGCTGCGGGACAGCGGCGGCTGGTTGAGATCTGGTGGGACCTCGATGCATGCCGCAAATCAACTTCCCAGTCCGGTGTCATGGTTGCATCAAGTGTCTTGATCGGCGCTTGCAACTATTTCCTGGATGTGTTTGGTCTGATATTTATGCAGTGCCACCTTGAATCTTCACCTTGCGAGACATATGGCAATGAGAAAGAGGCAGGTAAGCAGGTATTTTTGTTTTCCCATCCCTCATTCGGAAGGGGGATTTGGGGCTCCATGAGTACCATTTCGACCACACTGTGAAGCGAGTTACCCTCGGTTCTTGTGCAAACTCCGTAGAATACCCTTGGGGGCCGCGCAAAGGAGAAGGAAAAAGGTCCCCCTCTCTAACCGTGAAATGGCGTCGTCCTGCGGGGAATGAACCCCTCGAAAAACTTTCGAAATTGCTCCAGCAATCCCCTCACTCTCTAATGGTTCCAAATGGCGGGCTTCCCTGTCGTTGGTGGGAATATCTTTTAGCGATCTGTTTAGCCTGGCGGGGGCATGCGTGACACTGAGGAGCCCTTGGAGCCCAAGCACATCTTCACTATTTCTCCGCTTTCAAATTCATGATCAAGGGCATCTTTATAGCCCTTATGATATAATAACCAACCGATTCCCCGAGTCCCATTGGCGCGTCTACCAATTTACGAATCCACACCGTAGTTGGTCGCGGGTCGTGGGATCTTCCCCCGGCCACGATCACTGAGCCGAATACGACGCCATGCAAGCTGGGTCGGCACTCGGGGTTTTGAAGCACGAATGATGACGTCGTAGCCCGACATATTGTAATTTGGATCCCCTCAACAAATAATATGACTAACTACCTAAGGTAGGTGGACATGTTTGGATCCGATGGGCAATTCTTGCTCTCCACCAAAGTACTGATCATGAAATGTGTTGTCACCGTTTATCTCGCGGCCTCCGAGTTAGCAGTTAGGAATGCTGGTACAAGCCCAAAAGCTAGCGGTAGCCCGATTACTCCATCGCACTACACTGTTGGTCACTTGGGATTCGTGGCAACCTCAACATTTGACCGAGACACGACAACTACCTGACGACTATGTGACGGGTTTGAAGTTGACATGGATAATAACTTGGACCACCATTGATCATACCCCGGATTCACCATCGGTAGCACGTTTCCTCGCCTCATTTGGGGATGGACGTCGTCTGCTGCTCTCGCGGAATCCGGAATTAGAAGATGGGGAAGGGGTGCCGGTTTGTACGGGCCCGAGGTCGCCAGACGCGGAGCCGAAGCGGCTTCGATAGCGATCCCTAGACACTTGCTGAAGCGTCTCTTCTGTCATGGAGCCAACAAGCTGTGATGACCGACTCTTGGCTAAGACCTTTCTGACGTCAAAGAGGTCAGCAAGTGTTGTGACGACCACCTGATCTGTGTCATCATCGGCAATTACTTCCCCAACAGTGAGTATCTTCCGATGATGGTGCACTTGGGCGGTGGCCGTCTGACACACTTCCAGACATTGCTTCGAGATGTTGATATCCTCGCGCAATTGCGACATTTGTTTTTCGCGTTCAGCGCCTTGAGTCGAGGTGGCTGAAGCAAGGCGGTCTTGGAGTTGGTTGATAGTTTCCAAGAACTTGCGTCGACTTTCGTTTATGGCCTGAATCGTCATGACTTCGGCGTCAAACAGGCTTTGCACCTGCACATTACTTGTAAGACTTGAAGAAGAAGTCGTTTCTGCTCTTTGGGAGGCTTGGCCATCTTGTAAGGATTTGAGATAGGACTGGGCATCTTGGCAGATGCGAAGGCATTGCCTGGTCATCTCTCTCTCGTCTTGCAAGTCGATGGTGGCTTCGGCGCTCGTGCTGTCGTTAAAGAGCGATTCCTCGACGCGCTGAAGGCGGATCTCGAGATTGTAAGCCGTATCTTGGATCATCTCACTATAGGTTTCGAGCACTTCAGAATTGAGTTTGGAGTGGCGCCTTGGGGATTGTTAGCCTAAATTTTCAAGAGTCTAAGGAGATCAAAGAACATGTAACAGGACGGGAGATGGAAGCGACTGACATGGTGATGGTCCCCAAGCCGACCATAATTGTTGACTTGTAACTTGCAAGAGTGTCCATAAAATCACGGATGTCGCCCCTCATGAATTCCATCCTTGCCCAGTCTCTCCGTCCCGTTTTTGTCTTCCCGGTGAACTTTACCATGGCCTTCTCGAACTCGACGCATACTTGACTGCATCGATTCACAGGCCCTTCGAGAAGAGCCGACATAGACCGATCGGAACCAGCAGCTGCCTCTAGCGAGGTGAGAATATTGATGAGATCTTCCAGCTCGGCTTGTAGCCTGTTCAACGTCTGGTCGCGATCTTTGTAGCGCTTCACCGTCGCCGAGAGCGACTTCGTTGACTGGATGGCGGCTGTAACAACAGCCAGCACTGATGCGGTAATACTCAAGGGATCCGCCATGTTTGGAGCTTTTGCGATAGCTGGACCCTCGGGTTTTGGACAATCGGTCCCGTTGACGGCCAAGGTTTAGGAGGGAAAACGGGCTCAGCTAAGCTGCGGGGTTGCGCGCGAAATAACAAGGTAGGAATATGCTAATTAGGGGGAGCTCCACCAGATCTCCTGTGTAATCGAATTCATTTGTCAGCGTTTCCGTGAAATCGATCCTTCAGCTTGGCCTCTGTTATCGGAGTTGGCACGAACGGGGAGGCGTAATTATGGGGACGGTCGTTAATAGGCCGTACTCACGAGAGACTATTACATGTATCTAGGCTGCTATTTGACATTGTCGACCTCGGAATGTAACGAATGTTCAATTTGATATGGGGACTGGAAACACGTGGACTTGAAGCCCAGGTGATTATCACCATTACTACATATCTCTCGTCCTGAACGTAACATAACAGGACAATTTAATCCTGGTGTTGGAAGTTGTGGCACTTGAAACACGGAATCTCGGCTGCCGATGCGCTAGTGCTAACGGGGTTTCTGGGGCTGAACAAGAAGCAATAAAAGGAGGTCAGGGCGGGGCCCGCCACTGAGGACAGGAAAAAAAGGACAACCTTCAATCGATGACTTCTGGGCTGCTCCGAGCATTACAACCAGACTGTTGTAAGCTCCATCATCTGTGAGATAACCGTGGAATCGTGGCTGTTGGTCTTCCAACACCTGGGTATAAAACAGAGATCCAACCGTAAATCCAACCGTCCCAGACAAATTTTCTCCTTCCAATATCAGTCGACTTCCCTGCTCGTAAACTCTCTAGCGCCGGCATCACGAAGAAGGCCCTCAAGTTTCCCCTTCGTCGTATCACCCCTCCTAGATTCGCGACCTACTCGTTGGGCAACCTCAGTCCGAAAAGCACAGCGAGCCGTCTTGAGAATCCGAAGCGGGCTGTCATAAGCGAGGCTCTCGTCCAGCCCAGAGCCGGCCAAGCTGTAGCCGTGCGCGGCGCCCACGGCGTTCGCGTCGGCGCCGCTGTTCAGCAGCAGCTTCACGGCCTCGTAGTCCCGGAGCTGGACGGCAGCCTGGAGCGGCGTCAGGCGGCAGGGGGCGGCGTCAAGTTCCGGTCCTTGCAAAATGACCCATTCGAGGTGCGAGCCAGCCGGGCAGGCGTGGTTGTGCTCGACAGTGGCGGCGAGTAGGAGGCTCTCCCAACCGACTATTGTCGATAAGAGGTTGGCGACTTCCTGCCGCGCATTGTCGTCACTCCGGCTTGAAAACGGTTGGTATAGGTCTTTCGCCAGCGCCGCGTTGGCGAATAACAACGGGGCGGATATCCCAATCATCTTGGGCCGCGTTGGATGTGACCTCTTTTGAATAGCGCGCCCTTTTTCGATACCGATAGTGAATGTCGTTTCGATGATTTCTTGGGTGTTGAGGTCTTCCAATGCGGCGGGAGCAAGGAGCCACAGTCTCTGGATACAGCATTCGACCAGCGCGGCAAGCCGAGGATTGGCTGGGGGGGAGCGCCATTCTAGTTGAAGAATACTATCTTTCGATCTTCGCGAGTGATGGGATGCGGCTGGGTTGAGGAAGTCCAGGCAATGGTCGACCACCTTGCTATTGTAGATGATGGCGTCTTCCCAGACCTGGAGGACATTGCGTCCGGTTGCGACGCAGTAATCCTCCATCGAATTATCACTGATCAGGCGGTCGGATGGCTGCGCAGAAACCGCAACCTCCATGACGAGGTTTGCCCACTGGCGGATGACGGCCTTCTCTTGCAGCGCAAAAGACGATATATGGGCCTCGGTCTTTTGGGCCGTCCGCTCGGCGTACAGGAACTCCTTGACTGTGTAGTGCGCCATCACGACGTTGGTCACGTCTTCACTCCTAGCACTGTAGTAATCGCGCTCGCGATCTGGTTGATACGTCTTGGAGCTGCCCGGTACAAAGGTGACAAGGCAGCCACAAAACTCACGTATGTCGTATATGTCGTAGAAATGGTCGGCACCCACCTCCATAGAACGTAGGACCATAGCCAGGAGGACCTCTGCTGTCATGATCCTGTCTCCAAGCTCGCTCTGGGCGGCCAACATTGCCAGTGCCGTCCGGGCAAAATCACGATATTCACGCGGAATGGCAAGAATGATCCTCTCATAGGTCTCATCCAGTGTCTCGGGTAGTTCTGCTAACGCCTTTCTGACATGCGACGGGGACTTGAGCCTGCCGAGGATGTCGACCTGGCACACGGCCCAGCGGAACCTACGCGCGCAGAAGGTCAGTAACCATCACCAACAGGGATACCCCGGAGCTCGCTCTCTAGCCAACCTACATTTTAATGTCCCCTTGGCTCCCTTCACTAGGGCAACATTGACCTCTCTCGATGTAGGGCGCTGGGCCAGGCGCGAAACTTGGAATGGGATTGTAGTTGTGATGTGATATATATCCGGAGGTCCTCCTCAACGTAGTGGTTCAGCATCGGGAATGAGACCGCGTGTGGTTTGATGCTTTTGCTCGATATCGAGATATTGCCGACTCGTCATCAAGAGTCGGGACCTTGTTGAACCGGGGTTCTGTCATGATGAGTTTCAGGCAGGCCAGGAGGTTAGTATACGGCATACTTTCATCCAAGGCGTCTATCGTGATGAACGCAGTATCGAAAGCCTCAAGGCCCGCTTCCAAAATGGGCACCAGCTCCACGATACCGAGTTGGTGTCCGCTCCGATAAGCAGTCGAGAGCTTTTTGGGCACGTTCCGAGCTTGAAGACACAATTGGATAATGATCCATCGTAGTAGCGGCTCCGTTTCATCCTGGTTTCGACCGAAGTAGCAGTAGTAGTACACCCAGCCGGTCCTCCTGTTCTGTAGACTTCGCAGACGCTGGGCGATATTTGAGCACAGGATCGTCTTTCCGGCGCCGGGGATGCCGTGAATCCACAACGAGCGACGATGCCCATCAAGGAAGTCACTCCACTCGGTGGTTCGAAACACCCAATCGCCTGTGTGCGGCTCGTAGAGGTTGACTGAGCGATTGTGGATATCGGAAGGGTTGGTACGATGTAACCAGTTGGTTATGTCGTGCCGTTGTGAATCTGAAGGAGTGAGTATCGGATCAGTAAATATTCACCCCTGATAACCTGCATGTGTTGAACTGGTAATAACTGACCCGTTGAAAAGTCTTTGAGCTCACTGACGTCCCGTCTTTGCAAATCTCGTGTTAGACGCACGGGGCCGTTTGACAGTATGGAAGTGATCCTTACGCAAGACTACTCTGCAGGGCCAAAGATAAAGTGGCCTTCTGGGCGACCAGGTCACCGACAATCTTACTAACCCTCGTCTCTCCACCAGTGGCCCATTTCACCGATTGCTTGAGCCTCTGGCGTTTTGATGGCGCTGTGTTAGCATGAGCAGGAGAGATGGAGAGTTTTGACAATTCCGCTTCCAGCATCTGCACCGAATCATGGCAGGTCTTGATGGGTAGGTCCGTAGCCCTCTCGATGGCTACAGAGCTACGAGGGTCAGAGATGTCGTGGTGATTATGCAACTCGTTGAGAAGCGCTGTCATCGCAGACATCTCAGCGTGTACTGCTTTCAGGGGCCCGGGTTTCCCCGGTTCATTCGCATCAATGAAAGTCTTTGAGAGGCTGGCCGAACACGGTTCGGCCCAGCTGATATAAATGGCCACGATGCTGGCCGCGAAACGGCGAGCCCCTTCCGCCATGGCAGAATGAGGCCTAATTGGCAAAGCCGTTTCGGGCCTATTGATGGAGGCGTTTGCAATAAGAGATAGGGATGAACAAAACGTGGCATAATTATACAGGGACGAGTCACCAAGCCGACGCAGCTACCGTCCCAGACTCGGGGCTTGCCTGATAAATACCACGACCTAATCTGCTCTCCTGGCTTCAGCCAGGAGGGGCTGATTCCTCCTTTGGCGCCAACCCCTGTTCGCTTTTTCCATGACACACGTGGACAGGGTTCGATTCGCGGCGCAGCTCCAGCTTCCAGGCCATTCCATTTTCCTATGCACAGCCACGGCCCACGGCGGGTTGCAGATGGCGCTGGTAGCTCACTGGCGGGAGGGCCAGAGGCCGCCCTCGTTCGTGGCTGAATAATGGCGGGGCTTACGCGAGCCATGCACGCCCTGGATTGTTAGTGTTTACCCTGTGATTTGCATTGTTGGCTAACAAAAGGCCTAAATGTTGGGGGGGGGGGGGGGGTTCTCTCAACTAATACAACACAGCACCCAAGCCCATGACGTCCAAATCCGCGGTCCCTCCACAACATCACGATACCCTTTTCCGAACACATCCCAAACCAGACCCTGAACTGTTCCTATTTGTTTCCAGTCTACTCGGCCATGCCGTCAAATCGGTCGAGCATGTCCAGTTGTCCCACCCAAGTCGGAGGTCCATCTGGTCGATATCCCACACGTTGACCCTGCCGCCAGACAGACCTTTGGGATTACCATCAATGGCACGAGCCGCGTACCACTTTGGACGGTCCCGCTGGAGCTCGGTCGGCTGTTGGGAGTGGTAGGCTGCCTTGGACTCATTCCACCCCCGGAAACCATCAACATCCTCGCCGACGGGATGGCCAGTCCTCGAAAGGCAGAGGAAGTATTGCGCTACCTCAGCCCGGCTTTTAACGGTAAAGAAATGCTCCCAATTGTCACCAAAGTGGTAGATATAGACCAGTTCCTTCGCTCATCCTCACCTACAAGTCAACATATACCCAGCACATCCTTATATCCAATTCACCCCGGTACTCCGGCCTGTCCAACGACTATCACGAGGGCCAATAATCGCGCTTCCCCTCGCCGTACCAGGACGGCGGCGCTGGCTCCCATAACCACGATTGATGCCCCAGAACCTGCCCCGCAACCGTTTCCACCACCTGCAGCAAATACCCGCGCGGGTCTGAAGCCGGTGTTTGCCCGCCATTGCCATCCACGGCCGTCATCTCCCTGGCATACGCCACCACATCCACCGGCCACACATACGCCGGATCCTGAACCGCAAACTGAAACAAGTGGATCCAGTCGTGGTCCAGCCAGACGCCGTCTGCAGGCCCAGGTGCAGAGCATAGAAGGACGCGGCGGCGGGGAATGACAGCGAGCGCTCCATGCGCGGGGATGTGCTCCGGTATGAGCCGGAACTTGAGAATGTAGTTGGGCCGGTGGCCGCGCCCCCTTAACCTCCAGGGACTTCCCGTCCTACTGCAACTGCTTCCTTTTTTCTCCGCCTTATCCCAGCAATGATCCCTTCCCAGTCCGGATACCTAAACCCCATCTCCACGCCAAACTTCCTCTGTATACAATTCGCCATAACCGCCGCAATCGCCCCCGGGTTGCTCCTCGTGCTCACTTGCTCCCAATACTCGACATCCGGATCCCAATCCTCGTCCTCGTCCCACCCCGACTCGTACCATTCGCGCACCATCTCATCCCGGAAGTTGCACTGTGCCAAATCGACGATGCGTGGTGTCTGCGACTGACTGTCCACAACCACGTTGCGCGGCGCACAGTCTTCCATGAGGACGCCGCGCTTGTTGATCTCATACGCGGCATCAGCGACGAGCTGGATGATGCGGTGCCAAGTCCTTAGGTTTTGTGGTGGGGGGCGGAGCGTCAGGTCTGCTAGACAATACCCGTCGATCCGTTCCAACGGGATACCTCTCACTTCAAAGTACGGCGCTGTTTCCTTTGGAATTTTGGTCCCGAGCGTGGTGGCAGACAGACTTACATGAGCGTAGAGGCGTGGGACTAAGGTGCCTTGGAGATCGCTGAGTTGCTGATAGGCCTTGGTCTCGCATTCAAAGTACTCGATACAATCTTGCCACAGCGCCGCCTCGTACTTGGCAAGGTCCTCGGTTTGATTGGGCTCGTCCAGGAACTCAGAAGCCCTGACGGGGAGCGTTTCGGCCTCGTTTCTTTCCTTTCTCTCGATAACTGAGGAACCCAGGCATCATTCCCCGCTTAACAAAGCCCTCGAACGCTGCTTCGCTTTCCAGTGTGTGCGGTGCGGTCCTGTCCTTGCCAACTTCACGCTGGTCGGAGTCAAATCGTCGGTCGTAGAGCTTGAGCACACGGTGGACAGGCGGGTCCTGATGGGTCTGGAAGGTGACATCTAGTACAACGGACATGGTCATGGAGATTACTCTGTTGATGGTGGCGGTGACGTGCATCATGCGATTATGTTTGGTAACCAGGCTGGGACAATAAGAGGATTTGGGGACTTATTTGATTTCGTAAGGCCAACAAGCCTTCCGCAAGGCTTGTAAGCCCAACCCCCCTCTTCATTTTCCCCCTACGGTACCTACCTGCACGTATAAGGTCTGGTTCAGTTGCAAGCTCAAGCCAAGCTCGGCCACCAACAGTTCCCCCAGGCACGACATCACAACAAGCCTTGAGGAAAGAAACAGTTGCTGCGGGGCGCTCTTCCTATGAACAACAGAATACGCACACCTAGACATGATAGTTGAAGTTCTATGACTTTTACAGCAAGAATGACTGGGGATTTACCTGTGGCCTCCAGGGCTTCAGCTTCGCGGGCCTGCGCGACGTGTACCAGGACCTCTTTGATGCGACACTGCATATAACAAGTCACGACGTCCAGGTCGATGACCTTATTTTCACTGTACGGCCATCCGGCATGGTAATCGCCGGCAGCGTCACTGTCGAGGGGCACGCCTCTGCCAACGCCACCATCGCCATCAGCAGATACGGCCTCGAGATCACGGGTGGAGTGGCCGATGTGGTGCTAGACGGCGATATCGTCCTGAAAAGCTCTTCGTTCGAGATCTTCGTCGGGCGCGAGGATGTCACACCCTTGGCGGAGCCGGGCACGTCGTTCCGGTTTGCCATTCAGGGCGCCGTCAGCGTGGCCGGCTCGGACATCACGGCGAGCATGTTTCTCGACAGGGACGACAGCGGAAATTTTCTGTGGACCGTCGTGGCCGGCTTTAAAGGCGGCTTTAAGTTGACCACCATGGCGTCGGAGCTCGCGGAACGTTCCTGGATCTATCAGTAAAGGCGGCAACTTTTATTGCCAGCAATGTCGACGGTGTAGCCGCTGCCGGTGCCGTCGTCCCCGCTACATATCCGATCGTCAATGGTGTTGAGATCGCAGGGGTTGTCGGGCCCATTCCTACGTTGGATGGCGCTCTGCACAGCTCGGTGACGGGGTTGACGCTCGCTACCGTGTGCTCGGCCACTTCGTCGTCATTCGAGCTAGCCGTTCGGCTCGCAACCTCCCGTCAGATGTCGATGAAGAGCGGCACCGTCTTTTCAGGACCAAAGCCCGGCACTCCGGCCCGCCTGGATGTGTAGTTCGGACCACAACAGCAGACCATTTTGATGGGCGGCGGTGCTAGGCTGTTCGACCTCGACGCCCAGATGCTACTCAAGGTCAAGATCCTCCCCAGACTCAACTCTCCGCTCCGGACCGTGCTCGACTTCACCGCCCATCTGACATTCTAACTCCAAGCTGACATGCGAGGACGAGGTTCACATCCGTAAAAGATCTTGACTTTGACGTCCACGCCATCTTCCAACAAGACATCCTCGACTACATCACAACCCAAGTCAGCGAGCAAGTCTAAACCGCCAAAAAGGGCATCGATAGCGGCATCGAATCTGCCCAGAAGGCAGTACACGACGCCCAGACGCAAGTCGATACCGCCGAAGCAGCATACGAAGCCAAACTAAGCGCAGCAACGAACGCGCTGAGCGTTGAAATGGGTGACGCCAGGGAGATCAAAATGCTGCTTGATAAAACCGCAACCGAGGCCCAGGAGGCACTTGACGCTTTCGTCCCCACTGCTCAGGAGAACCTCCAAGCAGCCAGAGACGTGAGTGTCCAGAAGATTCAGGAGGCGCAGCAGGCGGTCCAGGATGCGCAGGCCACGGCGGGTCGCGATATCGACAGCCATCTGCAGCATTTGAAAAAGGCTAAAGATGATATGAACAAGCAGTTTGAAGATGCTATCTCCAATGTGCAGAGCGCCCAACGTGGTGTGGATTCACTGCAGGGGCAGGTCAACGATGCGCAGCGTTCGCTGGATGACGCGCAGCAGGCTCTGGATAATGCATCGTGGTGGGAGAAGATCCCCAAGGTTCGTTGCTTGCTTCCTCCTCTTTGGCATTGCCCCTTTCCCTCTTCCCCTCCCCTTTTCTTTTTTTCTTTTTTTCTTTTTTTTTTTCCTGAACAGGACTCTCACTGAGTGGTGTGCCGGCTGCGGGAAGTGACAATCCCCCTCCACAACCAGACCCCACACAGACTCGAGCCACTGGACTGACTTCCGCCGCGGGGACCGAAACATCAATTTCCTTCTCCTTACGTAAGTTACATGACAGTTAACTAGTTAACGTAATCCATCACCTTCTGGGACACACCACCTTGTGGGACAGCTTTCTGCCCCACACCCCACCACGTCGACTTCGGACGCACTCCACTACGCCATTGTGCCCGGCAAAATGCCAAAGCCTCTACAGCACGAAGATAGAATCCAATTAGCACTCGAGGCCTTACGTTCAGGCCAAATCAAAATCATTCGCAAGGCTGCGGATGCGTTTGGTGTACCGAAGTCCACTCTCCACAGACGCGTCAAGGGGGGCGGTACGCGTCAAGAAGCTCAAGTCAAGAACCGAAAGCTACGCCCAACTGAAGAAGCAGCCTTGATTCAATGGATCGAGTCATTGGACGACCGTGGGATGTCGCCGACGATCGGTTATATCCGACAGATGGCTGACCTTCTTCTCCGCGAGCGTGGAGGCTTCACTCTACTCGACGCGTCTCTTACATCCACCCCGGTCCCGGCAATGACTGTCGGTGAGAACTGGGTCCAGCGGCTTCTTCATCGGCATCCCCATCTGGAGACGAAGTATTCTAGAAAGTACGACTATCAACGGGCCTTATGCGAGGATCCAGAGAAGATTTCAGCGTGGTTTGCACGAGTGCAAAGGACCATCAACGAATACGGTGTTCTTGACAGCGACATCTACAACTTTGACGAGACTGGTTTCCAGATGGGTGTTGCAAGCACGTCTAAAGTGGTCACTCGATCTGACCGACGGAATCGACCTGTTGTTATCCAGCCGGGAAATCGAGAGTGGACAACTGTCATCGAGTGCATTAACGCATCCGGCTGGAGTGTTGACCCGATGATTATCTTTGAAGGAAAAGTCCACATTTCGTCGTGGTACGACGGCTCAGTGCTGCCAAAGACATGGCGGATTGGAGTCAGCGATAACGGCTGGACAACCGATGAGCTTACCTTCGAGTGGCTTCGAGAAGTCTTCGAGCCACAACTCGAAAACGGACTGTTGGTCGATATCGGCTTCTCATTCTCGATGGTCATGGAAGCCATTCGACGCCTGCATTCGACAAATTCTGTACTGAGCATCGGATCCTTACAGAGTGTATGCCTCCGCACTCGTCGTACTACCTCCAGCCCCTTGACGTTAGCTGTTTCGCTGTGCTTAAGCGGACGTACGGCGACCTTGTCAAAGCGAAGATAGCACTCGGGGTTCATCACATTGACAAACCGCGATTCCTCGAACTGTTTCTCGAAGCTCGGAAAAAGACATTCAATACAAAGAACATCGCAAGCGGCTTTAGAGCTGCAGGGCTCTTGCCTTTCGATCCAACTCAGGTTCTTTGTCGGCTACAAACCAGGATACGGACACCGAGTCCCCCTCCTACCCCTATCCAACCGCCAAGTCTGCCTCTCAAAACGCCCGCAAACATCGTCGAACTTGACTCTCTCCAGAGGAAACACCAGAGAGAGATAAGCCCAACAGATCAGGCGCTTCAGAAAATCATCAAGGGCTGCCAGATGGCGATGCACAATGCTACTCTTTTGCAGGAAGAGAACTCGCGACTTCGAGCTGAAAATGGTCGACAAAAGAGAAAGCGGGCACGCCGAGCTTTCATTCAAACAGGAGGGACTATGACGATTGGAGAAGGGATGACACACATCGAGGCCTCCCAGAATGCTCGTCAGAAGGGTCAAGGAAGCCAGGAAGCTCGTCGAGAGGTCGAAGAAGGAGAGGTGGGGCCATCGGACACGACTGCGCCAAAGGCACGAAAGCGTGCCCAGCCGAAGTGCAGTGTTTGTGGCTCAATCGAGCACAACGCCAGAAAATGCCCTTGTAAATAAGAACTCGAATTATGTAGAATGTATTCCGAATAGACTCTTTTTGGTGTTGTGAGGTGCGTCCGAAGTTGACCTGGTGGGGTGTGGGGCAGATAAGTGTCCGGAAAGGTTGTCTGTCCGGAAAGGTGATAGATTACGTTAGTTAGTTAGTTAGTTAGTTACCTAGTTAACTAACTAACTAACTATTCACACTCCTGTTCCGCAGCCTGGTTAGATATATATTTGAGACAACAAACCCAACACTCCATCATGGTTACCTGGCGCCCAATGACCGAGACCGACATCCCGGGTGTCATGCTCGTCGCCGACGAAATCCACCACGCGCTGCCCGAGCACGAGCCTGTGTTCCGCGAGCGGTTGAGCCTTTTCCCCAACGGGTGCATGGTGCTTGTTGACGGCGAAGAGATCGGGGGTTACTTCGTCACATTTCCTGTCCGCCAAGGCAAGCTTCCCGCCCTCAACCAGCTGCTGGGGGGATTTCCGCAGCACGCAGACCAGTACTACCTCCACGATATCGCTGTGTTGCCGGCGCTTCGCGGGCGCGGGGCTGCGGCGGATGGTATTGGGCAGATTTTGGAGGTTGCTAAGCCGTATCCAACAACGTGCCTGATTTCGGTTTACGGTACTGTTTCGTATTGGCATCGATTCGGGTTTGTCCGTGGGCCGGTGGATGCTGCGATGGAGGAGAAGCTGAGCAGTTATGGGTCTGACGCGACATACCTCGTGCGCCAAAACAGTTGACCATAGAAGCCTACTTGCACAACTACACTATAGGATGAGGTTGTAACCAAGACCGTTTTCTCTTGGTCCTTGCGATTGTCCTCGCATTCCTCCGTCCCACAAAACCATTCCTGCGGGCATTTCCTTCCGCAGCTCGGTCTCCGTTATCAATCAATCTAATCTCCGCGGATGGTCCGGGTTTGCCGACGTCGGCATATGACGCCCATTCGCCGAGACCGATCGAGTGCTGCTTGGTGCTTTTGCTAACTGACTCAGCGGACTGAAGCTGTGAATGTGACCCGCCTTTGTTAGCCAAGCTCGGGCCAACCCCACCCGGAAATCGCCCCTTCGAGCGTCATGGCCCAGGGTCAAGTCCCGCATCCCCAGGAACTTTTTAGCATTCTTATCTTCCCCAATCCAGCAAACAACGCCAGCATTTGGAACTTGATATCGGCATCCAACACGGGTCTCGACATCACAATACCGTCGTTCCTCTATTCATACGACGCTACAGATTACACAGCAGCCAAAATGTTTTCGAGAACCGTTCGCGCAGTGTCCCGCCGAGCTCTGGCAACCTCAGTGCGCCCGATCGCGGCACCAGTTTCCCGACAGATTGCGCCCTTAGTCTCTCAACCCCAAAGGCGCCATTACCACGAGAAGGTTCTTGACCGTACGTCACAGATACATGCGCTCTCGATTACCGCGTAGGCTCCCACCACTAGAACCCCGCTAACATTTCCCGTGACAGACTACTCCCGCCCGCGGAACGTCGGGACATTAGACAAGTCTGATAGCTCGGTCGGCGAGGGGTTGGTGGGCGCTCCGGCTGTATGTCGCACCCTGCAGGTTACCGAGTAAACATTAACATGGCAATACCGAGATAGTGTGGCGATGTGATGCGGCTTCATATCAAGGTCGACCCTGATACCCAGGTCATCAGCGACGTCCGGTTCAAGACCTTCGGGTGCGGCTCTGCAATGTAAGATCTTTTTTTTCTTGCGATGGTCCGGGCCAGGCTCGGCTATCCGGCTGCAAATGGAAACGCCGGGTTTCCAAACGCAACCCCTCATTGCGCGGCCATCCAAACCGTTGCTAACTTTGATCCAGTGCCTCGTCAAGCTACCTGACAGAATTGGTCCGTGGCATGACTCTCGACCAAGCCGCCAAGGTCAAAAACACAGAAATTGCCAAGGAGCTTGTACGTTGATCTCGTCTTCACAACCTTTTTGCTACATTGCTGACACCCTTCCAGTGCCTGCCGCCAGTCAAGCTCCACTGCAGTATGCTTGCTGAGGACGCGATCAAGTCGGCCATCAACAACTACTACAAGAAGAACCCCGACGTGAAGACCACCAACCTTGCGGGGACGGCCGCCAAGCTTGAGACGGCGACGGCATGAGGTGGTGATGCAGAATACAATACGGGGGGTGGGGGGGGGGGGGGGGGATGCGCGAAAAGAAAAAACGATCAAAAACATTGGAAAAAGATACAAGGGGAAATGGCTTCTCCAGCGCTAAATTGTAGCGTCGCCAGCAACCCGCGAAGTTTTCCTGGTCTTGATCCAGTGTCCGGCGATGGCCTGCGTCTACTGCAGTGGAGTTTGATGGGTTCGTGGCTTGAGGGCGTGCAATGGGCGGTTTCTCCGCCTTTTATTATGTTTTTTTTTTTGCTTGCGACTGGAATTACCCGTGTCTGTATGATACCATGGAGTTTTCAAGAAACCCAGATTGAAATCAGCATTTCTCAGTGTGTTCCATTGTTGTCTCCCGATGATTACCGTTTCTGTGGCCTTGCCAGCATTTATTGGGCTTATGCCTTGCGACTTCCTTCCGGGGCAGCGACGGAATCCATGCTTGAAGGAATGGAATGCTCTGGTGCACTAAGGTAAGGTACCTCAGCGTGACACAGTCTCAATTTTGACGGGGGAGGTGCTTTCTACACAGAGTGACATAATTCTACTGTGGTACTCCCGTGCAAACGGCCTCTGGCCACTCCACGATCGCGACCGTTGCCTCTTAGGCTTTCGATAACCACCTCATTTCAATTACAGTATCGACTTTCGCATCCTGGTCTGCCCGAAGCTGGAAACTCCCGTAGCGGATCCCAAACAATTCATGACCGACACAAAGGCCACACTGTTTGTTATTTCCTGTTTTCTGCTGGAGCATAACTCAGCGGTTGTTCCCTTGGGTTTCATACACAAAAGCGTCTGGAAGTCACAGAAAAGTACTACGGGAAGAAGAAGTCGCCTATAACAGCGCACATGCGCAAACCTGAGAGTATGCCATCTCGAAACGATGAGGAGTTGCCCAAGTCGGCAGCGTCCTTAGCAGCCACTTCTCCCAAACGAACCAGAAACATGAACAAACACGTAAGCGAGAACAGCCCTCGAACGAATACGTCAAAAGACATCAACAAATTGCCTAAACCACACAACCCTCCACCGGTTTTCCCCTCTCTCAATGAGAACCCGGGTTCGACGGTGCGTCCCATAGGACAATCACCGCAGTCTTTTGTGAATTCACCAACCCGGCGTCCTACAGAACAATCACCACGACTTATCACTTCACCAACACCTACGCCACTCAAGCGCAAGAAGCCAGACAACCGTATCGTTGAGAAAGGGGCGGACCGAAGTGAGATGACTACGCCAACGAAGCGTCGCCGAACCCGTCGTACTGTTATCGATAGTAGCGACGAAGAGTCTGGGCTAGGCGAGAAGCCGCATCAAGGCGCAAAAACCACTGGAGCCTCAAAGCCTAGAGAATCTACAGCATCACGACTAGTTTCCATCGATAGTAGTGATGGGAAGCCAGAGCAAGGAGCGAGGTTAGGATCTCGTCAGAATTCAAAGCCCCCCAAAGCTCCAGGGAATTACGGAGCTACGTCATTATGCAATATCGTCAAGGACCTCGCTTCGTTCCCAACTGGAGAGGTTGCTTACGGTGCTGAGCTTGCCGACCTACCAATGCCTGACATCGAAGTTCTCAACACAGGCGTCATACGGTACCCGTATGACGAGGATCAGTTAGACAAAGCCAAGGGATTTGCAAAGCAGTTGCGAGACAATCGGTCCGGTATTTCCTGGGAGAAGATCAAGAGAACGCCGATGTGGTATGTTTAATCATACATTCTATGAAACCCAACGTCACTGGGAAGACCTCAAATCGCTAACCGGTGACTAGGATGGTCCCGGGCAGCGCCCTCAAAGTTCGAAATCCGAGGTGGGACCAGTATCTTGGGCACCTTGCCAGCGTGGCCGGTAAATATTTGGGTTTTGGCAAAACGGAGCTCGTCCCCCGTTTGCGGAGCCTTTTTATTTGGGAAGAGAGATCCGTATGGCGGAACTACGAAAAGTGTGTTATCCCATACGAGAACAACCATCCCATATCTTTTGTTCTCTGTGCTAACTGAACCACATCAGCGAGCTGTACGACCCCACACGCGTCGCCAACCTCCTCATCATCCTCAACCAAGACTACTCCGGCGGCGAGATCGCCATCGGCAGCGACGACAAGGAAGTCTTCTTTGACCCAGCCGCAGCCAAACACCCCCAATTCTACATCGCCAGCCACAACCGCGCCAAACACGACGCCCTCCCCCTCACGCGCGGCCACCGCATCGCCCTAGCCTACGACCTGCGCCTCCCCGACCCCCCAGACTCCCCCACCCCCACCCGCACCAACCACCCCGCGAAACCGCCCTCGGTACACGACCTCGTCACCAGCCTCACCGCCGCCGAAAACAACCTCTTCTATAACATCTCCTGCTGGGCCGAAGTCCTCGACGACAGCTACGTGGCGCCCCACGACCCGCTGTTATTCGTCCTCGAGACCACCTACCCGCCGCACGAGATGGCCCTGCCCTATCTCTGTGCAGCTGACCGCGCCAAGGCGCTCGCGGTGCAGGCCATGACTTGCGAGCGGTTCGGGGACCTGGACGTGAAATACCGGCTACACGCGTACTTGGTGCAGGTGACGGCGGTGGTTATGTTCTCTGGGGGTGGGCGTGATGGGGTGGTGATGAAGGTTAGGTACAGTGTTGATCAGGCGGTGGGGTTAGGGGGGGAAGTGGGAGTGTGGGAGGGGATGCGCTTGGGGAGTGGGTGTCTGCCGTTGCAGGAAGCGGCGTTTGAGGTGGGGGGGGGCTCTGGACCGAGAGGAACGCGGCGGCGGACGAGGACGGTGAGTTTTACTGCTTTGGGCGGTTGGCGTCTCGTGGTTGTGACGGTGTGCTAACTTGAGGTTGTCTTGCAGTGCCTGCTACTTGTGCTACAAAGGGAGGACGCGTAGGCGTCTTGGTCTATTCCTCACCGGTGTTACTTGCACGCTGCCGTCAGAGGTATGTGTGCGGGCGGACCACATGCAGACTGGGCGTGGGGTATTTGCTGATAGGGTTGGGTAGGTATTGGTTGCTTTTGGCGTTCTGCGAACCAGTTGCCTCGCGAGGCTCATCTGGGGGAACAAGTAGTCTTATTTGATAGGTTAGCTGGAGCGGCCTTTGGCCCGAGTAAGCAATGTACTACTTAACCGGTCAGAGAATCCAAGAGACACGCCGCTCTCGCTTCCCCAACCATTTCTCAATATCTGTTGAGTTTGCCTTGCTTGACGCGGCGTAAATGTGTGCATTGCCGCGATCGTCCGACCTCCCTTGAAGAGTGCATAATCTTGTGTCCGTGTTGGAGCCATACTAGTACCATCTCTCCAGTCTCTGGTTTACCGCCTAATGGTATTATTGGTTAGAGTTGTAAGGTAAGGCTACCTCTATGATTACTACAGGAAATATTGCCAGACTTTACTTCGTTCCCCGATATCATGATAACGTGATATCCGACCGCGCCCAGCCCTATTGAAGCCGATAGCATTTGTAAGTTGGGGATGCCTGGAACCTCAAGGGTGATGGTCATGGGGCTTTTGAGGGGCGCTGTGGCAACTCAGCTGCGGTAGGCATGTCGTGTGTCCGTGTCTGGTTTTCGTATGGTCAGCCGAGGCGGTCAGGATCTGGTAATCTCCGCCATTGGTGATCCATTCCGCCGGCAACGCCGTGCCAACATGCATCTCACACGGAAAGACTTTGGGCCAGGCCAGACGTGTCAGGCAACATGAAAGAACCCAACATAACCCAGCTTTGGGGCAACGAAAAGAAAGTTGCGGTGACATCACCAAACAAAGCAAGTCGTTCAGTGTTGGTCCACACAACCTCTGCAATCTAGGTATCAGAATACACTTTTTGAGTGGCAACCCAAATCAACCGAATTCCTGTGGCACTCTCCGTCTATAACCCCAACAAAGGATAGAGGAAGTAACAATGGCCTGGGTCACCGTGACGCCGTCACTCGACAAGCCGTTGGTGGTTCACATTGTTGTTGTGCCTCGATGGATGCGTGCTTTGATCGGTAATTGTATTCAAAAAGGCTGTCTCACCTCCAAGCGGGATCACCAATTCGTATTCTCATGAACCAATTCCAACTTGACGATAAACCCAATATATTATTTGATTCCCAGCTCCTCATAGAACCCCAACGACAGCAGTCACTTCGCTCATCATGCCCACAAAAAGCATCAACTGGCACGCCATCAAGGCCGCATCTGACCACGGCTTCCTCGCTCACGGTGATAATCCAAAGTTCCGCTCCATGCGCATCAAGTTCGAAGTACCCCTGGCTCATAATGATCCGCAATGCGACGAAAAGATACAACTACACGCAGAGCTCGTCTACGGGTACGGCCAGTCTCAGACCAAATATGACCTGTCCGATGGCGGCCTGGCCAAGTCCCTGGGTCCTCTAACCTCCCCGCTGTGCCCTGGCAGCTCATCCACCCTCGCCGTCTACCTCTGCGGCGGGCCCGGCTCCGACAACCCGGCCTTTGCGTACGAGGATCTGACCAAAAGCCTCCTCGATATGATAAAGACTCCTGTGCTTTACCTTGACTACCGCGGCACCGTGTCTAGAAAGGCCAACGCCCAACTCAGCAAGTACCGCATCACGAATAGTAGCTTTGAGGGGTTAAGCTCACAGCAAGTGGCACAGCGCCTGATGCTTTACCGGCAGGATTCAATCGTGGCGGACTTTGAGGCAGTGCGGCTTTGTTTGAACAATATCTGCCAGAGGGATATCAAGTTCGCATTGCTGGGGCAGTCATATGGCGGCTGGATCGCCATGACCTATCTGTCTTTCTTGCCAGAGAGTTTGGCAAGGGTGTGGATCACCGGCGGGATGCCTCCAATTGGGAAGACGCCCGAGGTCGTGTACACGGCGCTGTTTGAGCGGGTGACCCACATGAATGAGTTGCATTACAACAAGTATCCAAAAGATAAGGATGATGTGTTGAAGATCGTGAAGCTTCTCGCCAACGAACACGGAGGAAATGGAATCAGGCTTCCTAACGGGCAGAGACTAACTGCGCGTGGGTTCCTAACTATGGGGCGACACTTAGGAGGAGGAGAGGCCGGGTTCAAGAAATTTCACGCGCATGTGGACGGGTTGGCAACCAAAGGCAAAAGTTACGAAGGGCTCAACAGAGAGGACATCACTGGATTCAAGTTGACAGAGAGGCCGCTTTATGCTGTTCTGCACGAATCCATTTACTGCTGCTGCCCTGGGGTGGCATCCAAGTGGGCGGCGCAGCGGGTTGGGAGAGGACCCGAAATGGTCGAGAAATTCCCGTGGCTCAAGGAGAAGTTCAACTTTACCTCTGGGTCCTTGGGAAAACTCTACTTCTCAGGGGAGATGATCTACGACTTCATGTTGCAGGATGCGGGCCTGACCAAGCTTGCCGAAGCGTCCAGCATACTTGCCGAGATTGAGGATTGGCCGGAGCTCTACGATATCAACGTTCTGAAGGGAAACCAAGTGCCGCTGACAGCTCTAATATATCCGAACGACATGTATGTGGATTCCAAGCTCTCTTGGGAAACAGTAAAAACGATAGTGCCGAGTTGCATAGCAATCCAGGCACCCGAGAAATGGCACCATGGCCGCGTCAAGACAAACAGTCTCGAGGTATTAACGGAGCTTTTAATGGGGAATTGAAAGAACACTCGGCAACTTCGTTGTAGACGAGGGCTGGAAGGACTGCTGGCGAAGAAGATGCCAAGCCTACCAAGCGAGCCCCTTTCGAGTGTTTGTTGACTTGCCCCTATTTCCCAATTCTCTCGCTCGGGGCTCGGCTGGACCGGTCCAAGAGGCAAAAATGAGGGAATAGTGGACTTGGTGGCGGCGAGAGCTACATGCACTAGAGATACTTGATAATAATTTAATACTTAATACTACGATAGCAACCGGAGACCTCATGTGTTGGTTACTCGTCATGCATGTTCCTCGTTGAGATGCACTGAGATAGAGACACACTGTGCGAACTTCTCTCATCTCAGACTGTCAGTTGATAACTACCTATAGAAGTCAAAGACCTGATAGCTGCAGCGCAGGTGATATGCCCACCGGGCCTTTTAGGTAGACATCTTGTTTTCACTGGTGCTGTAGTGTACTAGTGGGTTTGGTTAGCGGTTGGACTCTGTGTGTGTGTGTGTGTGTTCGGGGAAAGTGAAAGAATAAGGGTTATTGGATGACATATGAGAGGTAGGCAGGAAATGACACTGTCAATGATTGAAGAAAGACCAAAAAATGATAGACTATTACAAGACAGTCAAGACTTGTGTCATTTTGGACGTCAAGGTCCAGGGTTTGGTGTTGGCTTTTGCAGCCCAAAACTGCACAACCCGAACCCCCCGCCCCCGCATGGCCAATGCCCATCGGCCGCATGCTGTCAGGGCACCAGGCGCTGCAGTTGGCGGTGAGCCAGCGGCCCCAACTCGAACCGTGCTGGCGTTCTCGATGCCAATTGGTGGCACCACCTGGGGTTGTGGGGCAGAAAAATGCCGGCGATTGCCGCCACCTCGGGCTTTGTTCAACCACACCGAAAGTTGACGAGTTTCCATGTTCCACTTTCACTTTCACACCCACCTTTTGATGATCAACCACACTTCACACCCACAATGTCCGACCTCAGAGGGACGTCACGAGACCGCCGGGACACAGAAGCCTTAGCCCAGGTTGTCGCCGAACATTTACCATCAGGATACACGGCCGAGTTTGACAGTACGGCCGGAAGTACAGATGGCGCCACGCCAGCTTCGGCCGAGGGATCGGACGTCGTGCCCATCCCGGAGGAGGAATCGTCGCTGAAGTTGCAGGGCGGCGACATGCATCGGGATCTCTTCAGGCTGCCCTCAGCAGCAACCCGCGTCCCGATGCACCGCCGGGCAGCAACCTTCCACTCGCCCAGGGATCTTCACCCGGACGATGATGCCCCGCCCTTAACCGTCGGCGACCAGCTCGCCCCGGGAGGGTTCCGTCGTGCCTTTCTACATCAAAGACATGGAAACGATTTCATGGCCGCGAGGCTACCAATTACGCGCAATTTCGTCGAGTTTCTCGACCTCTACGGCAGCTTCGCTGGCGAAGACCTTGTCGACACCGATGAGGAGGCCGTCACCGAGGAAGAGGAGGAGCAGGGGGAAGGAGTAGAGGAAGAAATGGTCGGCGAGCGGCGCCCTCTTCTTCGCCAGCGTATTAGCTCTGTCCGGACCCCGCGCTCCGCCAACGCCGGCACTGTGAAGACATTCTTCACCTTGCTTAAAGCATTTATCGGCACCGGCATCATGTTCCTGCCCAAGGCCTTTCGCAACGGCGGCATCCTCTTCTCCACCGTTTCCATGCTCTCCGTTTCCGCGGTCACCATGGTCGCCTTCCATTTGCTGCTACAATGCAAGCTCCACCACGGCGGCGGGTACGGCGATATCGGAAACGCCATCGCCGGGCCGCGGATGCGCACCCTCATCCTCTTCTCTATCGCCCTGTCCCAACTAGGCTTCGTGTGCGCGGGCATCGTCTTTGTCGCCGAGAACCTCGAAACTTTTTTCCACGCCGTCACGGGCGGCCAAAACCCCTTCACCTCGGCGGGGCTAATCGCCATGCAACTAATCATCCTAGTCCCCCTCGCCTGGATCCGCAACATCTCTAAACTCCGGCCCCGTCGCCCTCCTCGCCGACGCCTGCATCCTGGTCGGCGTCAGCTACATCTACTGGTATACCAGCGCGTCGCTCTCCTCGACGGGCGTCGACCCCACCGTCGTGCTGTTCAACCCCAACCACTACACCCTCACCATCGGCGCCGCCATCTTCACCTTCGAAGGCATCGGCCTCATCCTGCCCATCCAATCCTCCATGGCCAAGCCCCACCACTTTGAACCCCTCCTTGGCCTGGTCATGCTGCTCATCACCGTGGTCTTCACCTCGGTCGGCGCGCTGTGTTACGCGACCTTTGGCGAAAAGACCGAGATCGAGATTATCAACAACTTCCCGCAGGACAGCCCGCTGGTCAACTCGGTGCAGCTGCTGTACGCCATCGCCGTGCTGGTCGGCACCCCCGTGCAGCTGTTCCCCGCCCTGCGCATCCTCGAGGGCAAGATCTTTGGCCACATGCGCTCGGGCAAGGGCAGCCTGCGGACCAAGTGGGTCAAGAACCTGTTCCGGGTCGGTGTCGTCGTGTTTTGCGGCCTGGTCTCGGTCGCGGGGACCGGGAACCTCGACCGCTTTGTTGCGCTGATCGGGAGTGTCGCGTGCGTGCCGCTCGTGTATGTGTATCCGGCGTTTTTGCATTACAGGGGGGTGGCTACTCAGAGGTGGGTTAAATGGGGGGATGTGCTGTTGATGGTGGTGGGGTTGGTGGGCATGGTGTATACCACCACGGTGACGATCGTGAATAGTTTTATGTGAGCATGAGCGTGAGCGTCGAGTGATCTATGTATGCATGGGAAAGGGGCGTTTTTGAACGGGATTTAAAGGATGGGTAGATGTTACAAGTTGGATCATGGATGGTAACTAGGGTAGAACAGGACATTCGCGTGTGTTTCGATGATGATGATATGTGCCACGCTTGTGGTAGGGTACCCCTGGATCAGCGCCGGGCAGTCCACCCCCGATCCTCCTCCCCAGCTCCACAAAGGCGAACTAATTGAAAACGTACGATTCATGGGCAGCAGCGTGCTGCGGTAAAAGCCTCCTTCCAATTTTGATCAAGTACAGAAACCAATGGATATGGTTATTAACATCTATCTCCCGCAGTTCTTCGCATCGCAAACTGTATTCTCATGGATGTACTTGATTTTTCCCCCTTCCACCCTCATCAGGTTGTTTGTCTGCGTGCCCGGGTCCCGCGGGATCGACTGGTCAAGGAAGGGGAAGTTGTGGAAGATATCGATAGCCCCGAGCTCTTCATCGATGGTGAAACCGCCGGTTGGTGACATTGAACGGCGGCGGAAAGTTCAGCAGACATTTCCCGCCCAGAGATGTACAAGCCGCCCTCGAGCCGGGAGCAGTCCTGCGGTGAAGGGTGAGCTTGATCGTGTCCGTCACCCCATGCATTGGATGGTACGCCTCTCCGAGCGGCCCTTTGAATTACCTCCGCGCGAGGTCGCAGCTTCGCCTCGGGAGATGGGCCTCCCCAGTTCTCCTTTCTTGGTTGTAATCCAGAGTCCCCTTCGCATCGAACAACCAGTCGCCCGTCTCGCAGACGTTTGATTCGATTTTGTAAATTTTGTTGTCCGCATCCAGGGCCAGCCGCGTCCCGATCACGTACGGGTGGCCCGTCGTGGCGACAATCTCGGTGTACGACGCGCACTCGGTCGTGTCGTAGATGCTCCGGCTGAAGTCGATCTTGATAGGTGCTGATAACACGCCCTCCGTGATGTCCAGCTCGGCGTCGTTTTCTTGGTAGATGAGACTATCTTGTGCAAGGTCCGAAATAGCAGTCGGGCCCTCGCCGGAGCCAAGTGCTGCGATGTAGCTTGCAGTGGCTTCTTTAAGGAGATCGCGGGTGCATGCTGCAGATGCCTGCGAAGAGAAGCCCGCAAGGACAAGGAGCAGTAGAGAGACCATGTTGTACACTTGGTCAGATCTGGGGTTGCTAGGGCGTAGCGGTGGGATGTTGGTAGCTACAACAGGTTTAGAGTGTTCTGGCGTCGGGTACCCTTGCATTCTAATAACGGCCCTCGGATGATAAAGTAAAGCCTGTAGAGGGGTTCGGGTATTTCCCCAACTCGAATCATTCTAATTTATTCTGCCGGCTTTATACCCTTCTCCGGTAGTTGTAAAAGCCCAGGACTACGTCGATTACGAGAACTTTAGCCGTCACTGTTACGGGATATCGAGTATGGGCGAAGCAAGCATTGTTTGGTTCCACGAATCATCAGGGAACCTGACGTGGCATGTCCACGCTCGATGCTATCTGTTTCAAGGGAGGGGGCTCGACGCCATGCCACGGCAAATGAATGAATGCGGGAGTCTCATACTTTGTCCTTGGGTCCCCTGTCACTCTTACAACAAACAGCTAGGGGCTCTTAGCTGCCTCCGTATTAAGTCCTAGTCAAAGAAGACGCCTGTGACCCGCGACAAGTCGGAAGCTGTCATCCCCGACAACAATGGATGGGAACCCCCTGAGGCCGGAAGCAGCATCATCGTTGGTCATCTCAGTCAAGCTAGACCGGTAGCTGAAGAACCATGACGGCAAGGGTGGCCCCTGTATTAGGAGCGAACTGGCTGGCTAAACTACCTCGGTGCCATATCCTTCTAGGTTCCTATCCAAACCTCTCCGAGAATCCCGGCCGAGACTTGAACCACCGGCACTACGACTCGTAGGGCATAATGGTCGGCGCTGCTAGAATGGACAAAAACTTGGACGGAGATTCGATCGTCAGCGTGATATGTCGTACATCCTGCGTACTGGAAGCAGGGCCATGATATCCGCATGGGTACGTGGGCGAGAGATTTGTCCAGGTTGGAACAGGTCTCTCAGTGTGTAAGCTCGGCGGCCATGTCACGGGGCATGCTTTTGTCATTGCGCTTCCGAAAAGTGTGCACAATCACAGAAGGGGATGAGGACGACCCGGTAGGGTTGATTGAGCACGGAGCTACTGGAATTTGGCCGAGGTTAGGTAGATGTACAATGATCTAAGTTTACTCTGCAATCTACAAGCATATAAAATACTAGTAGGAGAAAAGACAACGAGTGGATATGTAGCCATATCATAGTACAGGATCGCAGACTAGATGGTAAAGTCCGGTGGAATCGCCTAAGCGAGGCGAACTGGAATGTAGCTTGCTGGTCCGGGATGGCACGCCTTTTCTTGGTCGAGGAGTTGTGCAGCCTGCGGTAAGCGCACGGACCACATACAGCCAAGCAGACCCCTGCCTGCAGCAGCAGCAGCTGCTGCATCATCGCGGGGCTGTTGCCTGTCGTTGCCCCGCGTCTTCCAGCTGCCGCTCGCCTGTGCCCACCACCAAGCAGGGACAGCTCAAGCTTCATGCAACATCGACTTGCAACACAAACTTGACCTTTAATATTCTGCGGTAGCAGCGCTTGAATATTTACCATGGCTTGTCCACATATTGGAACAGCCTGTATGCCACCCGACCCGCATCTTTTGTTTCGCGAACGCTGACATCTCGCTAGACCTGTCTAAGCCGACAGTAGCTGATTCGGTGTACCGCGAGGATTGCACCCAGTGTTTCGACTCCATTGTGCGTACTGGGATTGCTAGATTATTTCTATGCCTTGGCTAACGACCTAGGATGACGCCGCCGGCCTCGATGTCTGCCTCAAGTGCTTCAACGGCGGCTGTGCCGGCGACCGGCACCACGCAAAGTTGCACAGCGATGCCAGAAAACATCCCCTAGTCCTCAACATCCGTCGCACCCGGAAACAAATTGTCCGCGACGAGCCACCAGCAAAGATGTCGAAGCTCGCCATCGCCGCCGAGACCGAAGCCGACCGTTACGATACAGCGCTGACCGTCAAGTGCCTCGAATGCGGAATCGATGACATAGACAAGAGCGAGCCCACGATTGCCGCAACTGTCGAAGCGATCATGAAAGCAAACACATTTTCCCGGAAAGAGGAGGTCAAGGCATGGGAACAAGAGCTTACAAGCTGTGAACACATCTTGATGCTCCAGCAGGATCCGCCGCGGCAGATCGAGTCGCAAGATCTGGGCCACTGCTCCAACTGCGACTTGAAGGAGAACCTGTGGCTCTGCTTGCAGTGCGGCAACCTCGGTTGCGGACGGGCGCAATTTGGCGGCGTGGGCGGCAACTCCCATGCCCTTGCGCATTCCCAAGAATCTGCCCATGGTGTTGCGGTCAAGCTGGGGTCAATCACGCCCGAAGGGACCGCGGATGTGTACTGTTACACCTGCGACGATGAAAGGGTCGATGAGAATCTCGGAGCGCACCTGGCAAACTGGGGTATTATTCTCGCGGAGCGACAGAAAACGGAAAAGAGCTTGACGGAGATGCAGATTGAGCAGAACCTGCGGTGGGAGTTTTCCATGACGACGGACGACGGGAAAGAGCTCACGCCACTATTTGGTCCGGGCCTCACGGGACTGAAGAACCTCGGGAACAGCTGCTATCTGGCCAGTATTCTACAATGTCTCTTCGATATGCCGTCCTTCCAGCAACGCTATGGGAGCGGGGTTGAGTCCCCCCCTGACACATCGGACCCGGCTCAGGACCTGGAGACCCAGCTGCGCAAGATCGGGGACGGTTTGTTGTCCGGCAGGTACTCCAAGCCAGATTCGGACGTGACTGTTTCGGAACTCACTCCTGAAGTTCCTCATCAGAAGGGCCTTCAGCCCTCCATGTTCAAGCACCTTATGGGCCGCGGCCACGAGGAGTTCTCGACTATGCGCCAACAAGATGCGTTTGAGCTCCTGCAGCATCTCGTAAAGCTCATCACCAGGTCTCAGCACCCTGCCGGACTCGGCGACCCAACCCAGGCCATGCGTTTTGTGATGGAACAGCGATTGCAATGCCTGGGGTGTAAAAAGGTGCGCTACAGTACCACAGAGCAGGACAGCATATTTATCGACGTGCCGCTCGAGAAACTGCCTGCCGAGAACGGCCAGGAGGCCAAGTACAAGCCCGTCGACCTAAAAGAATGCCTCGACAACCTAACCGCGTCCGAGATCGTGGAGCTGACCTGCTCGTCATGCGGCAGCAAAGACGGCTTCACCAAACGGCAGCTCTTCAAGACGTTCCCTGAGGTATTGGTCGTGAACGCGCGCAAGATGGCTGTTGTGAACTGGGTGCCTGTCAAGGTCGACGTTCCGGTCCTCGTCGGGGATGAACCGTTCGCTCTGGATTCGTATCTCTCCAAGGGCCAGCTACCCGACGAGGAGGCGCTGCCGGAGGAGGCGGCGGCGAGCAACATGCCGACGTTCGTGCCGAACCCGGAAGCATTTGCCATGCTGGAAGCAATGGGCTTCCCCAAGGTCCGTTGCGAGAAGGCGCTACATGCCACCGGGAACAGCGATGCGAACGCGGCCATGGAATGGCTGTTCACGCACATGGACGATCCGGATATTGACGCACCTCTCGACCTGGGCGGTGGCAGCGGCGCCTTCACGGCTGACCCAGAGCACCTTGCAATGCTAGAGTCAATGGGTCTGGGTGGGCCACGGGCAACTAAGGCACTCAAGGAGACAAACGGCGACGTTGAGCGGGCGATTGAGTGGTTGTTCAGCCACCCCGACGACCAGGGCGAGGCTGACGTAGCTGCCAAGGCCGCCGACACCGGCGGGGGCGCGAACAAGGGTGGCCCGGAAGCAGGGAGCAGCGTGCTGCCGGCCAACTTCCAGCTGCAGTCGATTGCATGTCACAAGGGCACTAGCATCCATACTGGGTGAGTCAAGTACTGTATCTATCGACGCGGACCCGGCTAACCTCGTACTTTCTAGGCACTACGTTGCGTTCATCCGCAAGAAGCTGGGCGATGAGACGTCGTGGGTCCTATTTAACGACGAGAAGGTGGTTAAGGTGGTAGACGTGGAGGAGATGAAGAAGTTTGCATATGTGTACTTCTTCCGGCGGGTTTAGACACGGCATGGGTGGTAGTGGATTCAATGAATACAATGCTGGGCCGGGATTAACCCTTAGAGGACAAGACACTGGAGCGCATCAGGGACGATGTATGTAGAATTTATGCCCAAGAAAGACCATCATTAATGCGGGACTTGATACTATCACGTTTCGCATCCCGCATCCCAGATTCACCGTGCCAAATGACCATCCATCCAGCCTTGCAGTAGTAGCAGCAGCCCTCCAGCGAACTCCCAAACTCCGGCCAAGGCCACCCGCCCCAACGCCCTATCCTACACCACCACCCCTTCACCACCCCAACCAACCGTTCAATCTAATCCGCCAACCGATAACTCACCAGCGTATCCACGCGATGGCTCTGGGTACTAAACCCCCTCAGCTGGACTCTCTCGGCGTTCTCGATCTCCTTGGCGTCGCTGTCGCCCCACTCCACTGGCACCTCGGACGACGCGTCGGCGTACACCAGCACGTTGAAGGTGCAGTCGCCGCCCTGGAGCTGCGGGAGGAAGGTCACCGAGGCGGTGATCTGCCGGAAGATGGCGGCGATCTCGGCTTGGATCTCGGCTTCGGTCTTTTCTTTTGGCGCGGCGGCGGCGGGGGGGTCGTCGGTGGGTGGGGTGGGGGTGTTTTCGTTTTCTTGGTTGTTGGGCTTGGTGGAGGGTTTGGATTTGGAGGATTTGGAGGTTTTGGATTTGGCGAATATTTGGACCTGTGGTTTGGAAGAGAGGGGGGAAGAGCTGGGTTAGTCTTGATACCTATTTGGTACGGTGTGGTGTGTGTGGGAGAGGAATGCAGAGGGGATAGGGAGCGTACGTCAAACTGCCACCTCTCGACATGCTCGCCCGTGTCCTTGTCGGTGATCACGATGACCAGCTTTTGGATCTTGCCGCCCACCATCCACTTGTCCAGCTGCGACATGATCTTCTTGATGTAGGCGCGCACTTGGTCGTCGGACGACACCAGCATGTTCAGGCCATATTTCTTGACGGCGGTGAAGTCTTCGGCGGGGTAGACGCCGCGTTGGAAGCTGCGGGAGACGGTTAGCTTTTCGCAGGCGGGAGGGGTCGGTCATGGAGTCCGGCGCGTGAATCGGGATGGTCCGTACAGAATCGTGTGGATCGAGTATTGGAACTGTCGCAAAGGAGGGAGCGGTTAGCAAAGAAGAGTGGTCGATATGTGGACTGCCTGCCAATCGCACTCACAAACTCGGCGACAAGCTTGGCGCTACCTTTGAGCGACAGCTTGTGCACCTTGGATTTGTCCTTCTCGGGTGCTGCGGACGCCATGGTTCGTGGAAGTCGGGGTGCCTTGTACTGCCGATTAGAGGCTCTGGCGTTGTGGGTTCTCGATGTTGTCACAGGAATCTGATCGGACGGTTGCAGCTCTCCCCCACTTTGTTTACTTTCCGGTCATTGGTGGAGGTTGTCAGGGGCTGCGGGTGCTAAGGGAGTGGGTCTGCTGGGAGTCGGGGACTCGAGACTCGAGACAGGACAACCGCTGCCACGCGACCCCGACCGTTCCCCTGCCAGAAAGTTAAAGCCATGTTCTCGTTGCTTGTACGAGTTAACTAGAGGCTAAGTGACTTCGATCCGGATGTAGTTAGCGTGCTTAGGCCCTATAGGCTTAGTGCCTCGGGGAGAAATAAATCCGTCCATCCGTGTTCTCGTTCAATGAGAGAGTTCAAGGACCATCAGAGAAAGCGACTTGGGATGTTCCGAGGCTGTCTACGGAAGCTTCATCCTGTCACATCTCGGGCCGATTTGATCAGGATTACCTTATTAAAATGCATTGCAATTGTCTAGGAGACTCCTCAGAAGTTCTTGTTGTTTCATTAATTCATTAATATTGACCGATAGCTTTACTCTTATCCAAGTAACAGCCAACTGGAACATGAGATCTACCAAGAGTAGGTACCTAGGTATCCCTGATCCTGAACGATGATTCCCTAAAATGCAATGCGGCCCGAATTATGGGTAGGTGTTTGTACACAGATGTATACGTGTGACGTCGCTCATTCAGACTGTCTCCGAAACGACAAGCTTATACAATTATGGGTATCATAATGGTTGTGGTGTGGTCGGTAATGTCCAGTAGACGAAACCACGTGGGTGGAGTCGGGTTTTAGTGTTTCGTTAAGGGTGTTGTGGTTGCGCGTCTCAGGGGTTGTAGGACACTCTGACTGCCGCCGCTGGTCCCGATGCTTGTTGTCCTCGGTATTGTCCGTGGTTCCCCAGGCTTTTGTTCCCCCGGTGTGTCCACGGTCTGAGCCATGTGGAAAATGGACGCTACGGGGATAACGTTGAGTAACCGCCCGATCGGCGATTGCTGCGCGGTGGTTGATTAATTCTCACGACCGTCTCCCCTGACTGCTCAAAGTCGAGGTATTGCGGTCCGTCGGGGTGCCGGATGGCCGGTGGTGTTCCGGGTGGCATGGGCCAAGCCATCTGGCCTGGGGATAACGCGGCGCTGATGCCACTCCCCGTGCTAGTACTACTCATGCTTCCCCTGGTGACATGAGCATTGGACAGGATGCGATGATTCGAGGATCTGGCGGAGCCTGGATCGGGTGCGAGGTGCGGACTTTCCCTGGGGAGAGCATGCTTGCTGCGGACACCGGCGACACGGGGGATGGAGTGAAGCCAGTGGTGGCGACAGAATCGTATGTGAAGGTCGACACGCGGTTGCTGTCTCGCCCAACTCCGGGCGGCGGAGCGGCATGGGGATGTAGGCGACCCGTCTGACGCATAGGGGGTTGGGATTGCCCGCCGCGGCCACTGCGGTTTCGGGCGGCCGAAGCGGCTGCTGCTCCTCCTGCCGTTAATGCTGCTGCTGCGGTGGGCACTGGGCTTATGAGGGTTCTCCCCATACCATCGCCGCCTGGTGTATCAACTCGAGGGGAACCCCTGGATTGTCCTCCGAGCTTGCGGAATGGTGCCAGCATGCGTTGCACTGCGGTTGACCTCCTGAATATGTAAAGAAGAAGAGCGAGAAGAGCGAGAAGAAGTAGCAAGCCCACTTCCACCTGTTAGCCATGCGAACATGCAAGACTATGGCATATCGACAAACAGTGGGGTAAGATAGAACTCACCAACTATACCGGCGATCGCCCCAGGTGTCAGGCCGCCACCAGATGTGCCGTCTTTGTCGTTCGTTGTGATTCCAGTATTCCCCCCTCCAATTCCACCAGTACTGGATGGATTGGTTGCCAAGGGAGCTGGTACCGATGACACCCCAGATTGTGTCGGCCGGTTTGCGGTGCTCGAGCCGGGGTCGCCATGTCCCGAGCCACCGGTACCGTTTGATCCCCCATCTTCGTTCCCATCTCCCGTGCCCGTCCCCGACCCTGAATCCCCGCCTGGCGGCCCGTTGTCGTCGCCTTTCCCGGGTTTATTTCCGCTGCTGCCACCGGGCTGCACGAACACGGGCGCCACGGACGCCGTTTGGCCGCTCGTCTGCTCGGTGTCGGTTGGCGGAGGCATTGGTGACGGAACCCGAGGCTGGGAAGTAGAAGAGGGAACAGGTTGAGGACGATCCGATGGTTTTGGAGATTGTGTGGCAGCCGGCGGCACAGCAGGGGGTCGCGTTGCTATGGGGGGCGTGTGCTGCGGCACAGTGGTCCTTGGCGAGGTGGTAGTCGGCGCCCTGATCGGCGTTTTGGTTGTCGAGCTTGGGGTGCTCCCGCCGCTTGGAGTCCCTGGACCGGTGGATGTTGAGCAAGCTGGGGGCCAGAAATTGCACCACCACGGCGGATTATTCCTGCCCCTCCCTCCCCATTGCCTCCGGACGAATGACGGATCGTCTGCGATCGGCATTGTGGCATGGATGTCGAGTTTTGTATCCACTGCAAAGTACCCAAGACTACAATGTTCCTGTTTCCAACATCATAAAAATACACTGGGCGTTGCCCACTTTCGGTCCAATATAGGGGTGAATAGGTAGTTATTTGAAGAGAGAACGAGCGAAGGGCGCAAGACAATACAAGAAGCACCCAAGTGGCGGCGGCGAAGGGGGCACGCGCGTGGTTTAACAAGAGTGAGCGCACTGAGGGGCCCGACTTCATTGAGAGCCTGGCCCGATCAGGGTATCATTTGGCTGCTGGCCTGGGCTGAGAAGAGCAAAAGCTGCTTGGCTGCATCATTAGCTGGGCATATTTGGCCCTCTCTCGTTGCATGGTGCCTGACGCTTGTCCCGACTCGGCATTGCACAGACGGTGATTGGAAAGTTGAGTGACCAAAAACGGATCGAAGTCATGCAGCTTGTGGCCCCTGGGCTGCCCGGGTGTTGCCTGCAGAAGATGAAGTTGGGGGCCGGCTCGCGGCTGACGGCCCCGACAACAACAACAACAACAACAACAACCACAGCGGATTTTGGATTTGGAAGAATTTTGTTGTGTTTTGGCGGAGTGACCGAAGTGGAAGGCTCGGACCACGGCGAGCGATCAGCGGGCACAAGCGAGACCGAGCACATCACCCCGGACATACCTAGTTAGCTCCATCATCCGTTATCGTTCGAAACGAAACTTGATGGATTCGAAGTCTGCAGTGCTTGTGGCGCACGGGCAGTCCAGACCAGTCCAAAGGAAAAAGCTTCGGATGCTAATGTCACGTTGGGGGCCATTCCACTGTCTTGCAAGGGAACAATCAGATCATAATTCATCAATCGAGAGCGTGGTTCGGACCTGGAAAGAGTGAAGTTTTGGTGGGCGGTCACCTGTGGGGTTTCGCTTAACTCAAGCGCAGTGGGGCAGATCGGTAATTTTTAACCGAGTAGCGGGCCTTGCACGTGGAGACAGAGCCGTTGCAAGCCACTCAAGCCACGGTGGAACGGACGGTGGAACGGGCGGGTTCAAGTGCTGGACATGATTCAGCTCGAGAAAACATCATTCGATCTGATTTGACGCCATTTCCAAAGATACACTTTCTAGACATTTTGTGTCATAGAAAGATGCCTTGTCCGTGGAATGTGGGAAGGTGAGGTAGCCTTAGACTGTAACTGCCTAACTCTTCGATTTCTCCTCAAAACAATCCACCGAACTGGAATACACCAAGAACACAGCACGAAGACCAAAAATTATCATAATTCTTGCGAATAAAATGTCGCGGCGAAGAAGAGTAGTTCCTGAAAATCAAGGATATTGTTTGTTCGAAAATTTTGACTCCATTCAAGCTGGCCACCTCGACCCACCCGGACCGCCGCAATAGTCACCACCACCAGGGCTGCTCTTTCCCCTCTCCAACAACAAACCACCCAGTGCGTCCCAGTTCTAACATCTTTTGCTAGTCGCTGCACCCCGGTGTGTCCGAGTTTGCCCATCCTCCTTCCGACCTCGCCACAATGAAGGCGGCCGTTCTGGTGCCAATCACTAGGCGGTCAGACCCCACTGATGGACCCGGTTCACGATCGTACCGGTCCCTATTATATTGGAAAGCCGCCCTAGAATCGGCCACTCTCACCTGTCATCAAACCCCTATCCCTCACCGGTTGTCAATCTTGCCGTCCACGCCATACACCAGCGCCTGACCTCCCAATACCCTCCACCGGCCACCCTCCTGTCCGCCCCACCACCTCCGAAGGCAAGGCCGAAAACCGCTCGACGTCCACGACCGTATCATCCCTTCTAGGACGGTTTGAAGGCCGGTACTGACATACCCCCACCGTACATTCACCACCGGCCATGAGGGAGGAACGGGGGTAGGCGAAATGGTTAACGAAGAATAGCACAAGTGTTCGGGACTCGGCACTTGAGGAGAGCGACAGTGATCGAAAGATAACACCTCTCATATATATATATATATCTATTATATATCTATATCCAACCAAGCCCTAACGAAGTGACCAATCGCAGCCAGCCATCAACCATCAACCAGCCCCCTCGCACCATATCTCCTGCCACCACGCAACCCTGTTCCTAATCGCCCGCAGCGGATGCCTCTCCGCCATCTCCCACGTCGTGAACCCACCCCCGCCCCCACCACCACCACCACCACCACCACCAACCCTTCGACCAAAATCCGCGCCCCCCGCTCTCAACAGCTCCAGCGTCACGAGCATGTCCCCCGCCCGCGTCACGTCCCCCGCCAGCTCCTCACACCCCGGCAGCAGCACCTCGTGCACGGGCGTGCGGCCGCCCGTAAGAGCCGTCCAGCGCGTTGGGATCGGCGCCGCGCTTCAAGCAGTGCGCGCACGGCGCCGGGAGGAGGCGAAAACGCGCAGCTACGTGAAGGGCCGTGGTGCTGTTGCGAGGGGTGTCGCGCGAGGGGTTGCTGGCGTTGGAGGTGATGGCGGGGTTGGGGCCGGGCGCGCTGGGGTCGTCCAGTAGGGCCAGGACGCCGTCGAGGTTGCCGCGCACGAGTGCCGTGTACAGCGCCGTGTAGCCGCCGTCGTCGGGGGCGTGGAAGGCGGCGGGGTCGCGGGCTAGGAGGAGAGGAATGACGGGGGCGTAGTCGGAGGCCGCGGCCAGGTGCAGCGGGGTCTGGCCGCCGTAGCGGCACGTCGACGAGCGCCAGCAGCGGTGGGTGCAGCTGTGGGCGAGCATGGCGGGGGGCGTGCGGGTGTCAGTGCGGGCGCCAAACTCGAGGAGCGTCGCGACCGCCTGGGCGACGCTGCGCTGACAGAAGGGGTCGCGCGTGTCGCGAGGGGTGGGCACCTTGATGGGCACCTGGAAGCGGCCCTTGTGCCATTTGTCCCAGCTGCTGTACAGGAGACCGTAGGCCGCAGCCCGCCCCGGGGCGTACCCCCCCCGCACCGCGCATGAAGCAATGGCTCCCTAACGCCGCCTGCCTTAGCGTTCACATCGGCTACGCGGGTCAGGAGGACCCGCGCCGTCCGCGGCAGGGCAAAGTCGATGGCGGTTTGCAGCGCCGACTCCGCCGTTGTCAGCGAGGGCGAGGCCCCATAGCACCCAGCCAGTGCCAGGGCGAGCGGTTTCAGCCCTGTGCACGATCGGAGGACGGCAAGGTCATTACAACCAACCTTGACGAGATGCCGCGCAACCTGGGGGGCGTCGGCGGCGAGGGCGAAGTCGAGAAAGGTGGCGTACTGGAGGCCGAGGCGGTAGCAGGGGATCAAACCGACAAAGTTGACGACACTGCGGTACTCGGTCGTCAACTGATCGAGTATCCTAGTCGAGTCGGTCCTCGCCGCGTGCACGAACAACTCGCTAATGCGATCCACGCGGTCTTGCTCGCTCCGAGCCTTCCCGATATAGCGAGGCAAGAGAGCACTCGCGAAAAGATGGTGGAAGCCACGAGACGTGGAGGAGAAGGCGCTGAGGCTGCTTAAATCGAGATGGGCGGCGACCATCAGCCACAGTTCCACCGGCATCTGGGCCGCCGCCATATTCGAAACTGATGAATCCATACCAACATCCATCATTTCCAGTTTGACTGATATTTGTAACTTGGATAGATAAAGGGATGAATGGGAAAGGAGGGATCGAGAACAGAAGTGACCGCACGGGGAGCGATGGGTTGATATACTCTCGACTTTCACTGCTTTCAGATTTCTCCGCGCATGACATCTGATCCAGTCACTCCACTGACGTCAAGGGGGATGGATGGTCATGAGATAACAAGTACGCAAGCACGCGCCGACATAGCTGGGACGGTGGCTAGGACGATGGCTGGACACTACGCCCGACAAAACTGCGGTGTGAAAAAAATCATCCCGTCTTTATATGGCTAGAGCTATCCCATACCGAACGTCCCGAGTTACACTGCTCCGTCATGGACACCACATCCATCTAACAGGCCCGCGACCACTACGGCGTCTACTTCCCACTGACGACAAACGCCTCGTGCAACAAGGAGTGGCACATTATGCCCTATGCCAAACCGAAAAAGAACGGTAAAAATATGTACGAAAACGACGTCGAGACGCTTCCCTGCAAGCAGGGATGATACCTGACACGGGAGGAAAACCGGAGAAGATGGTGACGCCGATGACCAAACAACCCACAAAAGCCAACCAGAAATAACAAAAAAAAAAAAAAAGAAAAAGGCTACCTATACCCATTAACGCTTCTGCTAATCATAGCCGGCTCCTCTTTGCCACACACTAGTTTCAATAGTTAGCCACATCGGCGATCGACATCAGATGAGGATCGGGCTAGACTCACGGTGGCCCAGCTGGCGGCTTTGAGCCCGTCGGCGTTCCGTGCGACAGGCTTGTTGACGACCCTGACGCCCCAAACGGACTTGGAGCCCTGACACTCCCACTCGGCTTCCCCCGCAGGTGATGCGGTTCTATTGGGTACGTGCCCGACACGGGGTCGACGGGCGCGCGGAACGAGCTTCGGACTGAATTCCGTGCCGAGTCTCGGATAGAACCCCCGTTCGAGTAAGGTCCCGAATGGGGCGATCCAGCGCGGGCAGCCGTGTGCTCTTGATTCGACATGGCGGACTCGTCATCCTCCAGATCGCTCCGCTTGAACAGCTTGCCGTCACCGCGAGCGGTCGCACCCAGGGCATCGAGCTCGGTTGTCGTGGCGAGGTGCGTCTGCGACTTCATAAAGGACGTGCGGTCGTCGTTCATAAACTGGTAGCGCGTGTCGGGGTTGTTGTGGAAGAGAATGATGCCCGTCGTGATGATCAGCATCAGGAGGAGGATGAGCGCAAAAGCAGCGTTGGCGATCCAGAGAACGACACCCACAACGCCGATAACCAATCTCGGCAGCCCAAATACGTCGGTAAAGACGAACAGGAAGATGGAGTTGATGAAGTTCATGGCGCAAATGGCGATGTTGAAGGAATTGGTGCTCTTATCCATCCAGGGCCGCAAAACCGAGGCGGTGATGAGGGCCGCCGCCTCGATAATGATCAAAGCCACCGCCTGCACGGTGCCAGCGCGCTGGGCAAAGGCAATGAACATTCCCTTGACGATGATGTAAACGAGAACCGGAACGATAAAATAGTACGCGGAGGCGCGGAACTGCACGTATAAGAACCCCCATTTGTTCAGGGCATGCGGGTCGGAAAAGAGAATATAAGCCGGATTCCGGTGGAGAGCGACTGAACGGCGGGCAATCCGAATCACCCTGTAAGCAGCATAGCTGAGAGTGATGACAACGCCGAAGAAGAAGAACACAGCCAATACCATAGCGGCTGGGGAGTCGTTCTGCGTAAACTCCCACAAACAAAAGATGGTCAACTGGGGGAAACCAACGAGCAGCCATCTGTAAAGAACGCCTACGAAACGTTAGCTTCGGATGCAACGGGGTTAACAGCGAATACATACCCTTGAGGACAGTCAACCACCCGACACGGAATTCAGCAAAGGTGTCACTTTGCATCAACTTCAGTCGCACAAGCAACTCGCAGATACCCTTGAACAGGACCACGCAGAGGGCCGCCATGACCATGAAAATGTAGAAGAAAGTCAAGCCAGTCAGGAAGAGGTTCGTTGTCTCGATGCCGGCCCGGAAGGCGACCCTTTGGATGCCGTAGACGATGTAGCTGCCATACGAAGTCTCAATGGCCCGCTTGGAGAGCCCGCCGGCCGACCGCTCGACAAGACCAACGGCGGAATCCAAAAACGGGACGGAACGCTTGACCTTCTCAACTTGTACGGAGACGGTGTGGAGTGTGTCGAGGATAGTCGAGGCCTCGCCGCCAGTCGACCGCTGGTACCACGTGAGGATGTCCTGGATGAATCCGACCTTGATGATGCCCATACTCCACTGGAAATCCTGGGTCCACGATTTCACAACCGGAGGAAGCGGCACAGCGCAGAGTCCAAGCATGGCCTGGGCCTGAAAGTAGCCAAACAGCGAAAGGGTGTTGGAGGCGACGTGCGAGGCAGCATTGGAAAAGCCCAAACCGTTGATGATGGCAGAGGAAATAAGGGCGAGGATGGCCACGCCAGCCGAGGCCCATTTCACACCGATGAGATCAACTGTTCCCAGGTCAGTATCGGCCCACAGCATACTTAAGCCGCACGTGGTTCCCCCGGTTGTCTGAACCTACCTGTCATGCCGTTTGAAATGTTGGCCTCCACGCAAGCAATACTCTCCCCAGCACGGTCTCCATCGGTCCTGTTGATGAAAACCTGGACGGTCGCATCGAGGTCCGGGAAAGTGTATGCGATGGATGGAATTTGCGCGATCGCATCCTTGGTCACAGGCAGGTTGAACGGGTTGCTCATCTTGCCGGATGTCATAGGGCACAGGCCAGGGAGGTTGGCCTCGCATGGGTCGACCTTTGTGTGAATGATGGGGTATCCGTAAGCGTAAATGGAAATGTCGAAAATAACATGGCCTTCGATAGACGACGTCGCGATCATGTTGATGGAAGCCGTGAGGTTATTTGGGGTGAATACGACATCGAACAGGCTGGCCGTAAAGCCCGAGTTTTCCTGGCATGATGCTAGAGAGCTCGATCGAAGCACATATTCGGCGCTTGTAGGGACGACGACGGTCGCGAGGGAGGAAACAAGGAGGAGTGGGTTGAATGACGGAAGCCGCATCGTGGCCGGTATGCCCGCCGGGGCGCCGGTGCGAGCTGATGATTTGTTTCGAACCGGATGTAGAGGGAAACGCCGTGGCTAGGTCGAATCTCAAGCGGACATCCTAGGGAGTTCTCAATCGAGTTCGGAATTTGTAGTCGGTCGTTTGGACGGGTCTCGATTCGCGAGTGGTTAGGTGGTTGGAGGTTTGGTTGAATGGCCGAATGGTCTCAATGTTCGGTTGACCGACCTCCTCGGGTTGGACTGCGGAGAAAGGCGGGACCGGAAAACGAGTGACGGCGATCGACAATCGCTTCGAACAGTTGGATCAAGCAGGGGCCGTCGCCGTTGCCGAAAAGAAACTGTGCGATAGATGATGAGAGGGTTCGTCACGGAGGAGGAGGTTCTGGAACGAGTGAAGTTGGTCGAAAGCGAGTGGGGGATTGTTTGGTGTGGGTAGCCTCCACCAAGAAAGCGGCAAGACAGGGAATCTCGTGTTGGGAAGGAGTTGGCCCAGACAAATGCAGGGGGGCAGGAATCAGATTTGGATGGCCAACACGAGTTTGTGGCTGTGTCGGCAAAATCCCAAGGGGAAGGCACGGAAACGTACGCGCCAAGAGGTTGAAGAAACGGGCCCGATGGTTGTACGGCGCTAGCCTCTTCTGGGAGTTACAGTCCCTGACAGGATGAGGTCATCCAACCAAGCTCGGCCGCTAGGGGTATTTGGTTGGCCAACAGGCCACCGCAGACGTCAGCAACATGCATTATCTGGATCGAGCGGTTGCGCTCCTTTTTTCTCAATTCGCTCAGTAACATCTTGTGTTGCTCAGTCCGCACCATCCGAAGCTCAAACCTCGAACCAGACCTCAACTTCCAGCCAACGACAAGTTAATAACCAGGTACCTCCGGATATACAGAAGCTTTAGTTATTCGTAGTTGTAAAACAACCGAGCATTCCACAATGAGTGGAGACAAGTTTTGGTCGGGCTTGGCGGGAAACAACTGAAACATTTATCTCTTGCTCCAGGTGCTGACGTGGTGAAGTTCACGCCGACACATTCGCACCCCCTCCTTGGGTAATTGATGAATCCTCGTAAATCCTTATCACATGCACATCTCGCAACCGTCTCGCAGCCGTGGTTAGCACGGTAGTGGTTATTTTTGCTGCCGCTCCTCAGTCCGTCCTCACCACCTGAGTTGGGAGAGGTCGGATTTGGTTCGTTGATCAACACAGGGGGGTTTCTCGGCAAGAATCTAATCAGAGGGAATCCGCAGTGAGGTTCCCACGCTTTGACCAAGAAAAAAGAGACAGACCCCAACCCAAGGCCCAGAAGAATGACTCGAAGCAATAAATAGTGAGCAAAGCAAATCGAGGAAAAGGAATGAAAACAGAGAAGAAAAAAGGAAAGATATAACACGGTGTGAACTAAAGATCAGGTGAATTCTTTTGCTCGCCTGTTACCCATGCACACCGCCCTATTCACAGCAGCTCCTCGACCGCATTTTGGCCCGCCCTATGGAAGTGGGCGACGGTTGGGAAAGACTATGAACTCCCTCGCCCATGATAACAAGCATGGGTGGTTCGGTGGTTGCAGGTTCGTTGACGGGCATTCCAAAGGCGGTGGGTTTCTCAGCAGGTGGCGGGGGCAGAGGTTGAGCCTCCACGGACTAGTTCGGGACTTCAGATCTGCTTTGGTTCTTTTCGACCGGGTCCGGCCAAACCTATCTGAGACAGAGAGAGACTCAATGCCGCCGACATACCACCATGCTCTGGACTTTAGGAAGCCGATACTAAGCTATGTGTGGTACATGCACAGGCAGGCAACTGGCGCGATAGCCTTGAGTTCGTCAAATTACTCCTTCGATCTGCCAAGGCCCAAGGTAAGGACGACCTCCTAGAACCTGTGATGCCGCTCAAAGCAAACTCTCCGTTCCTAAACCCGACGGCATGACCGACCTCGGCGGTGTTTTGTGCGGGACTGTTGATCAGTTGCGGCGAATACCCGACTGAAAGGAGGCAAGTTCCAGGCTTCCCGAACCCAAAAGGAAGAGGGGGCATTTGACCGACTTCCTAGGGAGTTCGTCCTGGGGAGTTAGATTAATAAATCTACAGTAGAATCCAGATTATTCGTTCGGCTGCTAGTTTATTATAACTCGAAGCTCTTTTCTTTTTGCGTGGTTGAGGTTTGAGTGGGTGAACTTGGAAAGGTTGAAACAGCTGATTCCTGAAGAACTCGGTCCCACATTGACATGAGAGGAATCGCTCCGAAGCATTGATTGAGCAACCTTTGTCCGTTGATAGTTACCTACATGCATTTCTCGCAAAATTTAGGAAATACTTGTACCTAGGCCCTAAGCGTTGTATGCGCCCATTCGAACGACCGCATCCGTCAAAGTGTTTGCTTTGCCATCGGCTTCCGCTCGAGGGGCTTTCCTCGTCCCTATTCCTGGCTTGTGTTGTGGATGTGAAGCTGCCCTGTTTTGCACCTATCAAAGGCCTCGGCATGTGCCGTCAGGTCATCGATGCAGGTGTGGTCTGGAACTTTGAAAGCGCCCAGAAGTGGAGACTGACCCTCCCCCCTGTGTGAGCTGCTCTTATCTTATCGTGGCCGAGGCCAACGCCCGTGGACCGCCTTTGGAAACCACTCGCATCCGTTCTCAACATCGCAGGCCATCATCGTTTGTTCAACACCACAAACTCTCTTTGCGCCGCCCGCCCTCAGGATTGCCGCATTTTTCTTTCACCAACGGATTCGGCTCAAGTCACAGCACAAAGCCCAAACAAAAAGCAAATTCCAGCTTTCGAGTCGCCATTCACTTCCAGTTCATTTGGGACGCCAAAAATGCAACCGGTTTGAGCCGTGCATCAGCTGCTACCCCTCCTCTCCCTTTTAGTCGCATCCGCTGTTTTATCGACAAAGCCACTCGTCACCCTTTTGAAGGCATTGGACGCCACGGCTACCCCCACTTGCGCCCACAGCCCTCTCGTTCTTGACAGCGATAACCTCGCCGAGTTTCGGAAGTCTTCGGCTGACTGCGAGGAACAGTGCCGTCTGGTCGTCCCCCTTTTCCCTAGCTCGTCTCCCGATTTTCCCAGCGATCATGCCCGTAGCAAAGAAGCGCAAGATGGACGCTGCCGAGCAAAAGTACTACGCTGTTCGTGCCGGCTTCAAACCCGGTGTGTACACCAGTTGGACCATTTGCCAGCAGCAAATCACGGGTTTCAAGGGCGCCCAATGTACGCTCCCCGCTGCCTCTTTCCGGTAATTAACCCACTAACATCTGTATCAGTCAAGTCGTTCCTAACTTACGAAGACGCCTCGGCCTTCGCCGCCGGCCGCGAACCTGCCTCCGCGGTGGATGACACCAAGCCACCTCGATTCTACGGTGTCGCCGTGGGACGCAAGCCCGGCGTGTACACAGAGTGGCCAGCAGCGCAGGAGGCAATCATAGGCTGGAAGGGGCCGAAATACAAGAAGTTCGAGACGCGGGCGGAAGCCGAAGCCTTCGTCCGTTCATTCAGCGGCTCAGCCAAGGCAATAGCACCGACCGTGGCAGGTTCAGATCAGGACGACGCCGATGGAATTGAGGAGCCGACCGCAAAAAGAAGGAAAACGACCAAGAAGACAATAAAGGCACAAAATGGTCTCGTCATTGTTTACACGGACGGGAGTAGTTTGGGCAATGGTCGTGTCGGCGCAACCGCCGGTGTCGGCGTCTACTTCGGCGCCAACGATCCTCGGTATGTTTACCAGCATGCCCCATATCAGCTTGAGCTGGAATCTATGCTAATACCTTTCCGATAGAAACGTCTCGGAGCGCCTGGAGGGCGAAACACAAACCAATCAGCGTGCTGAGCTCACAGCGATCCTCCGCGCCCTCGAGATCATCGACCTGGAACAAGACCTCGAGATTCGTACTGACAGCAAGTACTCGATCCAGTGCGTTACCGAGTGGTACATCAACTGGGAACGCAACGGGTGGAAGACGCGCAGTGGGCCCGTCAAGAACCAGGATCTTGTCCAGTTAGTGCGCGACAAGCTCGAGGAGAGGGAGGCCAAGGGTGGGCGCACCCAATTCATCTGGGTCAAGGGTCACGACACAGACCAAGGTAATATCGCCGCCGACCAACTGGCGGTTGCGGGCGCTCGGTTGTGATACCCCTTTGATACTGCAGCAGGGAGTTCTTTGGGGGTGGAGTTGGCGTACATCTCTGGACTGACTGACATATTTATGGATTGCATTTACGGGAAGCCTCTATCTTTTTTTCTTGATCACCAGGTGGCTGATTCTCGGTTGGCGGTTTGCTTGTCTTTGCCTACCACTCGCTCTTGGGCTGCCTTGTAATTTGTCCACGAGCAATTCGCTGTCTCTGTATAACTGTTGAGCACCTCCGCGAGAGACATGTAACTTCGTCCCCTTGGCCCCTGTTGTATTTTATTTATAAACCCGGCTGTTATCACCGCGGATTTTCGGTGGACTCGAAACCACTGCGGTGTTGCGTCTTCCAAATCCACCGTGGATGGTGCCATCAAGCAACTAACACTGCCTACCTAACTTACGCTCGCACCCGTCACCGCTCATGATTGAAACTTCCACCACGCCAGCCTTACAAGGCATGTGGCCCAGTGGTTCATTACTTATGTTTGTGGTCTTTGCCATCAAACTCTGTAAGAATGCAGCCACTTTCCATTCCGTTATAAGAGGGCTTGACAACAGTAGTGTTCCTCTCCCCTCTCCTATCCCGCGGATAAACTCCAAGGCATTCCCGCAAATTACCAGCGTTTTCTGTGGGCCAGGTGGAGGGTGTCTTGATAGGCTTCGGCTCGTCCCCTCTCGCTCACTCAGCGAGAAAGCCTCAGGGTCTGGGTAAGGGGAGGTGCTTAACCCCTGGTCGCTAGTTGATGGGGCGCATGAGAGAGCAGCTCGCATGGTCGGAACAGTTATCCACGGGATCTGAAATAAAGAAGAGGGGTTTGTCAGTTACTGTGGCGGCAAGGGCGCCTAAAGTCGGGATCATCATCCACGAAGTGGTACTCAGGACAGTCGAGTTGCCTTGAAAGGGACATGTATGTATGAGTGTGCCGTGTTTTGGCATGGTAGGCAATCCTACAGAGAGGGGATATCTCGGTGCCTTTTTCTGATTATCGGAGATCGGTATTTTGGTGTTGAGGCTGTGCATTGCTTGGGTGCAACCGGAAAGCCTGTTTAGGAAGTCGGGTATGGACAGGACGTGTTTGGCATTCACTCACCCGCCGCGTTTAATTACATGATGACGCGGTTGCAAGATTTCGTAGGTGTCGGGTGGCTTGACAGGTTGCATCTTCCTAGTTCACAGCCACCATCACCCCTGGAACAACTGAAGTTTCAGGTGAGAGACTGGATGCCTACCAGCCCATCTTAAATTACATGTACTCGGAAGCTCGACGAAGTACAGTTAACGTTACGTTGTGCCCTGTTGACTCGGACTCTGAAAGTGCCTGCTTAGATGCGCACTTGGACTGGTGGCTCGTTCCGGCTGTTGTTAACAATGCGTAGATGTCCTAAGAACTTTAAAAAGAATTGGAAGGAGCCGTAGTTCTCGTCAACTGCCCGAGTATTAAACTGGGAATCAACCCAAAACCGTCTTCGTTTGATAGGTAGAGGTATGCTCCCTCTCTGGAAAAGCAGTTTGGGCGTTGCCCTTCACATTTGTAGGTAGTGACATGACTAAGTCTAGACATAGCCATCCATTTCTTCCATTTCACACTGCACATAGCACTGAACAACATTGCCAGATCGCCAATTCAATCTTTTGGTCTCTGCATTTCCATTACTTTTCCCTACCGTCTGAGTTTGTGACTGTTTGTTGTCCAACGCATAACATGAACGTGTCGATTATACCTAACTGTGCCATCCGCATTCCGCAGTCCGGGGCATTTCGGCTTGGTTCTTGTGCTTGAAAATCTACCACTTCATCAATTACGCAATTAGATAACGACCGTCGGGTTATGTTTCGCTGGGGTGTGGAATACGAGGCGCCGGAAAGGAGAGGAGAGAGGAAGTGGCGTGACAGGTCGGGGGGAACTGGGGGCCGGGAACCGATATCATGCTTGTGTTTGAAGATCTTTTGGGCGAGGTTGCTTGACTTTGTAGAGGACCGGGACCCGTACATGGCTGACCATGATTGAACGATACAGTAGGCCTCAGCCGCCTCACTGCTCAGTGAGGGGGTAGTTTTATAAGGAGAGGTTCTTACATTAGAAGGTGTGAGCCACCAAGTACATACCTAGCTGTCGAAAATGGTATTCTCAATCCGGTGGGTAGAACATATGATTGTGATTTGTCTGGTGTGGCGAATTCACTGAGAGCGGCGAGTAAAGTCTAGAACCAGTTGAGTGTCTCCTCCGCTCATTTGGGGAATGCCATCCAATGGTATTCTTGTGGCCCACGCGTTACGGCCGTTGCCGCCCGGTAGCTCCGATCAGCCCATGGTCATCATACGTCATGGAATGAAGTAACCCCCGCGGGGTCTGATCACGGAGAGAGTATTTTAATGCCGGCGGTGTTAGTCCATGTCTCCTAGGGTCTTTGCCCCCCGATACTCGCTTGCTTTCACAAACATCAGATTTTTAGCAGCCACTCAAAACTAAACACCATCAACATGCTCCTCCCAAAACAAATTCGAGTCAGCCTTCGGGCTTTGCCCAGAACTACCAGATGCCTATCAACCACAACCGTCCGCCCTTGGGCAACGCCGACAAACCGGTACCCGCCCAACGACCCACGTGGCGCCAATCCTGTTGACGACATCGACCTGGTCTTCGACTACCCCTCCGAAGGCCAAACCAGCCACCAAAAGGAGCCGCTCGAGAAGTCTGGCTTGGATTATCATTCGGCCCTACCGCACCGCCCCAAGGTCGGCCAGAATATCCCCGGTGCCGGGAAGATGGGCAAGGAGATGGGAGCCACGGACAGCAACGTCATGTAGGTATATCTTTATCGATGCTAAGGACCATGGAAGGCAAGCCGCTGACACGATATGGCTAAACAGGTATAGATACATTGGCCTTGGTGCTGTCGGCTTGGGTGGCTTGTATATGATGATGCGACGACGGAATCCCAACCCCAAGAGCAACATGACACAGCCAGGTGACTTGGCCGCACAGAAGCCCGCCGAAACCCAGATGGAGCGGGTGCTTGGGCGCGGTAGATGAGAGCAGTAAAATGTTGATGGTTTTATAAAAAGGAGCGTGGAAGGGGATGATCGAAAGATTGACCTGACTTCTTGTGTTTATTTTATCATTTGAGCAGGACTTGTTATTTTCACAATTGTAATATTATTTACTGCTATATCATTGTTTGCTCCATTTGTCGCCAATGTGGCCACTGTTACCGCAAAGTTGAATTTTTTTGTCCGGTGTTAACCTGCTCCCATATGTAAGTGCAGTGACCAGCAGCGAGGCCCGCGGCGAAGGTTGTGGCGAGGGTGATCCCTTTACTTTTTCGCCTCGCGATGCATCGTGTAGAACTGTCTCAAACCAACGTTTGGTGCCAAGTTTAGTCCGACCAGGCTGCCGGTAATACATGAGTGTTCTAGGCCCGGGTCTGCGGTCTGGGGTGCAGCGAGGCTGTCAGGATGTCCACCGTTGATCCGTGACAGAAAGTCTTCAGAAGAGACGTGTCATCTTTTACTGTGTAGCAAACCAGAACCGAGACTCGCACTTTCGCGTAATCCTGGCTTTCCAGGCCTCGGCTCGGCCCCACAACCCAAAGGGTCTTACCAACAAGGGCGGTACATATTGTACAGGGCGATTATTGACCTAAGAAATAGCTTAGGCGTCAAGATGCTCGTGATCGCTCATGAATAGGCTGATAAGGTTTGCACCTAGCTGTCCGTATCCTACATGCCTTGTGCGGCTTACTCGTGCGGGAGTGATGGTTGGCCACTGCGGCACAAAATACCTGGTTAGGTAGGTACCTATCTATCCGAACCTATGATACCTATCTGAAACCGGCCGTCAGCGGGATAGCTATCTAGCCACTAAGACCCAACTTCTGGGGGCCTGCTCTCTCGAGACCTTCCTCTCGATTGGGCAACTCAACTTGTCGGCCCAATGTCTTGATGAGATGGTGGGAGAAGCTCTGGCTGGTGGGTTTCTCGCCTAAGTGGGCCACAACCACGGCCAAGTCTCGGTCATATTCCGAGGTAGGCATGGGGTATTGGACGCTTTTAAATGAAGAAACCATCGACGGCTGCGTACCTATATATTGATTTGTCTTGGACCTCCCCATTTTCAATCTCCAAGGCATTTAACGGTATACCTATTCCGTACCAATCAAAACAATACCTACGAAACCAGATTCCAGTATTCTCCCTAAGTTTACGTCAAGTAAGTGGTGGTCTTAACGAGCTGTGCTTTATGTTGGTTTATTTGTTTACTGAAAATGAGTAACTAATTAGGATGTGTATTATGTACGATTACATCTGCGGCAATTGTGACCGCGGCCACATAACCGAGGCCAGCGCGGAGCTGGTACAATGCAAGAAGAAGAAAGCGTCCCCAAACATTAGCTGCGGAAAGTGGGACCGCAAGAAGAAGGTCCCTAATGATTTCTGCAAAGCGGGCGAAGAGAAGGACAAGAAGAAAAAGAAGGGCATGAAGGGGCTCATAATGGGGTTTACCCAGTCGGATTCTGTCAAGCCGAGTTCTACCGAGTCGAGTTCTCTAGTCAAACCTAACCGAAGCGTCTGAGCAGAGGGGGAGAGAAATATTATTATTATATCCTACACCGATATGCCCTGGGGCGCGCCGGTCCTTCTACTGCTATTTACAAAGGAAACCGTACCGTATAGGCCGGATAAAAACCTCTGTCTACCACTTTGAGACAACAATCTATGAATCCGTCATACTGCAAAAGAAAGGAGGCCCTTTGCCGGCCTCCGGGCCCTCTAGCCCTCCCCATCCACTGTTTCTAGCTCCAGCCTTCTGGCCAGGCTATACTCCAGTAGCCGGCCAGAGTCCATCAGCCAGCCAAGGACCTTCCTAACAAATCTTCTGCTCCGGGCACCTACTCCCCGTAATACGGTTTGTAGGTCCCGATGTGACCGAATCTCTCTGCCGTCCCACGGCCTTTGTGACGGCGGGTCGGGGCACCAAACCACCAAGTGCTCCACCGTCTCCCTGCCTCTCCCGCACTCGCAATAGGGGGTGCGGACCTCCGGGACTTTCACCCTGAACAGGTAGTCCCGGAGGCCTATATCCCCGATACGGGCCTGGGAAAGGAGGGAGCTCTGCGCCTTTGTAAGACCTTCGTGTCTCATCAGAGCTTTGTCGGTAAATAAGAGGGCTGGGGGGTCTTCGTCGGCTATACTCCTGTTTAATACCCTCTGTCGAGTAGTACTTTGTTGACTAGCTCTCTGTGTTCCCACCGGGCCTGCCAGGCCAGTTCGACCACCTCCTTGGTATTCGACCACCTCCTTGGTATTCGACCCCCTATCCTTCCCCCCGATCTTCCATTTGTAGTTAACCCACTGGGCCACTACACTAGCGGCTAGTTCAGTGGGCGTGGGACTCTGCGGGCCCTGACGGGGCCTCCGGCCTCGGGTTTTCCTCCTCTTGTTGAACCTTCGGTAGACCTTATTGCAGGCCTTAGTGATTAGATGCCCCGTGGTTATTCTCTCAGCCTCCGGCCCAGCCCCTGATTGTAGGGCCTGCTTCTGTAGCCGGCCCTCGAAGTCAGCCAGCCGCTTGTTGAGATATAAGTCTAGCGGTGGCACCCAGGCCTCTGTTTCTAGGCACCGAATAGGAGCTGACTTGTATGCCCCTACTACTATTCGAAGGCTCCTGTTCTGAGCTTTTGACAAGACCTTTGCAGGCCCCTTCGGCCCTGTAGCTCTTGGAGCTGTTGGTTGGTGGAAGCTGGAGGCTCCGTAAGCTATGGCACTGCGGATGCACTTACGTAGACCTCCCGAGCCCTGGATAGGCTCGGGCCCCACGTCTTTGCTGCAATCCTCGATAAGGCGAAATCTTGGGTTTTGAGTTTCCGTTCCACAGCTTGTTGGTGCGCCCTCCATGATGGCTTCCAGTCCAGCCAGACTCCTAGGAACCGAGCCGATTCCGGGGAGAGAAAATACATGTTTGACTAAGTCGTATTATGTAGGCACCTCTGTGTGTCTGCCCATTAGCACTAGCCTCCGTTGTAATCAGCTCGTGTTAAGGATGGCTTAGAACTCCTGTGATACTTGGCAGAATTCTCACCATGCTTGCGTGTGACCGGGCTTATAAAAGTGGTCTTAGTACTTGCCCAACTACCTATGTATTTGATGATCTCGCTGCTTCCCGGCAGGATCAACGGCATGGACAAAACAATGACTAGGTATGTTGTATATCTGTCCGGCAGTCTATCTGAGCCATAACAGGTGGGGGTCTGAGGCCTTGGAGCTAATGAATGGACTTACAACTTAACCCTGATCGCTGAAATGGCCCCCGGGGGAAGAGTAGGGTGGTAATGAGGGGTAAGAATACTTGGTCTATATCTCAGCAACGGCGATCTACTAATTCCGAAGCTAATAGACATCGTTGGTATGTCGTCTACTGTGTAAGTAATCTCTATGTAATCCAGGATACAAGAACAATGGCCTCGAAAATCTGAATGGCTTCATTTGCTCATGTCCTCCAGAGTCCACAATACCGTTTTGTAGACCTTTAGACAGCTAATAATATACCTGCACTTCACGCACTTCTTACACAATTGTAAGAAACAATGACTCCTTATACTCAACATAGCGCCAAGTTTACGCACCCAGTCCATCGCCAGTTGATCCTCTAGCCTCCGCATGCGGTTGGTCCAGCCTGTTACCGCCCGTGGTTACCGTGTGCCAGCTGCCTCACGCAACCTAGACAGGGGCAAGGGCCTCGCAATTAGCTAGCAACACATCGGTCTAATCCGTTTTGACCACAACGACGAGCTCAGGACAGGCACCTAAATGCACACACATGGGGCATGTTCTAGTTCTGTTTGTGTCTGACGAGCTCAAGAAAGGCGCCTGAATGCACACGTGGCACATGTTCTAGTTCTGTTTGTGTTGCTCTGTCACACACTCAGCGCCACATAGGTGCTGTTCTCAACTTCTCAACCTCATGTTATGGCTATAAGTATGAGCTGTTTCGGTACCTTTAGGTTCCGTTCCCCAGTTACTTGACAACCAGGTTCAAGGAGCATCAGCACCGAGCATCAAGAGTTAATACAACATCAGAACGCCGCAATCTTTCTACGCAAAACTAATCATCTTCTAAAACGCACCCACGGTTCACGACGTACTCTACGATGTGTACTTGGAGGAAGATTTTCTATGCGTGCCGCCGCCATATAGCTGGCGAAGAGGCGCTGTCGGTGTGTGACCTCTGCCGTAATGGACACCCCTGCGTACGACTGTTTACCACCCCGAAAGTCGTCAACGTCGACTGCGCTACATGCTCCCGCTCCCAGCTGTAGATGCCGGGCATCTCTCCTGGGGTATGGTATAGGCATTGAACCGACAGGGATATGATGGCCTACCTAACGAGGTTCGGGTTTGGCGGATTCTTGGAAGTGCCAGGGGATTCTTGCTTTCAGGTAGCTGGATAACTACCTACCTTCTTCTGGGGAATAGTTACGGGTGAGCTGGCATCACTGAGGGGCAGTGATTTTGGGGGATTTGGGTGCCGCGTGGGTTAAGCTTGACCCACGCCGTGGCATCGCTTCCTGTTTGTTAGTTTCCCACACACAACACAAACCTTTTTACCAGTCAGATCCATCGTCCTGTGTGTTCACAGTTACTTGTGCTTGTATGGTATTGGCCTATAAATCGGCATTCTCCTGGCTGAGCGTGAAAGATGTGGGTACTAACTTGAATTCTGGCTGATTGGATACCCCCAGGCGGGTACCTACGTTGCAAATCGGGAGCTTGATTGAATGACAGGAAAACGCTACTATAGGATGTAGCATGAAGCTAAATATTTGATGCACGATAATAAAATCGAAGTCCCCATATCTGTCGTCGTAGACAACACTGGCCTGTCACAGAGGGTAGGTACCGACCTACTTACAGGTTGCACTAGCTGACTCACAATTGCCATGTTCGTGCTACCCCGTCGGTCGGAGCGACGCCGCTTGGCAGACCTGAGCGGCGGACGGGGCTGGAGACGAAGGCCGCCACTGCAGGGGTGCGCGCTTATCGATAAGGCAAAGACGGAATATTTTCCCAGAATTTCCCGTTGCTTTTATCAACGACCGGGACTATCGTTACTGCCGTGTCTCGACGCATGCGCGAGTTGCGTGTGTGTTTTCCCCACGTTCGTTTTTCTGCATTCGAAAAGTATGTCGGCCGGAAAGAAGCACGCCCGCGACGGCGAGGATCAGGGCGCCCGCCTGGTCAAGAAGGCAAAGACTGCGGACACACAGACCGACAGCGACCCCGCCGCGCTGAAGACCGACAAGAAAAAGAAGGACAAGAAGGATAAGAAGGAAAGGAAGGAGAAAAAAGAGAAGAAGTCAAAGAAGGAAGACGCCGAGGAAGATTCTGAGGAACTGCAGAACGGCGACAGCGCCGCAGTCGATTCTGAGCCCAAGCCCGAGAAGGAGAAGAAGGAGAAGAACAACAAGAAGGATAAAAAGGACAAAAAAGACAAAAAGGACAAATTGAAGTCGTCTGGCGCGCCAACTACGAACGGCATTGCCCAGGATGGCGAGGCCAATGCCGCCACCACGACCCCGAACGGTTCAGCCCAGCGTAATGGCGCCGCCTACTCATATCAGCAAACCAAAACCCTTGATGCGATACCCGAAGACGAGATCAAGGAGTTCCTGGCGAAGCAGGAAATTGCGATTGCTGACCCATTAGGCGCGAACCTCCGCCCCATCATTCATTTCTCGCACCTGCCGACGTCGACCCTGACATCCAAGAAACCGTTCGCGTCGTTTACCGCGCCCACACCGATTCAGGCCGCCTCATGGCCCTTTGCGCTTTCTGGCCGCGACGTGATTGGAATCGCTGAGACAGGGTCAGGCAAGACGATGGCCTTTGCTGTTCCTTGCATCGAGTCCCTCGCGTCCAGCCCGAAGCCGAACCACGCTAAAGGCGACCGGACGGCCTATGCCCGCGCCGTGGTTGTATCGCCGACGCGCGAGTTGGCCATGCAAACCCACGCTGCCATGTCATCGCTGGCCTCGCTGGTCGGGTTGTCGGTCGTGTGCCTCTACGGTGGCGCGCCCAAGGACGACCAGCGCGCATTGCTGCGCAAGAACAGCGGAGCCGACATCATCGTCGCGACCCCCGGTCGCCTGAAGGACTTTCTTTCCGAGGGCTGCGTGTCACTCTCTGATGTTATGTTCGCCGTCCTTGATGAAGCCGACCGCATGCTCGACAAAGGATTCGAGGAGGACATCAAACTCATTCTCGGCAGCTGCCGCCCGCGCGAGAAGCGGCAGACGCTCATGTTTACCGCGACTTGGCCGACCAGCGTGCGCGGCCTGGCCGAGGGCTTCATGATCGACCCGGTCAAGGCGACCATCGGCAACCGCACCCGTGCTGGTGAGGAAGGCGAGGGTAACGGATCGACCGAGCTGCAGGCCAACATCCGCATTGAGCAGAAGGTTGAGGTTGTTGACCCTCGTGGCAAAGAACAACGGCTCCTGGAATTGCTCAAAGAGGCACAGAAGGGGAGCGCCAAGAACGACAGGATCTTGGTCTTCTGCCTGTACAAGAAGGAAGCTGTTCGTGTGGAGCAGAACCTCGAGAGAAGGGGCATCCGTGTTTGCAGCATTCACGGCGATTTGCGCCAAGACCAACGGACGCGCAGTCTCGAGTCGTTCAAAGCTGGCACGACAAGCGTTCTAGTGGCGACTGATGTGGCGGCCCGCGGTCTGGATATTCCGGAGGTCAAGCTCGTTATCAATGTCACGGTAAGTACCCAGTGCCTTAGGCGAGGTTGCGGAGGAGTAGCTGACCAAGCCCAGTTCCCCCTGACCATTGAGGATTATGTTCACCGCATCGGGCGGACAGGGCGCGCCGGCAAGAAGGGCAAAGCCATCACTCTTTTCACTGAGCACGACAAGTCGCATTCTGGCTCGTAAGTGCTACCAAGCAGCATATCCTTGACCCCTCCACGATACTGACTCGCCAAGGCTTGTCAACATTTTGCGGGGTGCCAACCAGCCGGTGCCGGAGGAACTGCTCAAGTTCGGCACGACTGTCAAGAAGAAGAACCATGACACGTATGGCGCCTTCTTCAAAGATGTCGATTTAAGCAAGAAGGGCACCAAGATCACGTTCGATTAGACTAGATAGCGAGGCGTTGGTGGGTTACCTTACTTGTCTTGTTCACGCATAGCGCCCATCTCCCGCCCTCAAACGGTCACCGTATGGACGTATTTGACCTTGCCGTCCTCGACCCGAATCTCGTGACTGTCCGGCAAGCTCCCCAAAGCATCAAAGCTACACAGCACATCCACGCTCCCCACCACCTCATCAATCACATACCTCCGATTCCCATTATTCCTCTGGCTCCCCCCCCTGGGCAGCTGCGCCCCGCACGGGCGCGTGTACTGGCTGCCCTCGACGCGCTCGCAGTCGGTGCCCCAGGGGATCGAGTCGGCCGCTTTGGCATCCGTCCACATGTCCAGGTAGGCGTCGCCGACGTGCTTCAGCAGGTCGCGGGCGGGTCGCTCCGCCTCGGGGATTTCGGCCCAGCTCTGGTTGTGCACGTAGCCCAGCGTCTTGGCCGCGTCGAAGAAGAGCGACCCCTTGGTCGCCGCGATCGTGTCCACCAGCGTGATTGCCCCCGGCGTGCCCGTGCCCGTGCCCGTGTCGTCAGCGCCCGCGTGCCGGAGCTGGGTCGCCAGCACGTAGGGTGTGGATGCCGACGCCGCGATGATCAGCGTGTAGCTGGCGCAGGCGACCGTGTCGGCTGTGGAGCGTGAGAGGTCGATCTTGAGGGGCTGGGAGAAGGCCGCGGCGGTGGCGAGCTTGGCCGGTTTGTTGTTTTCTTGGTAGGTCGCGTTGGTGGAGAGGGGGAGCGAGGCGAGGTTGCCCGTGGAGACGGCCGTGACGAACTCGGCGGCTGCTGCGAGGAGGTCGGCGCGGTTGCAGGCTGCCTGGGATGGGGTGGCGTGGGATAGGAGGAGGACAAGGGAGGTCCAGAGGGTGGATGAGGCGGAGGACAGCATGGTAAAGATACTTGAGACGTGAGAAGTTGGTAGCTTGGTTGTCGCAGCCGGAAGAGCATCGTAACCATTCTGCACTGCTTGGCTGAAAGAAGTGCCAGTAGATATACACCCCCCAGACTCGGGGCTTTGGACCGGGGCATTTGCCACGGCAATCTGCCGAGGTGGTTCTGAACAGTCTCCCAGCGGGGCTTCCTTAAGTTCTCGACGTGTATGGTTCCCCTGCCAAGATAGATTGCTCCAGCGTATCGAGGCAAACAGCCAAATGCCGGTTCGGTACTTTAGGCAAGTTCCGATCCGGATATAATCCAACCAGGTCGGTGGTTTAGAGAGAATCCTTGACCCTCTGGCCAACGGGGACCGAGGACATCAACCGGGATAAGATCTCCTTCGGAAAGTTTAAGGAGGGGTTTTGAGTTAAGGGTCAGGAACCCAAAGAAGTTGAAGCCGAGTAAGGAAATGGACAAGTCTAATGTCTAGGTATTGGTGCGCGTAGCAAGTATGGGCAAGCAGCTCTAACAAACTAATCCGGGACCGTATGATACCACCGCAATGTCACATCAATTCCCATCCGCATTCACGAGCTTGACTGCCGATGTCCCCGGACCGCCTGGAACGCGGCATACAAAAATCGCCGTTCAAACACCGCCCTATTTGCATGTTAGCAAGCGACACAACAAGCACGAGGAACACCTAGGCCAACTCACACAGCAATCACAAACGGCACAGCAACCGCCGCCACCTTGACAAGTTCCACGATAGCCTCCCTCGCACCGACCGGTGCCGCCGATGCAACAACCTTCTTCACAACCTGCGACGTGACGGCCGCAGCCAGCATCGCGCCAGGCGAGGGCAAGACATCGAGCACATCAAAACGCACACCAGCCATCCGGCCAAAATACCGCCTCACAAACCTCACACACCACACGATCCGACACGCCATATTGATCCCATTCGCCACGACCAACCCAACAGCCCCCCACCCCAACACCCTCAGAAACACAACCCCCGCCAACCCAAACACCACCGAAAAAACACCCATCCACGCGCTCTGGAGGTGCACCTCGGCCTCGGACGCCACCGAGGCGACAAACGCCTCGGCCACGCCGTTGACGGCCAGCAGCGGGACGTACCACATGTAGGCGGCGAGGCAGGCGGCGGCGCCCGAGTCGGCCCAGCGCGGGCCGGCGACCAGGGCGAGTAAGGGGCCCGCGGCGGCCGGGCCGAGGGCGGTGATGGCCAGGGAGAGGAGGAGGTAGGATCTGAGAAGGGATTGCAGGGCTTCGAGGGCCGTGTGCGCGGGGCTGGTGGTGGTGATGGTGGTGGGTTTGGTTTCGTTGCTGGTGGTGGTCGTTGGGGGAGGCGTGGGAGCGGATGGGGCGAGTACGCGGCTGAAGTAGCTGCGACTGCTTTCCTCGATGGGTTGGAAGACGAGACGGGCAAGCAGGCCGCCGTAGTTGTTGGCGAGAGCGTACACGCCTTGTGAGGTGGGCGTGGAAAGGATGCTGACCAGGAAAGTGTCGCCTTGGGTGAGGATGTGCTTGACGACGCTTTGGGCCATCATGCTGGATGCGAGTTGCAGCGTGGGGCGGTAGAAGTAAGAGAGGATGAATGCCGGTTTGTCAGGCTGTTGCTGATGCTGCACGCCCTTGGCTGGGGTTGTGGTGATGCGGCGAGGGAGGAGGGAGAAGCCTTCCCTTTGTGCGAGGCCAGCACCGTACCAGGCGTAGACGGCAAGTAACCCAAGGCCGTAGCCCAACTGGCCGAGAGCAAAAGGCAGGACGCCCAGGTCGCGGTTGGCGCCCCAAACGGCTAACCCAAGTGTGACGACACAGCGCAAGAAGGTGGCGGATGATTCGGCAGTCGCCCGAGTGCCAAACTGTAGACGCGTCTGCATCACGACGAAGGCGGGCTCCGAGACGAGCTCTACGATAGCAGCTAGGGCGTAGATGTAGAGAGACACGACTAGATTCGGAGCGGATGCCAGAGTGGCTGTACTCAAGGAACCAAGGTAGAGCCAGCCAAAAAGAAAGGCCAATGGAATACCAAGCGCAATGGCGAGATAACCTAAGTTGACCACAGCCTGGGCCGATGTGTTCGACACGTGGTTATCACGACTCTCGCCATCCTTGTCATCCTTTCCATCCTTGGTGTCGTTGGATGAGAGCTTCGAAGAGTCTTGTCGTTGTACGGCGACCCTCAGGCTTTCACGGGCAAAGAAAAGGACTGATAAGTAATAGACCTCAAGCTGAGCGGACACGCCGAGGAGCTGTGCTGTTAGGAATCTCAGCAGCACTTGGTTGGCCACGAAAGTGATGGCGCGGGAAATCACCTGCAATAGGATCAACAACGATGCACCCCGAAGGGCTCGCGTGCTGTTGCTCGTATTATCTGGCTTCGCCATCGGCCGTCATCGAACAATCCCGAGATGCGACGCAATGTTGGGGGTGTGAACGGCCTGGATTGGCGAATCGTTCATGGGCCCAGTCGGAGAGTTCTCGGGCTGAAGTGGGAAGTGCGTGATCTGGTTGTGACGTGTCTTTGGGTTCCTTGGCTGTATAAATTACCGTACATACATACAGTCAATACAATCTGGACGTCCATACATACAATACATCCGATACGTATAGCCACCAACTAACGCAATTTGATGACCACAACATCAGTCTCCTCATATGGGGAGATCACCATAGAAACTTCCACCGACGCTCCCTTGACGGTTTGATGTTCGGAGATTAGGTGTCCGTTTTTGTAACACCCCCAATGCCCTGTTGGGAGGTGTTCGATTGAGAAGGTGAGCTCATGCGCAACACTGTCCCAAGGTTTCAGCGTCATTACCATGGCCTGCTCCTCATCCACCCAACACCCCCGGAGGCAGTCCACTCCCTGGGATAGGTTAAGTCCATTTACCCATGGGCGGCTGGCAAGGGTCTCTCTCGTCCAAGGCTTGTCCCACATCTGCTTTTGACCATCCTCGACGTTGAGCCGCGCATACCCAATGGCTGCATTTCCGGTGAAGGGGTCCATGAATCTCCAATGGCACGATTCATCCGTGATTTGATCCTGGCGCGGATAGTAGAGGCCTCCTTTATCCCAAGTGGGAGAGAGCTGCGCGTCTGCATATGACAAGAGCGCTTTCAGCTCCTTTGCCTTGCCCAGCTCCGAGAGCCACTTGACGACGTATCCAAACAGCGGTTGCATGTATCTGAAACCGGCCGAACGATTGGCGAGATATTTATCTCTCGCGCGCTGCAAGGTCTCGGCCGAGTTCGGGTCAGCCTGCTCTTCCTGGACAAGCTGCCGTATCGTCGCACCGATCGCCGGGTGGTGGAGCTCGATGTGGCCGTCGATGTCGGTAATGAACCCGAGAGCTTGTTTGCTGTAGCTGTCTCTCACAAATTCCGAATTCCAGGTGTTCATGAATGCATTCGCCCTTAGAGCCCCCAGAGACATTAGAATTCTGCTGTGTGTGTGTAAAAATATACAACTCTCGGCAACTTACCATGCAGTGAAGCCAACGCCTCCGGCTCGCTTCGTATTGCCCTGCTTCAGGAAGAGCCAGTCGACGAATAAGCCATCGGGGCCTATCATTTGCTTTTCCTTGATTGCGTTCCGGTATTTCTCCAGCACAGATTCCACCACATTCGTGCCATCCCGCGCGTCGTTATACCGCATGCCGATGATCTGGCATGTTAGCTCCGTGTCATCTCGGGACGACTGAGCGCCTACTCACCGGAAACTGGTTGCAAACCACAAAGATCAAATTGGGCTCGCAGCACACCCCGGCCCAACCACACCGTTCCATCTCCTTTAGGATAGCCCCCTGAAGGGACCGGTTGTCGTACAAGAAGCTTTCGGGTCCCATCCCCCAAAACAACGGGTCCCATTTAAAGGTCAGGCTGCCCGGCTGCTCAAACTCGTTATCATTGAAGAGCATGGCATACAAGCTCGTCATCATCAGCAAGTGCCCGCTATACATGATGTTCTCTCGGACCACGGGGTCCGCCCACGGCTGGCGGAGCTTGTTGAGGTCCGGGTCCAAGCGGTTGCCAGACTGCGAGGTTAGATACCAGTAGGACCAGACCTCTGGTCGCAACATTTTCCCGATCAGCTTGCGAATCAGCGGCTGGAAGAGGCTCCTCATCGCGGGAAGACGGTGGTAGTGTGCCACGCCCGCCGCGTAGGTCATGGTGGCTAGCTGGTATCGGTATGCGTCGAGAAAAGCCTGGTCTGGATCTTGGGTACCCATGTGCGGCCACTGGCCGTCAATGCTAGTACTAATGTTCCAGAAGTGTCGTACATGGCCAGCCTGCTCGCGTGAGAGTTTGGGGAAGCGCGATAAATCTAGGTCTAGAGTCTCAGGCGCCATGGCGAAAAATATGACGTTTGGGTGAAGCTGTGAGGAACAATCCTATCTGCTAACGGGTGTTGGGACTGACTTTATAGAAGACCATCGCTCCATTTTGGCCCCATAAAATCCCGACCAAAATCTCGAATCTCCGTATCACCTCGGCGTTTACATGGACTTGACGGAACCTGGTCCTGACGGGATCCTTCTCCTCGGACAACCCCGCATGTCATCAGGGACCTTGCAATACGAGCACAAAGGGAACATCCTCTTCAGTGTTCAAATGAGGGATTAGGTCGTGTACCAGAAGTACCTCACAGGAGCTGACATGCTTGCTTGCGCGAGATGCATTAATGGGGTTAATGGGCCCATTTTCCATACACCGCCACACACTAGCGTTGCATGTCGCCTTACCTCTGACTAAAGGAATAACCTGACCATTCCAAATAATCTCCCTGTGGACATCAAGAAGCCGAATCGCGTCGTCGCGCCCAAAGGAACAAGCCCGAGCCACCGAGCAAACAAGACGGGATATTACTAATCTATCTTGGTTTCCTAACTGTAACTAGTAGCTAGAATCGATTAGTGAACGCAGCTGAGTCATCTCCACGGATAAGAGTACCGGTAAATAATATATATGCGGCGATTGGAAAAGCTACACCTCCAGCATGTACAGAGTCAAGGGGGTGGCGAGAAAAGGGGGGTCACCTGGGAGGGGTACTAATGTTTGGGCGAACATTAGAGACGGTGGTATTCTTGACGTCATGGGGATAGCGAAACGCGAGGTTCAATGTTGTTGAAGTCAGGAAACGAATGGTTACAACAAGAAACGGACGAGGATGTTGATAACATACGGAAAGTACCTAACCTAGCAAGACAGGAGACGGATATTGCGACCACGGATATTAGTACCAACCCTCGTCGCGACATATAGTACCGGAGATGCCTTCAACTTCCCTACCCGCACCCTTGTTTTGTTATAGTTACACTTGAATTAACCTCCGGCATGACCCCAGTGGCTGCCAGTAATATGCGTGCCAGCTCACAACATGACCACCTTTCCCAGCACCAACGCCGCTACGCCTACAACCACCCCGCCAAACCCCCGGATCCGCGAAGAGCCGGCAGTAACCACAGGACTCGGCGGCGGCTTAGCAGTCCCAACGGTCCCATTCGCCGGTAGTCTCCAACCGCCTGTAGCAGCCGGAGCCGGGGGATCAGACACAACTGGGTTCACAGAGACCAAGCTCCCCACAGCGTCCACTGGAGGAGGCGGCGCCACGGGGGCGTGCGTCTCAATGGGGAAGGCCGACGGTGGTTGGGATTTGCCAGGAACAGGAAGCAGAGCCTGAGTCTCGATTGGGGCAGCCAACGCAGCGGTGGCAGAGATGGAGCTGAAGATGGCGCTAGCTTCGGCCGCGTCGGTAGCGCTAACGGACACGGTGGAACAGGAGAAGATCTCGCTGGAGACGAGAACTGACGAGGTGTGATCGATGAGCGAGTACCAGTGGCTGAGGAAATGGAAGGTCATGGAGAAGGTGTACCAATTGGAACCGAAGCCGAGGAAATCGGGGCCAACGTCGGGGCCTAGGGGATCGGGATGAGGATGGGGCGGTGCCGTGGTGGTTGGGTCCGAAGCATCCTGCGACTGGGCTCCAGGACCACCGGGACCTCCGGCGAAATCGGAATCCGGGTTACCGCCAGATCCAGAGCCAAAGCCAGAACCATAGCCAGAACCAGCCCCGGAGCCTGCCCCACTCCCGGCACCAGGCAAGGGACTGGCACCCTCCGGGCAGGTCTCGGCGCCCAGGGCGTAAGTCGTCCCGTCGGAACAGCAGACCCCTCCTGGCGGAATACAAGCAAAGGCGCCTAAACATTCGTTGTGTTAACTTTCGACATCGACTTGTGGTGAGGATACGCTGGTAGCTCACCAGGACAAGCCGGGACCCAGCCTTCAATGTGGCAGGTTCCAACCCCTCGGTCGCTCAGGGCTGTTCTCTTCCCAAGGTGGCCGCCGCCTTCAGCGAGAATTCCGGAAAAGAAGGCACTCAGCACCAAGGAAACGAGCGGCAGGATCTTTGCTACGGCCATGGTGTAAGAAGAGTTTGCTTATTATAAAACGAGTGACAGGAGCGCTGCTCCGTTACAAGGAGTGACTGGGATAAGCGAGTGGACGCAAACGCAAGGGGCGGGATTGAGCCAAGAGCATTTTCGCAGATTGAAGGGGGGGATTCTCGACTTGATATAACAGGCCAACTATCCAAAAGTAAAAACTCGTGGTGGGCTGTTACAGATGCCCGAGTGGTCACACAAGGTCAAATGCCTACATTTACGCCTTTCCTGCCTGCGAAGTCCCCGTCTGCTCCAAACACGACACTTCAGTTCATGTCCGGATCGACATGAAATCTCCGGCTCTGTTCCCCGATGTGGGCACAAGGCATTCTGTTCCGACTTCCATCCTAACCCCATGTCTCAGCCTCGACGCCATAAATCTGTCCCTTTGGGGCCGGAGTTGCGCATTCGTGTTACCATTTCCGACGTGAAATGCTCCGTCCTCTCACAGCCACGCGGTTTTCAGGCGCCCCGAGTACACAAAAGGTCGGCTGTACTACGTTAAAATACAACACTAATCGGCCCGCGCATGATGATCGTGATTTGGGATTCCGACTCTTCACAATGCACAGGGTCTGCCCTACAGACCCCATGGCGGAGAGACCCGCGTTTACACGAGCATGGCCCAAAGCTTATTTGGTTCACTTCACACCAAAAGACTGATGGCCGGTGACTCAAACTTCAATCAATATCCGCTTGACCTCCAATAGGCGCCATGCTCAGGTTCAACCGCTTAAACGCTGGTTCCTCATTTCCGATTACCCGATACTTGTGCTGATCTTTTCTGATACTGATGACAAAGAGAACGGATAGGAAACAATAAGAGTACCCCGCCAGTGAACCCGAACAGCGCCTAGCAAACTTTCACGCAGCAGCCCAGTGGGCCTCGCCAGGATCCCCGTCCGTATATCCATCGGGCCGGGCCCCTCGATGAAAGATTCCACCCATCCCACCTCCTCCTTCCTCCCTCGTCCCCTCCACGCCCATAAAGCCCGATAGCATCATGCTGCATTTTCCACTACCTGTTTGTTAGCCTCGTTTTATCGATAAAGAAGCACGGAGAGAATTCCGCCTTACAGGGAATCCCCTCTACAATCCGCTGCACAACCGCCTCATACCCAGCAGGATCGTGAGACAGCCAAAGGCCTGGGATCATGCGCATGGCCCGGAGGATCCAGTATGTAAAAAATCCGCCCAACTGGTACGGGACCCTCAGTATAAATGGGAGAGGGGCGGCGTCCTCTTCGGCGGTGATGTCTGGGCGCTCCACGTCAAAGTCGGCCGAGTTGGGGGCGCTATCCCCGGTGGCCCTATGGATGACGATGGGGATACCCACGTGATGATATTGCCTGTCGTTGACAGTCCAGTTGGGGTGGGTGGCGGACATCTTTACGGGCAACGCCTGGGTGAAGCGATCCGGGATGGTGGGAATGGGGTCCCCGTCCATCTCGAGGCGGTAGAGGGTGATGTTACGGTCGTTGAAGTGCTGGCAAAACGCTGCGTTGCCGATGCGGGGCGATCCGAGCGTGAGACAAGTGATGTCGACTCCGGGCCATTGGGTCCTGCACTACAAGGCGCACAGCACGGCCAAAGCGGCACCAAGACTGTGGCCGCAGATCTCGATTTTTCTCGGCGGGCCCCTCACCAGATTAAGAATGGTCGAGAGTAGCCTATTGTCGTTGTCCACCAAGTTGTTGAAAGCGGCCAGAAAGCCCTCGTGAACCAGGACAGGAGATTGTTCCTCGGGGAGCCAGCTGACCTGGGTCATACGGAAAGCGACATCGGTCCAAACGTTCCCCCAGAAGCCCCACCACCGTGTCGGATTGAGGAGGTCTTCGATGGTGAAGGGGAAATCGGTCCCCCTGAAGGCAAGAACGAGAGTGCCGTCAGCCCTGAGGCCCAAGTGGACGTGTGTGTTGGGGGTAAGGAGTTTCAATTTGTCCTTGAAGAATGGAGTGACAATCTCAAGCTTGCGGAACCTGACATCGCCGTGCAATTCGCCAGCTGCCGAACGGAATTGGGCGCCGTCATCGTTCATGTATGCCCAGTGGGCGTATCGGACAAGATGATGGTACTGTTCTAGGATATGAGCCATGATAACGTTTGCGTGTAAGTTCGCTTGCTAGAAAATGCGAATGTTGAGTGCAGGCTTTGGGGATTCGAAGGAAGTCAACTGCGAAAAAACAATTGTGAAAAGCCTGGACTTTTGTTGGGGATCGCGGGCGGGATGCGGAAGGAGGAGGCTCCAACTTGGAAGGGGTCAAGTGCAGGTGGCCGAGTTCTCTAATCACTACTTGGGTAGGTACCTCCCTCCCTAACAGGTACCTAAATAGCAAGTGCAACTGGACAACCGGCGAACTTCAAGACCGGGGTGAGTGTACTCCAAAGAAAAGTATCATTTGTAATTACTCCTTAGCCACTTATTCCTAAACATTCTATTTATTATAACTCATGTACTCCAAGGTGTCTCTGGTATAAAACAAAAGGCAAGACGATCCGTGGGTGATTTGTTTGACGCAATCATCTTCGCCCACGTTCCGTGACAACGGGCATCTTCGTTCTGGCAGGGACCGGGGTTTTCGTTGCCGTGGGAAGTGGCCTTTTCATCACCGGGGGCGGCTTCGAGTTATTTGCCGTTGCGGCCCGGTTCTTTTTTTTTGTACTCCTTTTGGTCCTTTGCTCTTGTATCCCGCTGTTCCTTCCATTTCTGAAACCCCCCACCGTACTTTGTTTCTGTAATTGCGGTGCTACCCGTGTGTCGGGTCCGCTTTCTTGCTGTAACTGAAGTGCTTCCCGTGTGCCGGGCCAGCTTTCTTGCAGTGGCGGAGGTGTTGCTTTCAGTCTGCCGAGTTCGAGATCAATCCATGGTTGCCCATACTTGGATTTTGTGGGTTCGGTAACCGTTTTCTGCACAGGAATTGTGTCGCGACGCCCCCATGTTGAGCAAAACAACCAGAGCACGGCCGCTATAATGACAGCACCAAGCAGGCACCCAAGGACCGTCATTCCAATTGCCAGACCCGAAAGTGTATTTCTCTTACCCAGCAATGAAACGCGGGTTGGCGTCAGGGACGCCATAATCGTTACTCCTTCCTCCAACATCGGCACCGTTAGGGTGACGAACCAAGTTATGAGGAATGGTTAAGGTAGGTCATGTCGGTAGCGTTGAGGTGGGACAGGTACGATTTGATGGAAGCGGAGATACGTTAAATGAAGGACAATAAGGGGCAAGAATTCGAGCGACTCAGGTCGGCAATCTCTTATTATAATGCAGAGACACTTTCTCCCTCCCGCAATCCATGACGGTCAACTGTAGCATAATGTAGTTGTTATTATGAGAAAGGGATTGTGCTGTTTCAAGGCCGCGATAGGTGATGTGCTTTACATATAACAAAGAGTCTCTCTAATTGTATGGGGTCGCCAACCTAATTGTACGAAGTCGCCAACCTAATTGTACGGGGTCCGCACAGACTACATGGATTGCGCCACACCAGAGGGGGATCTATTGCAGGGAACTCAGGCATCGATTCTATCTGTCAACTAGCCAAGGGGGTGTCCGGTTCTGGCGTCCCGAGCTGTATGGCTGCACTAGACGCTGGACCTGTACCTCCTTGGGTCTCGTCTACTCTATTTTGCTGGCCTCGTCCCCGTCCGCGACCTCTTCCCCGTCTTCCTGTAGTCCCCCGAGCCCCCGAGCCCCGTCCACGTCCTCGTGCCGGCGTCGGTGTCGACACTTCGATATCCCGTCCTTGATAGAGGTGTCCCTGGATCTCCGCCTGGTCCATAAGCTCCCATTGAGAGGGATCACGTTGGCGGCTAAACTGTACTCCTCTAGTGCGTTTAAAGGCTTCTAAATAGCTTCAAATCGCGCTTAGTTGTGTGGTAACTGCCGAGGTAGTGGTGGTGGAGAGGGGTGAACCTTCGTATTTGCTTTTGCAAAGAAGTAGCCGACGAGCGGTGATGGATTCTCGCTGTCTAGGTAGGGACGATAGGTAAAAGGGGGCAAGCATGATGGGGCCGTTGCTCAGAGGCCACGGAAAAAAGGGGGAGGCTCGTGGGTTCTCAACGGGGGTTAGGGTTGGACGAGGGTTGCCGAGGCTCAGCCCCTCTCAGGTGTGGCGCAATCTGTCAGAATATCGGGGTGGAGGCTGTTGGAAAGGATGAGTAATCAGACTGCCTCAGGCCACCTTGGTAAGCCCCAGGCACCAGACCCGAATTGGGGACAGAGAAAAGGCGGCTTCCGAATCTGCGAGAATCATCAATCAAGAAATCAGTTGAACCCATTCAATTTCGACCCCAATGAACCCCGTGTCCTGCGCTGTGCCAATATTCGTTAAACCCGTATAACGTCCAACAGAGGCTTCGGATATGAAGAAAACGGGGCATGTTGAACTTAACCATCACTTCTCATTTCGACGGGTAAAAACCCCAAGGGGACCCACAGGTCGGAGTCTAAAACAGAGGACACCGAAAAATACAACGGACGCAGAACAAGCGCGGACAACAACCATACTTGATTGCCTGATTGGACCAGTGAATCCCGTATTCTGACACAATCCATGTAGTCTGTGCGGACCCCGGACAATTAGGTTGGCGACCCCGTACAATTAGAGAGACTCCTAACAAAAGTGAAGACAAAGCTGCTCCGGAACAAGCCTAAAACCTAGGTAGACGTTGTAAATTATGAAAAGGAACAGGCTGGCCTGTGAAGCTTGCTGCACAGTCATTGTTTCATTTCTTACCCTAGCACGGATTCTTGTGACGATTAGGTTAGCTTCAAGGAACATGTAGGACCATCAACATGGTGTAGATTTGGGGTCAACCTTTAGCACGGCGAGGTTTACGGGGCCTCGAGATTATAATCACAAGAAGTGGGAGGTGGCCTCGGTGGCATTGGCAGGATGAGGAGGGTGTGGCCCCATGTTGTGACGAACCTACTTCTGGACCCGGTCCTGTTAGGGTTCGGCTTCGGTCGAAGGTAATCTTTCAAGGGTGCTTAGGTTCGGTGCAGCCAAAGGGTGCACAACAAAGACTTGTCTCAACAGTAGGCTTTTGAGCTTGTAGCGAACTGTAGTTGTGATTGCTAACTGGAGAACTTCCCAGAGCTCCCTAGAACGAGTGGCTATATAATGCTATCTGAGCCGTTGATCCTAGTGCTCCCTATGCTCCCGGGGAGCATTGGGAGCGTTGGGAGCGTAGATGCTCCCCGTGCTCCCGGGGCTGGAAGGGAGCGCCGGGAGCACCCCCTTCTGGCGTTATGATTGGTCCAATGTTTCCGTGAATGATTGGACGGGACGTCCTGCGTCCTGCAAGCCAAGACCGTACGGGTCCTAATCCGTGACACATGTCCCGTCTCCAAACCGTGACGTCATTACCCACACAAAGTCCAGACAGCAGCCGGATTCGAGCTGTCCACAGAGTTGTACGCCGATCTTGACCGGACGTGCCGTGGCATGCCCATCGTGGGGTCGAGCGTCAGACGGAGTGGTGAAAGTACCCAGGTACCGGGCAAAATGCCTGTATACCCGCCTTCGCGCCCACTCCCTCGATTGTCCGTTTTCGAGGAAGGTACCAATGACAGCTAGGGGGTCTATATCGTCATCGCCATCCCATGCTCGCCGTTTACCTGACTTCCCAGTTCCAACGCCCAATAAAAATGAACCAATTTTGCCAACTTCAGATGATGACGATGCCTGGCCCCTTGCCGTTCCAGTCAGTGTGATTCAACGCTGGAAGCACAACCAACCATTCATGGAAGAAGAGTGGTTTCAACATCGTAGAGTCCCACTTCACGCGATATTTAACGTAGCCATCAATTGACTTCTGTTTATCTTACACAGCTAGCTACCAGTCCCAGTTACACACGACGGATTTGGACTCCTGTGCTTTCAAAACCCAGCCCACAAAACTACAACCACGATGGCATCACAAGCCGCCTACATGGTCGAAAAGGCCGTCGGACACGGAAAGGAGAATATCAAACAAGACGTTTCCAAGTATGAAGGGGTTGACGATCCAAACGAAACCATGAAGGCGTTGGTATGGCAGGGCAAGCAAAAGGTCGAAGTCGGTGGGTGGCCCCGAACACCGGACCCGAGGTTGAGGATACACTGATCAGACACTGACACGAGTCGCCTTTCAACAACAGTTGAGGTTCCAAAACCCAAAATCCTGGAGGACCAGGATGTGATCCTGAAGGTCACCGGAACTACTGTCTGCGGGAGTGATTTGCACTTGCTTCACGGCGCCATCATCCAGCTGAGCAAGGGCGACATCCTCGGACACGAGTTCTGCGGCGTCGTCGACCAAGTCGGACCGGCGGTGAAGAATATCAAGGTCGGAAAGCGGTATGTCGCCGCCTTCCAGATTACGTGCGGAGAGGTAAACACCCGAATATCACCCACCCTCCTTTGCGTGGCTTATTAGTGCTAACAGTTGGCTTGGGGGTAGTGCTTTTATTGCAAGCAAAAGCTTTCCTCGCAGTGCGAGAAGACCAACTCCAACACAACCGCCAAGGCCATGTACGGCTCCCGAACCGCCGGCTTGTTTGGGTACTCACATTTCACGGGTGGTTTTGCCGGCGGTCAGGCCGAATACGTGCGGGTGCCGATCGCGGACGCCAACCTTCTAGAGATACCGGACGGTGTTCCTGATGAAAAAGGCACGTTCTTGCCACTAGTTACCTCGTGCGTGTCACGCGTTTGTCTTGTCTAACCGCGCCCAGCTCTTTACCTTTCCGATGTCCTTCCCACCGCGTACAACGCCGTCAAAGACACTGCCGTCTACCCCGGCGACCAAGTAGCCATCTTCGGTGCTGGGCCCATCGGTCAAATGGCCGGTGTCTTTGCTCTGGGGGAGGGTGCCAGCAAGGTCATTGCCATCGACACCGAACCCCGACTTTCTGCCATCTCTCAACGCTGGCCCGCCGAGCACAAGGACAAGCTCCAAGTACTCGATTACAAAAAGCTCAGCTTTGGCATTACAAACAAGGAGACAGTGGTCAGTAAGCTCAAGGAGCTGTGCGGCGGGCGCGGGCCAGACGTGGCCATCGAGTGCGCAGCCGGCGAGTATGCCAAGGGTTGGATGCACTGGCTGGAGATGTCGCTCGGTGCCGAGACGGACACCAGCGAGATCCTCAACGAGATGATTGAGGGCGTGAGGAATTACGGCCGGGCTGGAATCACGGGAGTGTATGTGGGATACGTAAGTGAAGAAAGAGTCCTAATTCTCCGCATTGATTGATGATGCCTCTGCTGACGAAGGACAAGACCAACCACCTCAACGTGGGATCTTTGATGCAGCGCGGTATTCGTCTCATCGGTAATGGCCAGGCCCCTGTCATGAAATACTGGGAGGGGCTTCTGTCGAAGATCCAACAAGGCGAATTAGACCCGACCCAGATGCTCTCACACCGCTTCCGCATCGATGACATCGACAAGGTCTACTACAAGTTTGACTCCAAGGAAGACAACATCCAGAAGGTCTTCGTGGAGACCAAGTTCTCCTTCCCGCGGGCTGAGGGTACGCCGGAGTTGACCACGCTCTAACAAAAGAAAGGTCCACGACTCCACGGTGTGCTGGATAAATTTTGTTATGGCGTATGCTGCTGTACAAGTGTCACTACAATGAGGTTGGGCGGTCACTTTTGTCAACTGTACTATTGCTCTTGGTATAATAAATAAATCCGAAAACTCCATAAATTGCGCATGGCACGGGTGCTTGACCACGCATCGTCTTTTTAGGAAACCACTAGTTATCAAATAGCGAAACGAACAGGTCTGCCCCAGATCATACATCAACGTCGACATCTGTACGGGCGGTACTACCTAGAGGATCGTGAGGCGCCTGAGCCTGCCTGAACCCGTCAAATACCCAGCGACCACGACACCTTCCTATTTCTCACTTTGTGTTGTCCCCTCGCCACAATGGGTTCCTTACCCTTCAAAATGGCATGCCCCAGAACCTCCTTGCAGCTTGCAGGGCCTAGGTATCACAGTGAAGTTCCGCAGTTTCTTTACATACGGTTTCAACTACATAGTAAATAGTGGTAAGGATCGTAGTTCCCTTTATCTCCTCAGATATTGCCACCAGACAGCACCCCCTCTCGCCCCAGAACTTGCCAAGTTCCCACTGCCACTTCCGGCGACAATCCGTTCATTGCTTTCTGCAGGCGTTCCACCACTACCCTCGCGCGGAGAAACCGAGATAAGTGACCTAGGTTGTGGATCATCCTTGAATCCCCCCTGAGCCCTCCAACAACGTTCGTTCTCGACGTGTTTTTCGAGGTTACTCGCCTCTCCCCACCTCACAGCCCAATCACCACGGGATAGCACCCAAGCTGGCCCCGACTCGAGAGCGGATGTCCGATGGCTGCACATAGGCTGTCGATAGACTTCCGCAACGCGTCGGGCGGTGGCCAGATCATGGTTAGCTAGACACCTGAGCCAAAGGGATGCTACTACTCTCGTTCGTTAGATTGTCCCATGGAATTTGTGATAGGCGTCCTCGGAAGACCGGGAGCCACACCTACCATCGGTTGAGCACGGCGTGTCTTTCTGCATGTGTAGGCTGTGAACCCCGTCGCCTCTCAACTGACCATGCCGCGCCAGATACCACTGTCCTCGGGATCTGAAGCGGAGAGTGAGCATCGGCTGCGGTCATGGAAAGCTGTTTCGTGACCATTGTGTCGTGTGCTGCGCCCTAGTAGAGGTGCTCATCGAACACAAAGGTGTCGGCCAAGTAATCCTGGTCCACTTGCTGGGTCGATTTACTCGATTTTGTTTGGGAACGGCTTATGGCGATCCCCCGGATGGCCTCGGCCAATGACATATTGGACTGGGCCGACATAAGGAGCAGCCGCTTCGCCTCGTCTGCGGTCAACATGTCGACTGCTCCGGAGAGGTCTGACGCAAGGCTTGTTGATGACTGTGATTGGGCGTCGGCAGCTTCAGATGCGTAAAAGGTGGTGGGACAGTCAGCTGCCAACACTAGCGATGTGATGTCGGCAAGCGGAACCCGAGGAGAATTAGGATTTCTCGTGAACTTGGCTCCAAGCGGTGAGGATGTGCCAAGCGACATCGACCTCCGTCGAGAGGGCGAGTAAGGTGATTGGTGATCTAGAGTTGGGGAAGGCAACCCGTGTGATGCTTCGATATTTTCAAGCCACGGCCCAACCCTGGTTCGATGGCTGGTGGGTTTGTTGACTTTGGCATCCAAAATCGAGTGCTTGGGCCCGGAGTTCCGGCGTATGTGTTGGGCCGCGCGGTTATTCCCAGGAACGATGGCGGGACGTTGAGGCCGAACAAAGTCAACTTGGATCGGGTGGCGAGCGAGGATGGAAGGAACTCGTGGAGAGGAAGCAGAACCTTGACCGTGGCGCGCATGGGGGGGGGTGGCTTTGGTAGCCAAGACGGGGCTTGGAATGACCTTCATGGTGCAGACTTGTGAGAATCTCGGAGATACCACCCGCAATGGAGTGGGAGTATAGTTGTCGGGAAAAGTTGAGCAGTTGTGATATCGACAGGCTGCCAAGGGCTCGTAACTGACGCACCTGGTCGAGTTATAAGACGCGTTCGGGTGTTTATACAGGGGTACGCGCTGCGGGGTCTGTTGTCTCACCCCACTTGCTAAAAAAGGAAAGTTCGGACCTGTCATGGCGCGAGTGGCAGGGGAGTTTTGGCCCTGTGCCGCGCATTCTTCCCCAGTCTTCCTTGAACAATAACATTGCAAAAACAATTGTCAATTCCAAGTTGGTTGCCAAAGTGACACGACAATTCATCACTATACAGTGAACTGTTGAACTGTTTCCCTCAAAGTAATAGCATAAAGACTCCTGAGATCAGGGAAATCGCTACCACAACCATCCCACCGCTCTTGTCCCTCGTGCTCTGCGCCTTGTTCTCATCCACCGACGCGTTTGGAGTCAAAGTTGGGGTTGAAGTTGTCGTCGACGATGCGCAACTGTAATTCACGCCCGATGTGCTAAACAACCCTGACCGTCCATTTGACACGCAGGCCCACCCCCACGTGTCCGTTGAGTCCGTGACCGCTGCGGCAGCCGTCGATCCGATACCCGCGCAAGCTGAGGGAAGTTCTTGGGACCCGAGTATTGCAACATCTGAGATTCTGATGCTGGTCGAGTTGAAGCAATTGCGCTCGTTAACTTCGGGTACCTCGTCGTTGTCGTCGGTAAAGATGATGTCGGCACACTATTGTCGGTCAGCCCCATTCACCGAGGGACCGACCCCGTCAGTCCACTGCGGCTACACTCACAGTGAACAATCCAGCGCCATGCTTTGCCGCTTCAATCACTTGAATCGTCGCAAGGTCTCCGCTCTTGACCTGCCCCCTCACATCATCAGGAAGTGTGAGCTGGGGAAGACAAACTGAGCCTGGATACGGGTTATCCGTTGGACCTTGGAGATAAAACTTGGCTATGGGCTGTGAGTAGTTCTCTGGCTGCTCGCCCAATCCAATGTTGATGTATATCAACGCCGAAGCATGACCGGTAAACCAGCCCGGTTGGAACGCAACAGCACCACCACCGATGGGCCAATGCGTGCGGTTTGTAGTAACGGGGAGCCCGCCGCCTTGGTTAGGGATATCAAGGATCGTCAGTAAGTCATCGTCATCTCAATCACCAAGGGACCGCCAGTACGTACACGGATACATCCACTGCATCCCAAATGGAAACTCGTCAGTGTGGCCCAGGTTATTACCCCTCCAGCCTGGATAGGTTATGACGACATGACCCTGAGCGAGGCCCGCCAATTGCAGGCACAGCGCCAGAACGAAGTTTTGCGAGATTCGATTCGACATGTTGTATGCATCGACGACGGGGGCGCATGGCTCAGCTCTTTGGTGTTTTCCAACAAAAGCCGCTCGGCCCGGCCCCGGGGACTGTTACTCTTATGGGCAACAGATTTCAACCAGTGCCATTGCAGTCCCTGGTAGGCTGTGCCGCACTATTGCAGAAGCATGGGTGCGCTCTGGCAGGTTACATCCCGATGGCCCAGCATGTTAAATGCAGGAAAACGCCAGCGGCAACTCGATCCCGATCGTTAAGTCCGAGAGACACCTACCAAGCAACGTGATATGGATGACTCACACAGAGACTCGGACTTGGGACCTGGCCAGGAAGAGAAGCATGAATCTTTGCAAAAGGTATCTTCAAAAGGTTGGGTTAAATAATCCGACAGATCAAGGCCACAAGTATTTCCTGGCTCTTTCATAATGACGGAAATGAAACAAAACAAATAGCCTCTCTCCACATCCCCGTTTCCTAGGGCGTTTAGAGAGAATCCCTCATTATTATTCATCTTTGCCTTGGTCTCGTAGGTCCTTAACACCTTATTATTAGGCCAGGAGCACGAAACTGCTGTGTACCTCCCTGCCTAGATGGCTGGGTTCTGACCTTAGACGACGGCCCGCGAATGAACACCAGTCCGGTAGAAACCGTAGTGCCAATCGTAAAGAATATTGAAAAAGAGGAAGAAGCTGCCGGGCCTGTCAGCAGCACTTCCAAGCCAGTCAAATTCCTGTCCTCAAGAGTGACACTCACAATGCAATGAAACTGAAGGCCTCAACCGCGAGCAGCAGGTCGGAGTGACTATTGCTCCAGTCGGAAGCGGTGAAGGAGACGGCGACGATCCAGAGGTACGAGAAGATCAAGTTGAACAGGAGAATGAAGCCTGGCGAGATAACGAGGAAGAAAGCCAAGGGGAAGAACGCCGTCGTGAGGACAGACTGTTAAATGTCGGGGTTAGTCACTGTTCGCCCATTCCTCACAGGCTATGAAATGTAGAACTTAGTATCCCACGACGTACAATCACAAGTTCATAAATGATGTGGTCTCCGCCCCATCCGCGCGAGACGAGGTAGGCGAGGATACCCATCACGATCACGGCCGAAACCCATACTAGCGCGCTGCTCGCAAGCAGGAAGGTGGTGAGCCCTGTGCGGGCACGAGTGTCTCCGTGGACCATGGTGTATGATCGGGCGCTGCCGCCTGCTTTAGCAATGATAGGAGTTGGGTCGGAGAAGATGGGGGCGTCAGTGGTGTTGAGAGTTTATTTACTGGCAATGGCATAAAATTGTTGGACGGCCCAGGGAGCGACTCGGAGTCCTAGAAGATGACCCTTTATATCACTTGCATCCATTTTATTGGCTATGACGCCTTTTCCAGTTTTGCCTTGACATCGCGCACTTATGATGGACGCATGACAACCCACGTCAGATATTGCATCTTGGGCGAATAACGACGAAGATCATTTGGATGGCGGGTGGTGGCCCAGACGTGAATCTGCCAAGATTTTATGCCATAGTCGCCACTGGAAACACCACTCATGTGGTGCAGGATAAGTGCAGCTGACAGCATTCGCTTCCCCATTGGTGTACCAATCCAAGGTGGTGCAAGGGCGTTGCCAATAGTTGGGCGAATGAAGTCCAGCCAAGGGAGCATCGTCGACGTCATGATACAGCCAAGACATCGACCAAACACATTCGGATCCCGTGGTTTCCGACCTTCTTGTCAAATGGTCGAGCAAAACCAAGGAAGCGGGCGGGAGAGGTATGAAAATTTGCATGTTGCGCAATTGCGTGGTGGTTTTCACAAGACCGCCGGACTGCGATGTAACATTGAGAGTGCACTAGATCCATGTGGCGGCAGCCAACGGGTTGCGTCCATATGTTGGATAGGTACCTACCTAGGTATGTAGGTATCCTTTACAAATCAAGTGTTCTGTAATACGGAGTCTGCAAGGAACGGCTGGTCCAGAGGATGAGGGCACGTGGTATCCCGGAAGAGCTGTGCCGATGGACAGAAGCTTTCTGTTCTGACCGTACGGCCTCTATCCAGGTCAACGGGCATGCTGCGGAACGACGGGACCTCCCACAGGCTGGCCTGCCCCAAGGCTCGCCCCTCTCCCCTATCTTGTTCCTCTTTTTCAACGCGGATCTGGTCCAGCGAAAGATCGATAGCAACGGTGGTGCGATAGCCTTTGTCGATGACTTTACCGCCTGGGTCACAGGACCGACGGCACAAAGCACACGCAAGGGCATCGAAGCAATCATCGACCAAGCACTAGACTGGGAAAAGAGAAGCGGAGCGACATTTGAAGCAGACAAGACAGCCGTCATCCACTTTACCCGCAAGGCCTATAAAGCCAACTCGGAGCCCTTTACGATCAAGGGTCAAGATGTTCAGCCGAAAGACCACGTTAAGATCCTTGGAGTGGTCATGGATGCCAAGCTCAGGTATAAGGAGCATATCGCAAGAGCGGCCTCCAAAGGGCTCAGCGCGGCGATGGAGCTGAAACGGCTCAGTGGTCTATCCCCGGCTACGGCGCGGCAGCTGTTCACCGCCATGGTCGCGCCAGTGGTGGACTACGCATCCAGCGTCTGGATGCACCAATGTAATTGGAAGACCGCGCCGGCCATACACAGGGTGCAGAGGGTCGCGGCGCAAGGGATCATAGGAACGTTCAGCACGGTAGCAACACGCGTAGCAGAAGCAGAAGCTCACATCCCCACGGCTCAAGATCGATTCTGGAAGAGGGCGATCAAGATGTGGACGGACATCCACACCCTACCAGAGACGAATCCACTCCGCAACACCACTTCCCGGATGCGCAAGTTCCGGAGATCCTACCGCTCCCCTTTCTTTCAAGTAGCAGATCTCCTCAAGGACGTCCCATTGGACAGCCTCGAAACCATCGCTCCCGTCGTATTAGCGCCATGGGAGAGGCGAGTCCGCACTACGGTTGACAGAACGGGCATCCAGCAAAAAGAGACAGAGTGGGCGGTCCGGATCGCCGTAAGCAGCTCCGCACGAAACAACATGGTCGGGATCGGAGGAGTCGTCCGTCTCCCGCTGCCGATGCGAGATGGCTCAAGGAACGAAGCCTTTAGTGTGACGCTGGGCTCCAGGTCGGAGCAAAACCCGTTCTCAGGCGAGCTTGCGGCTATTGGGTACGCGTTGAGGTTGATTCGAAATATCAGGTACCGAAAGATCATCCTTGCCACCAGCAACAAGGCAGCCGTGATGGCCTTGGAACGACCACACCAGCAATCAGGACAACAATATCTCTGTCAGGCGTACGATGCGATAAGTGCCTTACGCAAGGCGGGAAACACGATATCGGTCGTCTGGATCCAAGCGGGTACCAAAAACGAGCTCCTGAACACAGCCAAAGCGAAAGCAAAGGAAGCAACACGGCAGGACGCTACGCCACAAACGCAGGATCCTGCCATGCGGTCAACAGCCCTCCGTATCGCATGGGCAAAGCGGGCACCGCCCACGTCCTTACCTGACAAAGTGGGCAGACATTCCAAGAGAGTCGATATAGCGTTACCAGGGAAGCACACCCAACTATTATACGACCACCTGTCCCGAAGCGAGGCCGGCGTGCTTGCTCAGCTTAGAACAGGCATGGCCAAGCTCAACACATACCTGCATCGCATCAAAGCAGCACCGTCAGATCAGTGTACGTGTGGACAAGCCAGAGAGACAGTGGACCACTTCCTCTTCCGATGCAAGCAATGGGATCAACACCGTAGGGAGATGCTGCAATGTACGGATGTCCACAGGGGGAACCTCTCCTTCTACCTGGGAGGAAAGTCGCCCTCGGATGACAAGGACTGGTCCCCCAACATGCGGGCGGTGCGGGCGACGATACGTTTTGCCATTGCCACAGGTCGTCTGAGGACTGAACAACAACAGAATGAAGCAAACTAACCTCACCATCCTAAACCCCGACTAACAACCCCCTTCATCTCGTATCACACGGAGTAAGCGCGCTTCAGCCGCCGAAGATAGGACGTTGGACACTTGGAGACTAGCCTTCAAGCCAGCTTACTATTCGTACAACTAACCCACGAGCATCCGCAGCAGAGAGGGCAAAATTGTAAGGAGATAAGCCAGAAAAGGAGGATGTACGGGCTTCATGAGATCAGGATCCATTTTAGGATATGTATTAGTAGATTGTATGATAGTTGCCCTTTCGGGTTAGGCCCGCCGGGCGGAATAAATTGTGTGTGTGTGTGTGTGTGTGTTCTGTAATACTTATTATCCAACGAAACCTCCCACGCCAGCCCTTCACGCACCGTCCCTCCTGAGAAGCTCAATGATCTTCGTCGACTTAGTTGCCTCATGTAGTCAAATATATCGAGTGTTACGACAAACATTCCTTTCTAATCCCAACCTCGACCCGTCCTACGTTCTATAACGCGAGGATTGTCCTCATCACCTCCTCGAGCTTCTTTTCTGGGTCCGCATTCATGCTACGCGACCTCCACGCTACAAATCTGTCAGGGCGAACCAAAACGCACCCATTTTCATCCACCTCGCGCTTCTTGGCCCAGTCGAAATAGACATCTTCAAAGTCCTGCTTCCAACCTATCGAGTACGCGACAACTTCGACCCCTGTGGATACGGAAACGGACCGAGCGGCGTCCTTCCACTGTTGTCCCCCCGGGCCGGTCAGCAAACAGAAGCGGCCGTGTCCCGCCAAGTCAATGGTTGAGATAGGCTTGGTGGGAAGTCGTTTGTTAAGCCAGACGTGGGGCAGGCGGCGGCCGGGGTACGTCGTGATCTGGTGCGTCTTGACTTTGCATGCCCCTTTGGGCAGCACCGGCGGCGGGCCCTGGTCGGTCAGGTACACGGCATCCGATTCGTAGCGCTGGTTCATTTCGATGCCGAGGCCGTGGAACTCGGTCGTGGTATTTTCAATGGCCTCCTGGAAAGCTCGTCTTCTTTTGTGGCCCTTCTCGCCCTGGTCGTCAAACTCTGCCAAGATCTCGAGGCGTTTAGCCTCGTCGGTCTCGAGAATCCCCATCGTCTGTTGCCATTGGCTATGATCCCGGAGACCTTGGTTCGCCCGGGTGATGATATCTACCCCCACAGGCTGGCGTTCTTTGCTGAAAGATTCCAGTAGTTGCGGCCCTGCCTTTCCGGACATGACGTAGTCAATCTTCCACGCGAGGTTGAAAGCATCTTGGATACAGGTATTAGATCCTAGGCCGTTAAACGGCGGGTGACGATGCACTGCGTCGCCGAGGCAGAAACTAATTAAAGCTAAGTCAGCAAGGGGGCGAGCAGAGGCGCGCCTGGACTCACATATTGCCATCAGAGTAATACTCGGCCACGATTTCGTTGATCCACCATTTACTGGAGTGTAACAGTTCAACTTTGACCGAATCATCGCCAATGAATTCCTTCACTCTCTCCAGATACTCCTCGTTGGTTGCGTCCATTGCATCCGCGGTCAGGTCAGCACCAGGGGCAGGCAGGAAGATGAACATCCACTCATTCCACGGCCGCACCATGCGAACAATAGTGGCCCATCCCCAAGGAGGGGTATTCATATCCTCGGGGCGGAACACCCAGTGCAGGTTGCCGATGCGGTTCGCGATAAAATGCGACATGTCTGCTTTCACCAGGACGTTCAATGCCAGCCCCTGTCCGGGCTTCTTGATGAGTGGGATCTTCAGCTCACGGACGACCTGGCTCCTAGCACCATCGCAACCAAACAAGTACCGGGAATGGATCTTGTAGGTCTTTTGGGTCAGTTCGTCAAGGACCTCCGAGATGACGAGGTCTGGCGACGGCCGAGTGAGGCCGATCAGTTTGGTGTTGAACCAAAGCGTCCAGCCTTCATGGATTGCTCTCTTGGTAAGGATTGGCTCCAGGAGTGTCTGGGGTAGGTCGACATGATCGCAAGGGCTAGCCGCCTCATAGTCACCCTAGCTCGTCGTGTCAGTGTGGTGACGGAGTCGAGGGTTGCACCGCGTTCCGATTGCGATTCGCCGAGTCGATGTCCCGGGCTGGTCCCTTACTTTATGTTTTGGGTCGTGACCCCACGAGTACACTCTCGCAAATTCCTCCCCAGCCATACTACGGCACCATCTGGTATGTGCCATGTTGTGGCTAGGCGTGGCAACCTCCAGACAGTCCTGCTCAAGGCCGATATCCCGCAAACATTCTACCCCAATCATTGTTAGCCGAGACAGAGTTGTGTTTGTTGATGACCTAAATTACACACCAAGTCCAGCCATGTTGGTAATATGAGCACGGGGTGTTTCTGCCGTGCCCGGCGCCGCGGCGATTAGGATACCCTTTCTGCCTACATTATAGACAGAGTTAAACATCTCTTTCTCGTAAGACCCGTGTTAAGCGGCTGCACGCGGCCACACGGACTTCTACCCGCCCAATCCACCAGGGAGGTACCCGAACATACCATGAGCGGCAAGGAAACAAGCAAGGGAGGCTCCAGCGGGACCTGCCCCTACGATCAAAAGATCGGTCTTCACAACCACCTCGTCCGCCATCTCCAATGCTAAGGTCGTCGTCTGGCTTCCGTTATCCTAGGACTTGTTTACAGCAGCCAAGTATGGCCATGAAATACTAATCGTATGTCTTGAGGATCTGCAGGGCTGGGAGGGCAAAGACTCGTGGTTGAAACCAAGTCCCCTGACTCAGCCATGACAAAACCGGGTCTTCCCTCCACTCGATGAAGTCAAAAGGCGAATACCCCGTTTTATCCACAACCTACCAATGAGCGTACAAAACAAGAACCCCGCTCAATTTAAGGAGTGCGGGGAGGCGGGCTCGGCGAAGGACAGCCGGGATAAGCCTGACGCCCACTTGTTGTCAAACCCGTGAGGGGAGCATATCGTTACCCGGTAGTAAGGGAGAGAGGGGATTTTACCCCTTGGGTCAACCAACAGTGTGTTTACTGCTTAACAGCCTTGACGTTTTTAACAACTAATGAAGGAACAAGGATCCCTTCAATAGACCTTGATGAGTTGCGATCTCAACTTTACGGCACTTTTTGAGTGAATGGAAGATTGACGACATTATTTCTAGATCATTTCAGCTGTGTCAAAACCGCAAAAGAATTCATATCAGTCCACACGATCCAGAGGCCGCATCCTCAAGTACATGCCGTGTTCGGGCTTGATAGTGATAACTCCCCTGGGGACAATTTTTGACTCATCCATAGCCAGGTCCCACGAAAAGGTTGTCACCAGCGCAGCGAGCAGACACCGCATCTCGGCCTTTGCGAACTCCTGGCCGATGCAGCTCCGCGGCCCCTGCAGGAAGGTCAGGAAGTCATAGTTGCTCTTGGCGCCACCGTGCCGATTCGTCTTCCCGTCATCGGCGTTGATCCATCTCTCGGGGCGGAAGGTGCCCGCATCCGGACCCCAGATCTCGGGCGAGCGGTTGATCTGCCAGATGGAGATGACCATCTCAGTGCCCTTTGGAATGAACTGCTCCCCTATGCTGGTGTCGCAGAGCGCCTCGCGCATGGTCACTGGGACGGTGGGGTACAGCCGCAGTGTCTCATGCATGATGCCGTTCAGGTAGGGCATTTGCTTGAGTAGACCGATAAGGTCAGCGGAAGGCTCGCCGGAGACGGGGTCTTTCCCGAGTGCCTCCGTGACCTCGTCCCGTAGTTTCTTTTGGATCTCTGGATGCTTGGCAAGGAGGTACGCTGACCAGGTGAGTGCCGAGGCTGTGGTTTCGTGACTAGGGGACATGGGTCAGCAGCGAAGCGGGAATTACGTTCCGCGATTTGACATACCCTGCAGCCAGGAAGGTGAGAAGCTGGTCTTTGAGGACCTCATCGTCAAAGTTGTTGGACTTGATCAGAAGGGACAAGATGTCGAAGTGGTCGTCATCCTTCTGGACGATTGCGTGCCTCTTCTCCTTGATCAGATCTCTGCAGATGTTGTCAAGTGATGTGGTCAAGTAAACAAAGAGCTTGTTCATCTTCCACGGCAGCAACCTGATGAGGGAGAAGCCAAAAGCCAGGTTTAGGGCGGAGAAGACGATCTTCTCCCGGTCCGGTTCCAGCAGTTCCTCGTACAGTTCTTGGAGAGGATCGCTCGATTTCTCCACAGCGTTTATCTCACGGCCCATGCCGGCAATGCCGATGATGTCGAGAGTGACTTTGCTCGCCCAACCAGTCAATTCGAGCACGGCCGATCCCTTTGACTCACTGGTGGCGTCGTTGGCAATCTCGCTTCGAAGTTTTCTGGTCAAGATGCCGGCCTTGGTCCACATCATGGGGTACAGATCCGTAATGTGCCGGGCGTGGAAAGCAGGCAAAGTGTTTTTACGGAGGAACTTATGGTTGTCCTCTTCTAGGGTGATGAGGCCCTCCCCAATGATGAGGCGCAAAAACGAAGCGATCCTCCTCGGTTTGGCGAAGTCGTAGCATTTGTGCGAAAACAAGTCGGCCAGCAGCCGAGGTTTAGCGACGAGGATATGCCGCCTGAAAGCATCCAAGACGACCAAATCTTGATCCGGATACCGTTTGACTAGGTCAAGGAACAGGTCTCCAGCAGGTCCTTCTTTGACGAGGAGGGTCCGATAAGCAGCGCTGATGATTGCCTGCAAAGGATTTGGTGAGCATTCCCTGGAAACAAATCCTTTCGAGGTTCACTTACTTTTGGCCCAGGGATTCGCCGAAGAGGGCTGAAGACGTTGGGATACAAGAGTGCCCAAAATACGATTCCCAAAACATAGTTGACCAGGATTGTGCCGACGATGGCTGTGAACCCATCCTGTAAACCGAAGTAGTCTGGCAGTAACTTGACAATTACAAGATATTCAACGGCCCCAGCGATGGTAAGGCCAGGAAGGCTGAAAATACGGGAAGCAATAGCCATGATGTGCGCCGCGAGTGCTAGTTGGACGGGGGGTGAGACTGCTAGTGGAGTTCCATCGAGGAGAAAGCCATAAAAGTGATGATGATGTTCGCCTGGCAAAGGTAGGGGACAAGTGGAATTTGATATGGACTTGTTCGAGGGTAACCTAGGAATGGTATTGGGAAGAATGAACCAAGCATGGTCAACTGCTAGTTTCCATCCGCTTGCTGACTCCCACGACGCGCGTTCGATGTGGAAGGGAGAAGAGTTGCCAACGGCGAGAAGCCGCCTCCACAACGAAGAAGCATCATCGCAGTGGGGTGGACATACAAGTTCATCCCCGGATGCCGCTGCTTGTGTCGATCAAAGTGTCCTGGAAGCCCCACTTGGACTTCGGAAAGGAGAGCATGTCCTTCGTCCCAGGATTTCGGATTGCGACGCTACCCCAGCCCGAGCAGGTCGCAAGCTCCATCCCCATTCAGCTTAGTGTGCGAGGTTGAGACATTCCCCGCGGAACGGGTAGAGCCACGCGACGGTTGTGATCGATCCTTCGGGACGGAACCGAGGAACTGCCTCCTGCAAAGATAACGAGGCCTTTTTTAGACAAGCGTGCCGCAAATGCACCTCACGCTTGTGTTGTTTTGGATTTGCCTAGTCACTTTATCAGATCTCGTCCGCGGTGGTTCAACTTGGCTGGGACCTCGGTGGTACTTTGATCATCACTCGTCATTAGGTACCTAAATCGTAAAGACAACGAGTGTATTAAACCCGCGAATTAACATCGTGCTAAATAAAGCTGGAAAGATAAGAGACCCAAATTTGTTCCCAATCCAAGTGGAAAGCGAAAATACATGATCCCAAATCAAGAGCCAAGGATGTATCCGAAATCCAGCACTGGGTTTCCACCTTGCGCTGGACCTGTCACTGCAGGTTGTGTGGAGTGCCTACCACAGGACCATGGGTGTCTTCTGCCGAGCCGGGACTCCATCCCGCGGTCGGGTGTATCCACGAACGCAGCAAGATCTGTTCCTGTGCCCATCTCGTTTTATTGATATCATCATCCCCCACGACTACCGCAGCTCGAATCCCGATGCCGGCGTTGAGCCGTGCCAAAATCTCCGTCGCCTTTACGCTCTGATCTGGGGTCACGTACGCGCAGGATGACACCAGCCGAATCGAGTGAACAATGACTATGGCGGCAGCCCCGTCGTGGGGGGACGGTCCCGGGGAGTCCACCGGGAGCAACATCGCCAAGTGCGTATGGCACGGTCGCGAGGATGTCGTCTATCACAGTGGTGACATCCATCTCAAGAAATGGGAGGTACTCGTCCAACATCCTCCCAACACCGCCGCCTTGTTCTTGTTGATAATGGTGCGTGATCATGCTCATCAGCAGGATGAGACGCGCAGACCGGATCAAGATGATAGTGCAAGCCGTTTCGACGTCGTAGTGCGTCGTTCCGGATGCAACCTGGCCCAGTGCCGTCGGCGACCCGAGCCTCTTGAACATGCTCTGCCAATAATCTGCTGCTTCAATATCCCAGCGATGGAAGTCGTCCAGCGTCTCAGAGCACTTTTGTATCACGGATAATTGTTCCTCGGCATCGAGATAAACACTGCCCGAGAGCAGCTGATGTCGGAGCACCAGCGTCTTGGACATCATGCCGAGAGCGCGGAGTAGGGGGTCGAAGACGCCCCAGGCGCTGGCAATGGCCCCTGGGTCGACATACCTGTCATCGTCATGTATGAAGGAGTAGACATGCTGCCAAAGAGTCAATACGGCCTCCTAACAGCGTGCCCAGCAGCTGGGCCGACATGGAAACACGCTAGAACTTACCAACCGAATGAGTGCTAAGAAGAGGAGCTCTGCTCCCCGTCTGGTCGCAATCTGCTCCAGCCCCCGTTTCTCCACGAGGTAGTAAAGCCCAGGAGCGTGCTCGCGGGCGCCACCGGCTTGTTCACCGCAGATGTCGTTTAGCATGCAGAGGAGCAACACCGACGTTATGACTTTGTCATCGGTGGCTTGCTCTTCGGATTGTATGAGGTTTTGCAACATCCGGATGGCGCGGCTATAGTTCTCGTATGACTGAACGCGGAACTTTTCGCCGCCAAATTTGTTGTACGCCGCCATTTGGGCGACGCTGAGGGTGGCCACTTCCAGGAGGCCATGGCTGTGGGAGTCGTACAGGCTGGGGAGGAAGCTCAGGTGACCTGGGAAGCCATCCTCTCGGTTTGGTGAGACGAAACGATGGATAAAATAGAACAGTGAGACGTTGTCGTAGCAAGGATCTGGTGCGCGAGGAAGAGCCTGGATCAAAGGAAGATTCCCGATGCCTCGTTGCTGCTGCCGTTCCGGTGTGTGACGCAGCGATAGTATGGGCTGTTGTTTGCGCCGTTGTCGTTGCTCACCGCCCTTCCCTGTCACTCCGGCTTGCTGGGAACTTTTGCGTCTCGGGGTCTTGTCCTGCTGTTCTTGTTTGCATTCCTGCGCCGCCACTGGACCAGCAGCCGCGACAGAGGCGGGACTTGAGCGGTGTCGAAACTGAAACTGATCCGTGTATCCAGTGCATGGTTTACCGTAGATTGCGCAACGGCGACATGATGGTCTGGTTTCGTCGCACTTTTAGCCAGTGACAGTTAGTCCCTCCATCGGGCGGGTCAGGGGGCAGCATCCAACACCACCAACCTTTACTTTCCGCTGGCGACAGCGCAAACAACCCCTGCTAAAGTGTCCTGGAAATACCATCGTTCCCAGCTCAAAGCAGACGCGGAGCCGGAAGCGGGTGATAGGAACCGCTGCAATGCCGAACGGTGGAGGAGGTGGGAGAATATTGGGCCGAGTACAAATCTGGGGGAAGGCCGAGCTTGCGACGCCAGAGCGCTGCCACGTTGAACATCAAGCCTCAGGCAAGCGCGTCGCCCCAAGGACACGTTACTTAGTGTGGTTTAGCTTGCGATGCATGCCGAGGTTGTATCCGGCCTAGCATCCCAGCCAGATGGAGCACTGTTGCAGATCTTTTCTGGGGGTTGCCGAGGGGCATCTTCAGCATCGGCACAACACCAGAAATCGACCAAGCAAAGTACGGTGCACAGGTGAAATCGTGACGAGGGATAGTGTATATGTAGACTAGATTATGAGGCCAATTTCAGCATTCTCCATACTCCTGAATATTGTTCTCGCTTGTCACCCGTTCTGCTAAGTTCAATCACCAAGTGTCCCCTCCGCACTTCACCCATCTCACCACCTACCCCAAAGTTGACATCATCTCGTCTTTCTGAGGCTATCCCTTCGGCATGGCTTCTTTTCTCTATTCCCCCGCTATCGACATGTTAGCATCTCTGGGCCGGATAATGCTCTCGCCCGTTCTATCGGGCCCAATCCTCGTGTTTATCACGTACTACCCTGATACTGTGGGCCGTATCATCGACTCGGCCGCCAAAGTTGTCCCGGAAAGGGTGATGACATCGATCTTATCCCGCCCGCCCCATCTCGCGACAACCTCTCTTCGTGTTCTTGCCGTGTTGAGCCTCGTCCGCACAGTGAACGGCGTGTTGAACACCATGGCCTCCAACTCTTGGCGTCTCACTGCGGCAAAGGGGTGGGACTGGCCGAACGAAATTGCCGTGGTCACAGGCGGTTCGAGCGGGATCGGGAAGGGAATTGTCGAGAGGCTCGTGGCCCTTGGTGTTCGCGTCGCGGTATTGGACATCCAGGAGCTGCCCAAGGAGTTGCAAGGGAATCCACGCATCCGATTTTTTCACTGCGACGTGACGTCGGCCGAATCCGTGGCGGCAGCAGCAGACGCAGTCCGCAGCGAGTTTGGGCATCCTTCCATCCTCGTCAACAACGCGGGGATCGCCCGGCCTATGCCCATTCTTAAGACGCCAGAGGAGTACCTCCGTAAGATATTCGGCGTCAATGTCATGTCCCTGTGGTTTACGACGCAGCAATTTCTCCCCCGCATGATCCAGCTCAACAAAGGCCACATTGTGACTGTGGCAAGCATCGCGTCTTTTGTCGCTCTCGCCACAGCCGCTGATTATTCGGCAACAAAAGCTGGAGCTCTGGCTTTTCACGAGTCGCTCGCGTCTGAGATCAAACATCAATACAAAGCCCCGAGTGTTCTCACATCCGTCATCCATCCCAACTTTGTCCGGACGCCACTCGTCGACGGGTTTGCTGGCCGCCTTGAGCGCTCTGGAGTTCGGATGCTCACAAGCGACCGGATTGCGGATGAAGTCATTGCTCAGATCAAGAGCCGGAGGGGTGGCCAGCTGGTGATTCCAAACTCGGCTACTGGCATATCTGCAATTCGAGGCTGGCCGACATGGCTCCAGGAGGTCATTCGTGATGCCGTCGCGAGGGGAGCAGTGAAACCGTAGGCGAGGACACTCCGGCACTGGAGGGATGCGAAGTTTTTGGCAAGGACAAGTTATGTAGATTAACGGGAGCCAAGATTCAGGCGTCTGCACAAGTAACCATCTACGTTTAAGAAGGTATCTATACGTATGATCCGCCATTTAGGTGGTTTCTGATGAAGGCGGCGAGGACCTTTCCAGTTTCCCCCTTTGCCCTGGGCTCCCTCACTGCTTAGTGATATTGGGGAACTGGAGACAAAATGAACATATTAGACCACGTTCCGTAACCTGTGCATAATATCGCCGTGATTCATTTCACATTTTTCTGTGCATGTTCCCAATGCTGGGTGGGAATCAGCCTCAGCCTGTCTAAGTGAGCCGCAAGCGGAAATGACAATGGACAGACATACCCCTGTCCATAGCCCCGTTGCCCGCCCCCCCCCCCCCCCTCTCCCTCCTCCCACATGGGAAAGTATAGAAAAGATGGAACCTCGCCCATCACAGAACTTGACCTGGACTTCAACAGCCACCAACCTTCCAACCTTCTCACCATTCCTCCAAACGATTGAAACATGGGAAAGTCACCGCCGCCAAACGCGAGTGTTTCTCAGGCTCGCACCAAAAGCCCCCCCCACGGAATACTCTTATTCGCGTACTGCTACACGATCCTGACTACGCCATTCCTGCTGGCTCATTTTATGTTCGATGTACTTTTGACTCTGTTCCCGTGGACACGACCCACGAAAGAGTGGTCACTCAACCAAGCGGCCCGTATGCGGGTAGTCAGGCTCGTCCTTCTTTACTGGTCCCGCCTGCGCTGGGGAGACCGACTGACGCTCCGCCCCGGCGGTGAACGCAATCGATTCGAAGTGATGCACCCACGGTCACCGAAGCTCTACAGGGGTCCCCTTTCAGATGCCGTGATTCATGCAGAGGCTATCGGCACAACCTGGACGCCAGCACGGCCGCCACCTCCGGCGCTGGTACGACCAGAGCTCACTGTGGCGCTGCACTTTCACGGCGGCGGATTCGCCATCGGAAACGGACGCGATGAGGACACGGGATATTTATCTCAGGTCCTAATTCAGCACATGGGCTGCAAGTTCGTTTGCACACCACAATATCGGCTCTCCAGCGGCAGCAACGGACGGTTCCCAGCCCCGGTCCAAGACGCGCTGACGGCTTATCTCTGGCTCCTCCACGAAAAGCGCATCCCCGCTCATCAAATCATTTTTTCGGGCGACTCGGCGGGCGGCAACATTGCTCTGGCCTTGTTGCGATACATTCAAGAGCACGGCGTCGAACTGGACATACCCGCCCCAGCCGCCGTTGCCCTCTGGTCACCGTGGGTAGACGTGGCAGCCGCCATCAACCAAGATATGCGCCAGTCACCCAACTACAAAACCGACTATCTCAATAAGGAATTTGGATATTGGGGCGCCATATCCGTCTCCGGCGGAGCCGACCCTTCAGGGCCATACCTATCACCGCTTCACCACCCGTTCAAGCCACCCGCCGCCGACATGCCCATGTTTGTTCATGGAGGTGACCGAGAGGTGCTCTGGGACGATATACAGGTTCTTGCGCAACGCTACGGGGACACTGGATGGAAGGTGCAACTGGGAGTGTCCCGGGATTGTCCTCATGACATTCTCCTGCTGGGGTCCAGGCTCGGGTTTGAGAGTGAGGCCGAGGAGGCAGCGAAGGAAGCGGGCAAGTTCTTCTCGGCAACGGCGGGTATGAAACTGAGCTACGAATAATTGGAATTTGACTACCTAGTTCTGGGGGAAAGGTCGGGATAGGTGGGCTTGGTCTAGTATCTCTGAAATGGAATAGCTTCCGAGAAGCCTGGTGAATCAATCTACCGAGGAATACAACGCAATCAAATCGAGCCGGCCTCGTGCTCATGACCGCACATGCTTTATGTATCTCAAAACGGAAACGCCGTGGTATTAAACTGTGTTGTTCCCGTGGTCAAAGAAAGATGACGACGGTATGGAGCAGCTTTGACTTTGGAGCCGAGGTAAAAGGTAAAGGAGTCAAAATCAAGCATTGAAGCGTGGGGTGTTGGGGTCGTGCGGGGTGGAACCGTGCAAGACAGCACGCGGAGAAGAGAATACAACGTTGGTACAGTATTGGCTGTTTGAATTGGGACTGTGCTCACTTCTGGCATAGTTTCCGAGCTGGTCCGCGATGATGTCAAATGCTCCAGGTACGAAGTAGTTAGTGGCCCACCGTTTTGGGATCGGTATCGGATACTAGGTTACCTTGGGATGAACTCCAAGCTGGGCAGCCAATTGCACCCCACATAATGTCCTGAATAGGAGCCACCGGCGGGCTATCGAGCCCAGATTAGACTCAGTTTGCGACCCCTGGGTCCTGACGGCACTGGCTTAGGTAGGTAGTGGAGTTCTGGCGCCACGCAACGTGGAGTGTCATTCGGAAGCGCTCCGGAATCTGGCGATCAACTTGCGAGGTGCATCGGGACTTACCCGTACGGAGGTACGCGGCCGCGACGGGACCGATCATACATGTCTAACGACGGGGGAAGTTTGTTCACAAAAAGATGATAGAGATCTGGTACATCAAGCAAAGGGTGCAAAGCCCAAGTTTCACTTCGAAGATACATTCTCGAGCCTCATCACTCCCTTCTACGTCTTCCTGGATCTTGTCACACTACAATGGCGAACGGCAACGTCGGCGCACAGCCGGATAACGACATGTTCTTTGACACAATCATCATCGGCGCTGGCATCTCGGGAATTAACGCTGCGTATCGAATCCAAACCGAAGGGCCAGCCGGCACAAGCTACGCCATTTTAGAAGCACGGGACACCCTCGGGGGAACTTGGGATTTGTTCCGTTACCCCGGCATCCGCTCAGATTCAGATATCTTCACTTTCGGGTTCCCCTGGAGCCCGTGGAGGCATAATGTCTCACTTGCGTCTGCCGAGCAAATCAAAACCTACATGAGGCAGTCGGCCGAGTCTCAGGGCATCGACCAGCATATCCTTTACCGCCATAGCGTGGTGTCGGCTAACTGGAACACGGCGAACAGGAATTGGGAGCTGCAGGTTGAAGTGGCCGGACAAGACCAGCGCCTCACCATCCGGTCACGGTTCTTGCTGCTGGGCACGGGCTACTACGACTACGAAAAACCCCTGGAAACAACGATCCCCGGCATTGAGAACTTTGCTGGGCGAGTCATCCACCCACAATTCTGGCCCGAAGACTACGACTACACCAACAAGAAAGTCGTGATCATTGGTAGCGGCGCCACCGCCGTAACCGTCCTCCCTGCCATGGCTGAAAAAGCGAAACACGTCACTATGCTACAGAGAAGTCCCGGCTACGTTTTTTCTCTTCCATCAAACAGCATCATAACGGCACTGCTCTTTGCGATCCTCCCTATCAGCATGGCTCACTATCTCAACCGCATCATGTGGCTTGTCAGGAGCCATCTCACCACTGTTCTCTGTCGGACATGGCCCGGGCTAGCCAAGCGGATCATCAAGTACGTAACCATCAAGCAGTTGCCGCCAGACATCCCATGGGACCCCAACTTCAAGCCCCGGTACAACCCCTGGGAGCAGCGTTTCTGCGCTTGTGTTGACGGTGACTTCTTTGCCACGCTCCGGTCTGGCAAAGCCAACGTGGTCACGGGCACGATCAAGACTGTCACCGACAAGACCATCGAATTGGACTCGGGCGAGAGGCTTCACCCTGACCTGATCGTCACGGCGACCGGGCTGAAGCTCCGGTTTGGCGGCGGGATCCGGTTCGCACTAGACGGCCGGCCCTTTGAGTGGTCCGACAAGTTTGCGTGGCGAGCCGCCATGCTCCAAGGCGTGCCCAACATGGTTTTTCTCACCGGATACGAGACGGCGTCCTGGACCTTGGGTGCTGATGTGAGTGCTCGGGTGTTTGTGCGTATCCTCCAGGAGATGCAAAAGCGGAACGTCACAATGGCGGTCCCTCGGCCGTCGCGGTCCATGCCAGACAAGCCCATGATGAGCTTGAATTCCACCTATCTGAAAAGGGTGAGGGAGGTGTTGCCCAAAGCGGGAACAGGGGTTTGGGCAGCCAAGACGAATTACTTTGCGGACATGGCAAGGGCAAAATGGGGCAGCATATCGACGGATTTGGAATTTTCTTAGACTTGAGCGTAAATAGGGGTAATTAGGTAGCTCCTACAGAAGGACATGACTCTGACTCTCGGTATTCTCTTCCCTGTTTCGCTGCCAAGATCTTGGGGGCTTGGGGCTAGGCGTTCCTCGGAACTCTGGCCGACAACGATGTCGACATGTAAGTATAGTAGTGTAGTGCACACGAACTCCGGGTTTTCAACATATACGAACATGTGCGTCATCGACTTTCCCCTCGTTCCCCGCGCATGTTCAACCTGGCCAGACTCCACGAGATTTGGAGTTGAAGATTGATCCTCACCAGAGTGCGGGGTGCAGGGGGTGGACGGCGATCTTCATGTATGATGTGGAGCGATGCCCATGTCCGGATTTGGGGTTGCCTTCCGAGCCCGAGCTGGCGTTGAGGTTCAAGGTACCACAGATCTACTTCGACGCATGAAATCTCGGCGGCGTTCATGAGCATCGTAACCCGGGAACGATTGGGGACCAGAGAAGAGGAGCAAGCCCAAGTTTCCTAAACACGCGGGGCTACATATTTGACTTTTCCCCCATATTGAATAGCTACTATTACCAAACTCGGTTCCTGCCCACCCGAACTTTCCGCTTCACCGCTCTTAGGTTTCTTCCCCGACAACGTACGTCTCCAAAACCGAACTTCACAATGCCTGAAAAACCCGCAACGGTTTTGCCCGGGCACCTTGGAAATCTTACTGTCGAAGAGCAGGCAAAGCTACAGGAAGCATGGGTCCATCTCCTCCGGCTTTGCGGAGTTGAGGAGAGCGTCAAGCTTGAGACGCCAAACCAGACAAGCGAGTTCCGGGAACACCTGAGCGACAAGTCCACCGACGTTTTCCGGCATCGGCTCTGGGCATTCATACTCGCAGACCACCCAGACGTTTTGGTGCTCCGCTTCCTCCGTGCCCGGAAGTGGGACGTGGAAAAGGCGGTGATCATGTTGGTGTCTGCCCTCAACTGGCGCCACGAGCGGCGACTGGAGGATGACATTGTCCTGAAGGGAGACATCATGGGATTGGCTAATACGCAATCGGACGACGAGAAAAGCTTCATGGCACAGTACCGGTCGGGGAAGGCCTATGTCCGCGGTTCGGACAAGGAGAGCCGTCCTGTTTTCATCATCAAGGTTCGCCTCCACGACCCGAAACTTCAATCGCCCGAATCCATGGAAACATTTGTGCTGCATAATATCGAGACCATCAGGACCATGATGCGGCACCCAAACGAGAAGGCCTGTCTCCTTTTCGATCTTACTGGCTTTGGGCTGAAGAACATGGATTTTCACGTGGTCAAATTCCTAGTTCAAGTGTTCGAGGCGAGGTACCCGGAATATTTGGGCGTGGTACTTGTCCACAACGCACCGTTTGTGTTCTGGGGTTTGTCACACTTTCTAGCCCAGCTTATTTGAAGCGTCTTGGTGCTAATGGCGTACAATACAGGCATCTGGAAGATGATCCAACCATGGCTAGACCCAGTCATCGCATCCAAGATCAACTTTACAAGCAGCAACAGGGATCTCGGCCGTTTTATTGCGCAAGAGAACCTGCAAAAATGTTACGGCGGCCAGGACAGCTGGGAGTACAAGTATATCGAGCCGGTACAAGGGGAGGATGCGCGAATGAGGTCAGAAAAGAAGCAACAAGTCGAAACCGATCGAACCGTGCTTCTGCGTCAGTTTGAGCAACTTTCACTCGAATGGGTGCAGATGAAGCCAGACTCGCCCGATGCAACGCGGAAAGCGGCGGAGAGGCGCGAGTTGGCAGAACAGATGCGGGAGAATTACTGGCACCTGGACCCCTTCGTCCGGGCCAGGAGCTGCTATGACCGCGCAGGCGTAATCAACGATTCCGGCGCGGTAGATTACAAAGCCGCAAAATAAGTAGCAGAACCACAATGTCAGTCGTGAGCCTTTCCCGTAGCCGACATGTTTCTAGGCACATGTACTTTTCTTGTCCGTGTACTATCTGCGTTGCCGGCGTGGAACCGAGACATGGTGAGAGGTACGTCGTGAGAGGTACGTAGGTACCTCCAGTGAGTTAGCGAGTAGGGATCACACGATCGTATCAAAATCGACGGCCACGAATATGACATGACCACCGTCGATAGAGCAGAGGCGAATATACGTATGCACATCTTCACGTGTCGAGGGATTTCAGGTCTGGATGAAAACGGCCTGGCTACCTAGGCACAACCCGCATAATACAGTATACAGTCACACAGTACGGAACAAGGAATCCGGGAAGCAACCGATGTCACCTGTGTTGTGGGTATCCATGGCCATCCCGCCCTGGCCTGCATACCCCGGATTCTGGGGAGAGAATGCTTGGCATGCCATCCTTGCTCGCTGCAGTTCCTGACCCAGACGCGAAGTAACCCTAGAGCCGGGGCTAGTCTGGAGGGAGATCTGCCAAGTTCATTGGAAGATCCTTGACCAGGTGCGATCGGGTTGCTGTGTAGTAATCGTATTTCCATTGCAATAAACTTGTCTTTGGCCCTCTTTGCCCTGACCGCCCTCTCGGCCCCGTCTTTCCCCCTTCTCACGAGCTCCAGCTACCTACATGTACCGCGAGTCAAGCGCTAGTAACCTCCCTCTTTCTTCGAGCCCCAAACACAAGCAACTCGGAACTTCAGCAGCACCTCGGCACCATGCGGTTTTCTACGCTTCTGCTTGCGGTTTCCGCTCCCGTGGGCCTCCTGGCAAATGAACCTCGTGAACCACTCTTGTCGGGTGAGCTTGTCGCGCTTCTAGAGAAACACAACTTGGTGATCGTCCCAAAGTCGGAGCTCACCGACGCCCTGACTGAGCTCAACGCTCTTCTCAAGAGCCAGCCGGTGCAGCCACGCCATCTTGTGCCAAGATTTGCAAAGCAAAACACCACTACAACAAGCTCAGAAGCTGGTTCCGGGTCCGGGGGGTCCAGCTCCGTTGACGACTTCCTCGGTTTGGGGGATTTGGGAGACTTGTTGAAGGGCCTCTTTAAGCCCCTCGAGGACCTCACTGGGCTCCTCAAGGCCCTGGAAAGCCTACTCACAGCCGAGTTTCTCAAAGGTTTCCACGATGCGATGGTTTACCTTGCCCAGGCCTTACAACCGCCCGCGCCAGCTCTGATACAGAGCCTCTTGAAAAAGGGCGGACCGCTCATCGACATGCTAGGCGAAATCGACCTCAAGGGCCTCTTGGATCAACTCAAGGATGTCGACCTCGAAAGCCTGGTTGGCGCCGCGCTGAAGTTGTTGTCGGAGAAGAACATCAACAACATTGAGTCCTTGGTAACGAATGGTGCAGCCCTACTCACTCCCTCGTTTGTCAACCAGACATCGACACTCATCGGAGATGTTTCACCACTGTTAAGTCAGTTGAGCCCGTTGCTAAAACAGCTCACTGAGCTGGACCTCGAACCCATTCTCGATGCCGTGGGTCCTCTTCTCACACCCGAGTCCATCCAGGGTATTGTGAAGTTGTTGGACAATGCCGAGGCTTTGCTCACGCCCGAGCTTGTGAAGGAAGTTGGTGGTTTCTTGGGCTCCGTCGGCCCCCTGCTTAAGAAGGTCCAGCCCTTGCTTGACAAACTCGGGGACCTGGATTTGGAAGGCATCCTCGATGCGATCGCACCGCTTCTCACACCGAAGTCTGTGCAAGGCATCATGGCGTTGTTGAAGAATGCTGAGGCGTTACTAACGGCCGAGTTCGTCAAAAGCATCGGCAGTCTTCTGGAGTCAGTTGGTCCACTCCTCGGCAAGGCCACTCCCTTACTCGACAAGCTCGCGACCGTGGACCTCGAGGGTATAATGGACGCCGCAGCACCTCTCTTGACGCCACAGTCAATAAAAGGCATTGTTGGTTTGCTCGACAACGCGGAGAACTTGCTCACGAGCGACTTCGTTGGGGACACAAAGACCCTCATCGGGGACGCAGTCCCCCTGATCTCCGCACTTGCAAAGGTGAACCTAGCGGCTCTAATCAAGCAACTTCAACCTTTGCTCGACGCACTCGGAGAAATCGATATCGCACAGCTGGTCAAACAGGTCTCGCCGCTCCTCACACAACTCTCGCCCTTACTGGAACAACTCGGCAAGATCGACTTGGCCAAACTTGTCGGTAAACTTTCGCCCCTGTTGGACATGCTCGGGAAGCTCGATCTCAAAGCCACTCTTGATGCCCTATCACCCCTTTTCAGCGCCAAGGGCATGGAGGGCATCGTAACCCTTCTCGATAACGCTGAGGACCTTCTCACCTCCAACTTCGTCAATCAAACCCAGACGCTGATTGGTGGCGCTGTGCCTCTCGTTAGCGCCCTCGGTAAGGTCGATATCGACGGGTTGTTTGAAATTATCGACCCCCTCCTCAAGGAGCTGGACGGCATTGACCTCAGCGGTTTGGTTGACGCCATAAAACCCATTCTAGAGGCCGTGAAAAAGATTGATGTGAAGGGTATAGTAGACCAGGCAATGCCGCTGCTCACCCCGGCCAGCATCAAGGCCGTGATAGGGCTTGTCAACAATGCTGGCACTCTCCTGAGCAAGACATTTGTAACGCAGACGTCGGAGCTCATCGATGACGCTACACCAGTAAGGCCTTCTCCTGTTTCCTTACCAATCCCTGGCTAATGTTTTGATTTTTGAAGCTCGTGGCAACAATTGCAGACCTCGTGCATGCAGTGTTAAAGGAGTTTGTAGGCCAGCGGTAGGGTTGATCGGGATGAAACGAGGAACAGCGAATCGGGTTGTGTAGCATCCGCCAGGAATCAGTCCGCCTACTATTGTTGAAAAAGACACGGTAGCTGTGTTGTCGAATTCGGGTCTCCTGTGTGCACTTAATAGTCTAGAAGTTACCTGATGGGGTTGAGGCTCTGTATACTTATACATGTGACTGGTGATGGTTGACGGGATGGGAGGTAATTGACAGGTTGTCAAAGCAGTGTCTGGCGATGTGAATTGAGACGCCAGGTAGGCGCTGAACTTTGGAGGGAGGTGCGAGTTCTGGATTGGTTAAGAATGGGAGGTTGAAGTCGCTTGCGGAGGGCGGGTTCATAATGGTCAGCCAGCCCAGGTTGGGACCTCGAGACCCGGGGCGTCATGTTTAGACACTACGCGACTATGCCGAGGCATGATGTCTTAGAAGGTATGGAATCAGGTATGGTATCTCTAATGTAATATTGCCATTTAGACTCTCACTGTTGGACGATCAAGGAACAACAACCAGGTTTTGATTCATAGGCATAGCAAATAGGAGTTAATCTTTGAAGTTGATGTTTGCGGCTCTGCCGGCTAGGTGTGGTGAATCCTCCAGTCAATGGCGGTGTCATCATAGCACTCAGCTGTTCCCCTAGCGCCAACCTTGCCGTCGCGGGTGAATTTGCTGATGGAGTCCCGGACCAGATCGGTTATATCCTCGTCCCCTATGTTGGTCCACCAGATGCCATCCAGGTACGGGGTCACGACGGCTGTGGCACTGAAGGCACACGTACCCCATGTCACAAGCGGCCGCTCGACCCCCAAGGTCAACTGGTGGTACGGATACTGGTTGTTGTTCCTCCAAAGCTGCTCACAGTCCGAGGCGAGAGGAGAGCCGCCTGTAGACTCGTCGACAAAAGTAGAGTCGCCGCAGAGGTTATATTCACGTTTCTCAGAGGCCAGAGGAGCGCTTTCGGGAGACAAACGTTAGATCATAGGATGCCTCGGCAATATAGGTGCTTAAACCATAACGTGGTACTTACCTCGTGGCGGTTGCAAAACGCCACGTTGTGGCAATAGCCACCTTGGAGAGCACCGAGGCCTTCATCTTGCTCTAAAAGATACAGAAAACCGAAGTGAAAGTGAGAACAGCGACCGGATGGATGGCAAGTCAGACGCGAGGGGGGACCAACGAGGTAAAGACATTGATGAGTGGTATCTGTACTTATAGACTGGATTTATGCCAACAGGTCACTACTAATCATTAATTCTGCACATGACCTAAGGTAAGCTTACTCTTCTCGCGGTCCACGCTTCCCCCTACTCACTTTTGGTTCGCTCCACTCCTCGGCCCCGGCATCACCTTCGCGGATGCTGCGGAATCGGTAGCTGCAGGTCTGACCATGGAAGGGACAATGGTCGGGAGACTCGGGACCATAGGAGAGTTAGTTTGCAACTCTTGACCACGCGACATCCTTGAAGGTGACGTTGGGGCCGAGAAGTGGAACGGGCGAAGGCTCAGTGTAAGCAGAGCTGGGACTTGAAGATCGGGGGCTAAGGGTGATACGAGGGCGTATGTGACTAATACTGTGGTGCGTATTCGGTTGTTTCCCTTGTCGGACTGTCCACGTACCAACCGGCCCACCTGACGTCCAGTTTACAAATATAGGTAGCATGAATTTACAGACAAGTCACAAACTTCAGTTACGAAAACCTCCACTGAGGCCCCAGCCTATTAGGGTCCAGCCTAGATTGAAGATGTTCCTCAACCGGAGTGCAGCCAGATTGCCAAAGGGTGCACAACAAGGATGTCTCAATGGGAGAACCCCAATTTTAGCGAGGTAGGGATAGTTGGAATTGATAACTAAAGAACTACGGTTATTAGTGTGGTATGCCACTGGCATCTAGTATGACTACCATTTCTCCATTGTTAGGTGGATATAATAATACCGAATCCATGGGGGAGGCGGGAGGGCGGGGGAAGCCCAATGCCCAACCCACGGCAACGAGATTCCATACTTTTGTCCGTGCTGCTCAGGGAAGCACCCGGCCTGGGTACGGTGGTGCCCGGAAGCAGTGAAGGCCCGGGGTGCGACGAGGGAGGCATACCATTTCCGGCCTCGAACCTCTGAGCTTGCTTTGCAGCAACAAACACAACAGCAGCAAGAGAGACTACTACCGAGGATGCGGAGCGTCACATTCCGGGGTGCGCCCACCCTGGAGGAGGCCGACGATGGCTTCCAAGAAGCGGGAAAAAGGAAGAGACGACGGGGCCGACCCCCCGGCTTTCTCATAGCCCAGGAGGAGGCTGCAAGGAGTTCGAGGCAAGGAAAGCTGACCTTTGCGAGGAAGGTTGATACGGATCTGACCGGAGACCGAGGAGACGGTGTTGGGGGCCTAGGGATTACGACTCCAGAGGCCGCGGATACCTTGGAGGCGGACGGTCAGGATGTCGGAATGCAGGGAGCTGGGTAGGCTCCCTTCAACCGTAGCATGACGAACTCTGAAGAGACGGGCCAAGGTAACATCGGTACAGGTTTTTAGTCCGACTGGGAAACCAGGACGGTTTTCCTGTACAACTAGCTAGATAGTAGGACCGGCGAGCCCAAGGGCATAGCGGTGTAGGAATAATAATAATAATGAGTGTTCCTATTTAAACAGTAGTTTTTTTCTATTTGGACAGTAAAGGTCCGTGCCCGTACTAAAATTGATGCGCCCACACCACTGTTGTCACTATTACACACCTAATCACAGTGCAAAGTCCTGGGACATGACATACCTGCCAATTGAAGACAGCAACAACACCAAGACTTCGTCAATTCGCGATCGCGAGGTCGTTTTCTTCCGTTTTTTTCGCCCACAGCCGCAACTTCCCTTTATCATCGCCACATTCCTCGTTTTACGATGGATTTCACCGATTGGGATGCCTTCCTAGGCGCGCCGCCGTCGTCTGAACTGTCGGAAGGCGCCGGACTTGGGCAAATCGACGATTTCTATCAAGAAGGACAGACACAGTTGTCTGATGCTATCGCGACCGCAGAAACCGCCAATTCCTTGCAAGAAGACGCCCTGCTGCCGCCGCTGCCGCCGCTGATGGCCTTGTCAGGCGTTGAGGAAGTCATAGAGACTGCAGAATCGGCGCCAGAGCCCGTCATTCCATCGCCGCCGCCCTCGGGGCTGTACGACTCTTTTGACGAGCTTTTGGCCTTCCTGCAGACGTTCCATCGCGACAACGGCGCGGCTATCAAGATTCTGAAGAGCGCAAACCCTCGCGAGGTCTATGGCGAGAGGAAATACACATACTATGTCCTTGCCTGCGATCGCGCCGGCTCTCAAACGTCCACAAGCACAGGAATCCGAAGATCCTCGACTCAGCGGCTCGACTGCCCGTTCAAAGTCATAGCATCAGCGACGAAGCGTTCCGGCTAGAAGTGGTCGTATCGCGTTGACTGCCCCGAGCACAACCACCCGCCGTCTCTCGACCCGTCAGCACACATAATGCATCGCCGGCGTACCCTAGCCCAGCAGCAACAAGCGCGAGATTTGACCAAGCACCGGGCCCTTCCTGCGCGCGAGATGTTAGAGATCATGAGAGACTCTAGCGGCGCCGAACCTACGTTCTTTCGTCAGTCAGACATCTATAACGACAGACAGAAGATCAGGATCGAAGGACTCAACGGCTTGTCAGCCACCCAGGCCTGGATTAAGCAGCTTCAAGATAACAACCTTCGTCACTGGATCAAGATTGACGATGACAACAAGGTCGAGGGCGTCCTGTGGACTTACCCTTGGCCAGAGAAGATGTGGCGCCAGTTTCCTGAAGTCCTAGGACTTGACAACACGTACAAAACGAACCGTTTTCACATGTATCTTTTCGAGGTCATAGGCATCACGGACCAGAAGTCGGTAGCCAACTTCGCGTTTGGCCTCATCAACACAGAGAAGGAAGACGGCTTCCTATGGCTTTGTCAACAGCTGAGGACCTTCGTCAAGACCTTCATGTGCCGGCACCGACCGTGGTGATCACAGACAAGGAGACCGCCCTCAAAAATGCCCTCACGGCGACCTTCCCGGGTGCGCAGCAACAGCTGTGTGTCTATCACATCAACGCGAAGGTGAGGGCAAGAATCCGGTCAAGATGGAAGGCCGAAGACGGCAGAAGCGACGACGAGGTTGACGAGGCTGGCGACAATGAGGCCGAGGTCGCTGACGGCGATGGCGACCTCGTCGCCCGCGCTGCTGAACAAGAGGTCGCCGAGCATGGCTGTGCGGCCTTGCTGCCTGCCGCCGACCCTTTGACTCGCGATGGAATGTTCCGTGCGTGGCAACAAGTCGTGTACGCCGAAGACGAGGCTGATTTCCAGTCAGCATGGAACAAGATGAAGGCTATATACAATCCAACGCAGAACCACATCCTACGCTATATCTCGAAGGAATACATGCCGTACCGCGAGCAGTGGGCGCGCTGCTTTATCAAGCGATACCGCAACTTCGGTCAACGAGTTAATAGTCCTGTGGAAACGGCACACAAGGACGTGAAGTCCTTCCTCATCACGGGCACAAGCGACCTCCTCCACCTCCACAACGCGATCTCCCTGATGCTGCAGAAAAAGGAGAGAGACTACAACGAGAAGGCCGCGGCGATGCAAATGCGGCAGCGCCAACGCTTCATCCAGCAGCAAGGGTGGCTAGGGAACATCCCCATGACAGTCTCCTACGTCGCCGTCGATCTCCTTGCCCAACAGCACCGGCTAGCCGTGGCCGCGATGCCCTCAAGCCGTGGCCTGATGCCTGAGCCGCTGAGGCCTTGCACCGGCAGCTTCATGCAGCAGTACGCGCTTCCTTGCAGCCACATGATCTTCAAGAAGCTGGACGACGGCGAGGCCCTCAGCAAGGAAGATGTCCACCCGCGATGGTGGCTGGCCAAGCCTCTGGTACGATTTCCTATGATTTTCTATGGAAAAGCTACTAACTGCTTGGTCCCAGGACATTGACGAGCCCTTACTCCGACTCCGCGATCCTGACGTGGTCCAAAGCCTCCGTGGCCGGCCTCGCCTGCCAAATAACGAGAAGATGACGGTGCCGTCATCCCTGAGGGCTGACGACGGCCAAGATGAAGCCCAGCAGCAGGAGACGGCGCAGTCAACGCAGCAGCAGCGGCGACGGCAGCCAAAGCAGACTTCGCAGTCACATCGCCGTGAGCGCCGTGCGAAGCCAAGCGCGCGTCGCGATCTATCACAATTTGAGGTTGAAGGCTCGCAAAGGTCATCACAAAGGTCGTCCCGGAGCCGCGGTCGCGGCCGCACCCGGGCAGCTTCGTCGCCGTCGACAAGGAGTTCGCAGTCACGCGTAAATTCGCAGTCTACGAGAACTGCAAGAGGACGATCGAGGAGGTCAGCGATAGCCTCTTCTACGGCGAGGCTGGCCGCGATAGCTGCAGCCGCCTTTGAGACCGACCCCGAGACCGACCCCGAGACCGAGTCTGAGGCTGAGGACGTGATTGAGGTCATCCCGGCCACCCAACCCGGCGCTGACGAGCCGGATGGACTAGCCGGCCCGTGAGAAGTGTTGACGTTGAATTAGAAGGGCCGGAAATGCGTTTTTTGAAGAATTGGCACCGATTGATAGTCGATAGACCTTATAGCGTGTGATTTTGTATGAAGATATCCTTTCCCAGTGTCTTACAGTGTATTTTGGTGTGTGGGTGTGGCAATTGCGATTTTGGGGGGTAAATCTAGCTATTAATGTGGACCTTTACTGTCCAAATAGAAGAAAACTACTGTTCAAATAGGAACACTCATAATAATAATACCGAATTTCCATATTTCAATGGTGAACCCCTTTCATCGACGGTAACAATCACCTAGTTGTCACCGCGATATCAGACCCGGTTCTTGGCAATGATTGTTAACCTTCCAGTTGGCTACTTAAGCGGTTGGTTGACTGTTGAAATCTCGCGGCCTGCTGCGGCCGCCGCCTTGGCCGTTGGCTCATGTATGTCCGTAACAGCATGGGGAAAAACATTGCCGTGGGGCTTTGAAAGTGATATCTTGACACAACTAACCCCAACCCTGGATACTGTACATACCGTGCAACCCCCGACTCCTAATTTCAGCCCTCACCATATGCAATTGTCATCCCAAGTGTTTGGGCGGATTCGGTGCCGACTCTGTTGACCATAATTTCAAGGGCATTAATCGATGTAAATGCGATTTATTCAACTAACTACATTTGATTGAATAATGCATCTAGGCGAGAGAAGGACATCAAAAAAATTGCCCAGGCAAAGTTGGGGTTGTTGTGTGTGTAGAGTCAAAAGTACAAGTCCCAAACGTCGCTCATACAAAATGCTTCCCTCAAATTTTTACTGGTTGCTGGGCAAGACAGACAGGCTCACGGGAAACAAGCTGAACAACCTTCCCCGCACGAGCCTCGGCTGGCAATGCGGGGAAGATCGGCGCCAGTCATGCGATCGCGTGAGGAGGCAGAATGCGACCTTCTCCAAGAAAATCGCAAGCTAAACCAGAATGAGGCCGCGGTTGAGAATGTGGGGATTTGCCCGCATACATGTGATATGGCTCAAGCACCTCCCCAGAACATATCGGGTAGTGTCACGATCTTCATGCACAGATGACGCTACCGAAAGAATCGGCTCACCACCCGTTAACCTGTTAGTGCTCGTAGGCCTTTTTCCGTCCCCCAGGACCTCTGAGCCCCCCAGAAGGTGGTGAGCCTAGTCTTCTGGTAGGGTCTTTCGTCCTTGTTAAAGCGCAAGAACCCCTGGCCCAAACTGCAAATAATCTCTCTTGGCCCAACTCGTTACCCACCTACCTTATCCTTCCAGTCCCTCTTGGGGTTTGTTCGTGAGCGTGTGATTTCAAGACCGGGATCTATGCTATATTCTCCATTTTAAGGGTTAAGGTCTTGACTTGGATTTTCTCCAAGAAGATCCCATTAATCACAGGCACAATTTCCTGCATTTTAAACCGCTGTTGGGCTGTGAAGGTAAAAGGTGTTCAGCCTTCCAATCTTACCGGGACCCCTGTCAAATCGGGCACGCTAACAAAAAAAACCAAGGTCGAACTGGACGTGTCATGCGTGACAAGGTGACGGCGCGTCTCAGTGATTCCTGTTGACAATCACCATTCATCACCGATTTCCATCCGACCCAAGGCGTTTCACGGGCTGCGGGCTCATACTAGGTGCCTAGCCACCCCCCAGCATGGCCACACAACCCGAGGATAGGTCGGACATCTCGGCCGCTCCAAGAATCGAACCTCCATCGGGGAATACTCGGGATGCTGCTTCCTCGTTTGACGATGCTGTTGGCGACAAAACACAACTAAGTACGGGGTCTATGTGGGAGAAACTCAAGCAACATTTCCGGCGTCGGTGGTGGATTTATCTCATTGCGACCGTTATCTTGCTCGCCATCTTATTACCCCTCTTGTAAGTGTTCCCCCATGGCGGCTTGCTCGTTTGGAATGGGCAATCAGGGTCTAACCATGATCCAAGGTTCAAAGTCATCATACCGGCCATCATCAAAAACATCGTCGACGACCAAGAGCTGCCTGTGAAGGGGGGGTTCCTCAACTTCACCGAGCCAACTCGTCTTCGCATTGGCCTCGATACGTTGCTCGACACTCCCTTGGGCGTGAAGATCGACCCCGTCCCACTTAGCCTTCTTCAACCGCCAGTTGACGGCGCTGATGACAAAGAGACGCCCTTCCTCACGCTTCAAATGCCGGAACAGCACGTGAACCACGTAACCGATGTCAAAATCCCAAGCCAAGTTGTCGACATCTTGGATCACACTCAGCTTGTCGCATGGTTCAACGAGTTCTTCGACAAGGAGACGGTCGATCTCCGCCTCAAGGCTGACGACTTGAGTGCCCACCTCGGTGCGCTAGACTACCAAGTCAGCTTGGATAAAACGATCAAGGTACCTGGGCTCAATTACCTGAAGGGCTTCGGCGTATTGGACATGCAGTTCACCATTCCGCCAGGGCCCTCCGGACACAACATGAAGGGCCACCTCAACATCCCTAACGCCGGAGTTCTGACGCTGGGGATGGGCAACGTGACGTTCAACGTAATGGCTGGGGACATCAACCTGGGGTTGGTGCACATCTACAACCTCGACCTGAAGCCGGGAAACAACACGCCGCCCTTCGAGGGTGACTTCTACTTTGACGAGCTGGTTCCCAATCTTGCCGCAATTATGGAAACTCAACATGAATCTCTTTCCAATGGCATGATTGCGTTCAACACCTCGGGCAATTCGACCTTCCACAACGGTCGGCGCATCGATTACGTCGAGGGCGTTCTCAACCGAAAACACATACCCTTCACCATTCCGGTCACGACACTGTTGCTCGACGTTCTGAGTGGCGTACTCGCAGGCGGTACGGACGGCAGTTCGGGAGTGCCTTTACTCGACACGTTAGGCGACGTGCTGGGGAATAAAACCCTGTTTGACCAAATGTTGGGCCATTTCGATACGCAAAGCATTGGCAGTAGCTCGGAAGTCACGGATACTGCCCGATTAAAGAGGACAGCGGCACGAAAGCTTGGGAGGTCGATGCAGATGAACCTTTTCAGACTAGGGTTACGTACAATGCGGTCGAAGCTTTGATGGACAGGGCAGTAGGGCGAAGTGTAATAACCTGATGGTATGACATAACCGAGTCCAACGCCACTAATGATGAGCTAGGACGTAATGCCAGTACCACCAAATCTGGGCCTGTTAGTTCAATCATGTTGAGACGTTCGAAACGGCAATGCGTAGGAGCTTCACTCGCCCTTGTGTCATGGTCACATGCAATGATCCCGTGGTGTCTCTGCCACTTGGGAGTTTAGCTCCTTTTCCTCTACTTTCTCATGTACAAATCTCTCACTTAACTCCCACCCTAGTTGAAGTATTTCAATGGAATGGAACCTGGGGCAGACAGAAGCACTAGTTCAGGTTATTTTGTTGGAAGACCAACAGCCACGATTCCACGGTTATCACACAAAATGTTTTGAAGCTTACAACAGTGGGTTGGGATCCTCGGAGCAGCCCCGAAGTCATCAATTGAAGGTTGTCCTTGTTTTCTGTCTGTCCTTCCCCTCATCTTGTGTAAAATAGCTCGTCGTCAGCTCTTGACCTCCCCCCACGTAGGCTGCATTGCGCCCACGTTGGGCAGCCATACATGTTCTGCAACCGAATGTCCGAGTGCCAAGTGCCACAACTTCCAACATATTTAAGCGCCGGATCTAGTATCACCACCTTCTAGTCCCCGCCATCCACTTCACCATTTACTCTCTCAAGATAGAAGGCAACAGGGGCGGGAGCTGACTGATTTGTAAACTGTGGTTGGCAACTCAGGTACGTCCGTTAATAACACTACATAGGTAACTAAGTCATTTACACAAATGTAAATCGGAAAGGAACACAGCAAGCTCAGTTGGATTTGGCGGCCCATTTGAACACTCTTTAAGAAACCCACTGAAGGAAACATTTATCCTTGAACGGCCGTCTGCTGGACAATTTCTGGCACAAAAGCCGACACCGGCTCCCGGTCGTCGGCTCCATCCTCCTTCATGCCTCCCAAGATCATGGATTTGGGCGCCATGGCCTGCCAAACCGGCGGGTCCGTGAAAGCCTTGAATTTCTCGTCGTGCCACTCCTTGGCAGTCACATAACGGCCCTCGCTGTCCTGGAACATGGTATCGTCCTCGGCGCGGAGGAAATAGGCGATGGAGTAACGGTGTTCGGTTGGGTTGAAAGGCACAACACGGTGGATGCACGACTGGAACTTCATGTCGCTCGCAAAGCGCAGGGAGTCGCCGACGTGCACAAAGGCGCATCCGGGTTTCGGGGCGACGAAGCCCATCTCCCGCGCGCCGCACTCTCCGGGAGGACGGATCTGAAGACCCCACTCATCGCTGAAGAGCAACGTCAAAGAGCTGATGTCGGTATGCTTCTGGTGTCCGATCTTGTTTTGGCCCGTCTCCTCGGCTGGTAGATAATGCATCATGGACAAGGTGGTGGTTGACGGGCGGTCGTTGCGGTGCGAGTTTTCGAATCGCTCGGCTCCGGTCAGACCCATGCCGCTAGAAAGGGCGGAGAGGAGGACCTTGGTGATGGTATTGCAGCTACCAATGCCACGCTCCAGAATACGGAGCTCACCGCTGCTCTTGATCGGCGACGGGACCCTGGGGCTGCCCTGCTGAATCTCATCACGCGACACCTTGAGCATCTCGTACCCGTCCTTGGTGCCAGCTCCAAAAGCGCCCGTCCGGCTGCCCACTGGCTCGTAGCCGAGATGGGAATCGATCAGGCCATATTCGTTCTTGGCTTCGAGCGGCGCCTCGAAAAAGCGGTGCATGAGCTGGAGAACTTCCTGGCGATCCTCGAGCATTCTACGGCCGTCGATGCCGTCGAGGTTGAGTTGAAAGTAGCCTTCCTCCAGACACGCCTTGGTTACCTTTTCCACCTCGGCCGGGTCTTGTGAGAGAAGCAGTCCGTAGTCGATGGTCCTCATGGGCCAGACAGGGACCTTCTTGCCCTGCCATTCGACGGTTTCCGGGGCCTCAGACATCGTGAGTAGTGCGGTGCTCAAGGGGAGGAAGGCTTAGGCGGGAGGGCGTATTTGAAAAGGGTTGAACCTAAGTGAAACAAATCTGTAGCCTACACCAGAGGTTTGTGTTATCCTCGAGGATGCCCGTCCCTTTTCAATGGCTCGAGGAGGCTCGCTAATAAACCAAGACCCGGCAGTTGGTGAAATTCAAGTCGAATTCACCCGCGGCATGTTGCGTCAGTGATTCAGTATTCCCCGCACTTCACGTCCCACTGAAGGCACATCGGGGAGGGGTGTAGCATTGTCCCATGATGAAACGGCACGTGGGTGGACGGCGGTTATGGTCGACATATTAAACAAGAAGACCTTTCCGAACGCCATGACTGGGAAGTCTCGCGCCCCTCCTCCCCCACACCCAAGCAAGCAATACGGTATGTGATCATCGCCGAGACTTCGGCGAGGCAAGAAAGGGGCAGGTGTGCAATATGGACCGTTTCTCAATGTAACCACTTTAGGCGCCGAGTCTTGGACGATCTTGGAAGCTCGGAAGCGAACCTTCGGAGTTACTTTTTCCAACACTTGCAGCTTCAATTTAGCTAATCTCGTGGCTCTATGTAGTAGCATCGGCACAAGCAAAACCTTAATGCTGTCCACCCTAGTATAAAACAAGGCACCTGACCTCAATGCTCTGCCGAGACCTCTCCTCTCGGTAGGCCGGGTCTTCAAAAGCCGAGTGCAGAGCCCTGCGCGCCAAGAACGTGTCTGAATCAAAGCATTTAATCAGGAGTACGTCCTCAGGCGTCATCCGGTATTTGAAATGCCACCGATGGTTGGGGTTGTGCCGGACGACCCAAGATTCCCCCTCGAAATCCTCCTCAACCATTGCGGCCGCGACGAGGTCCGAGTCCGGAACGGAGTTCGCATCGGCCACCGCGATGGGATCTTTGAGAATAGTTTCGATTGGGCGCCAGATATTGATGATTTGGTACCTGCGCTCGAGCAGTTCGTCTGCTTCCTCGGGATCGGGGAACTCCCATCTCAGCCTGAGCTCTGCACCGGTGTACGACTGGTCTACGTGTGTCCTGGTGACCGGCCCGCGGTTGGCGAGGTTGTTCCCATCGAGCCCTAGGTGATGCCACTGGGTCGGCCCCCGACGGACTTTGTGGTTAAATATGTGGATACGTCGAGCCCCTGTAATGTCTTTCAACAAGTTTCGACATTCTTCGTAGTAGATAGATCGAATGGCTTCCTCGTCGATGAATTCCTTCTCGGTGCTCTCGTTCCGGCAATACTGAAACCCGTGGGTGTCGAGCGAATACTTGTCTTCCTCTCCAGTGATATCTATCACCTCAAATCCATGGGCGCGGTGTGGCCGCTTGTTTGAGACTCGACCCCGGCCAATGAAGATAGGGGATGGGCCGGAACCGTCTCCCGGATCGTCCCAATAATTGAGTGTCGTAGCCACATTGTGCTTTTGCTTGGGACCCAAACTCAAGCTGCGAACTGGGGCTTCCTGCATATCTGGCGGTAAATGTCGTTGGGATGTAGCGCTGCTCGAGACGGGATGGTCTCTGCCTCTCTCCGGAATGCTTGAAGAACTCGGTGCTTTTTAGCCCAAGCTACTGGGTTTTCCAATAATTGCCGGAGTTTCCGGGAGATCTTATCCAAAGGAATACCACGGAAGCATCCGACTCCGAGCAGCCATGGCGCATGGCTGGGTTCCAGTGCAGCACATTAACCGATTCCGTTAGGTTGCAATGGCGCGACCCGCACGTCATCATTCTGGTGTACGTGCGGGGGATCTTCTGCCATCGAGGCGTGCCCAGGCACACACCTCAAACCTGACCCAAAGTAAAGCTTTATCCATCATCCAGAAAGGATGGAAGAAGACGGCTTCATTCTCGTCCCCAGAGAGGCCGACGAGCACCATTTGAGCAACCTACGAGGCTCCCAAGATGATGATTCCTCCAAGTTTATGTCTGATATTGATGCCTTCATCGGCGATATTGAGGAGCCCCTATGGACCCTGAACACATTCATTCACGCAAACCCCGAACTCGCGTTCCAGGAATACAAGACACATCGAGCTTTGACAGAGTTTGTGCGGTCACAAGGGCAGGACTGGCGCGTGACTCCATCGGCTTACGGAATGGAGACGGCATGGGTGGCCGTGTACGACAGCGGGCAACGGGGGCCTGTTGTTTCATTCAATGTAGAAATGGGTAAGTGACTTAACCCAAACCACAGGCGAGTTCATGGAACATAATTAACAAGGCACCCATGCACTGCCTAGACGCACTTCCTGGCTTGGGTCATGCGTGTGGCCACAATCTCATTGCCATAGCCTCAACAGCTGCTGGGTTGGCAACAGCGGAAACTATGAAGAGGTATAGGTTACCGGGAAAGGTCGTCCTGTTTGGGACGCCTGGGGAGGAGGGTTATGACGGCGGCAAGATACGACTTTTGAAACAGGGCGCCTATCAGGGCGTCGATATCTCTCTCATATCGCACCCCGGCATTTTGCACAACAGTCCCCTCGTCAGAACTACCGCCTTTGCCCGTCTAGAAGTTGAGTACTTTGGGCGGGCTGCACATGGGGCCAAGAACCCTTGGATGGGAATCAACGCCCTAGATGCCCTCGTCATCGCGTATAACGCCGTGTCGGTCCTGCGCCAGCAGACTATGTCCGGCGATGTGATTGGTTTGGCCATTACTAACGGCGGAGGAAGGGCTACAAACATTATCCATGCCTACTCTGCTTGCGTCTGCATGCTCCATGCGACTAGTGCTTCTCGCCTAGATGCGCTGCAACGCAAAGTCAGCGCTTGTTTTCGTGCGGGCGCGGAAGCTACTGGAGCAACAGTCAAAATCAACATCACTCCCGGCTACCAAGATCATGTTCCGAACCGCGTTCTCGCGGCGTCGTACGCAAGATACTGGAATTTGTTACCGGACCCCCCGAATCCGCCGATCCCATTACCCGAGCAGGGTAATCAACAGTTCACTTGGGTGAGGTCGAGCACGGATCAGGGAGATCTTAGCCATGCGATGCCGAGTGTGAATGCCAGCTTCGCGATCCCCCCCGGCCCCGAAGGGGGGCAGCCACATAGCCCCGATTTTGAGAGGGCTTCGGGGACTAAGCCAGCGTTCATGAGAGCCTTAAGGGTGGGAAAAGCGTTGGCGGGAACAGCGGTAGACGTGCTGGCGAGACCCGGTTTTGTTGACGAAGTCAAAAGACAATGGAAGCGCGACATGGAAACGACGGACGGGCTAGTCTACAAATATTTTCCAGTAATAGATTCAGCGCATTAGGGTGTTCACTGTGGGGGAATTCCACGCTCAGATTTCTCCGCTCCACATATCTCCCCCACAGACTTTTACATGACCCGAGTTCTTGGTGCTGAGCTCACCCTTAAGGATGATCGTACTATTTGTTAGTGTAGGGAATACCAGGTATCGCGATAGCGTTAGAAGCCCAGGGCAAATCCCTTCTCTCTGGAGGGACGTGCTACATTCGTGGTTCAGTTGGATCATGTTCTTCTATTTAGAAATGAGGGGGGCTCAGATTTTGGATGGATGGATGGAATTTATTTCGCCCGGAGGCACTGGGCCTATAGGGCCTTAGCACGCTAACTACATCCGGATCAAATCGGTTTGCCTTTAACTCGTACAAGCCCCCTACTTCTTCCCTCTTTCTCTCGCTGCACCATTTACCTCTTGCCTTGGTTGTTGTTAGCAGATCAACTTGGAGGCTACTTTCTCCAAGTGTTCAGCGTCCTATCTTCAGCAGCTAAAGCGGGACCTGCTGGTTAAGGCTCGTGGTTGAGGCTCGTGGTGTTGAGTGTCGGCTTCTTCTACTGTGACTGGTCTAGACTCTCCTCCTCATTCAGCTCCAGCCTTCCTGTTGCCATTGCGTATTTGATCGTCGCCCGGACTGCCTTCATATGCTTCATGTGTGACACCGTGACAGTCTCAAGTCCGAAAGAAGACGGCGCTCACAGTGCTTACGGTTACTCGGCCACTGTGCGAGAGCCGACATTGAGACCCAGCTGGGAGCGAGACGGGGAGGGGTTTAAGAAACCGTAGGAAAAAGAACCTACGAAAAAAAAAAAAAAAAAAAAAAAAAAAGAAGGAACCTTGTGCAAGACCGAGGTATTTACGGACGTATTTGAAGTGTAAAGGCATGAGTTACTGATGTGGTTAAAAGACCAAAGGGATGCTAACACAGCTTAGCCATTGCAAGCGCTGTGTGGTGTGCAAGGCCTTTGACGTCTTGGCTCGCGCGCAGGCGGCACACCACTCTTAATTTTTTGCGGTGCTGGAAAGGGGGCGCAAGAAAGGAGAAACTATTAGGGCTTATACTAATCGCCTCACGAGAGGCGCAGGCTATCTATTTATATATTCTGATAGACCTAACCCTGTAGTATCTAAT